TTAGTAATATGCATATTTTGATATAGGTCTAGTTTTATCAAGACATAACTGGAATGACAATTTTAATGTGTATTTTTTTTATGACGACCAATATTGATTTCGGAGGTCAATCATATCGAACGAAAAATAATTGGCTTTACTAGCATAATTAACCTAATCAGCATATTAATCGACAAGACAGAATACATAGGTATTTATTTTTAATTTCCCACTGTACCAGTGATAAGAGCAGAATAAACAGTCATGACAGAGACCCAGTAAGTTAGTAAAGATATAGAGAGAAACGGTTTGGGTCGACTGAAAGATGGTTAATATGGTGGCAAAGTAAATTTAGAATGTTGTTCTTTTCTTCTTCGAGTTTAAGTATTGGGAACAGAATTAAGAGAATTCCTTGTACCTGTTATCTGGACATATTAGTACTTTGCAATCTAACAGTGCTTATACTCAGATGCATAGGTAATGAATTACAAAGTTACAATCCTTGCCTATTTAATCTAACCTCAGCGGAACATTGGTTGCAAAGTGGAATTCACTCCGGTTCTTCTTCGTCTAGAGAGTCTTCGTTAATGTCTTCATCATCTCCTCCACCTTCTGACTTGTTTGGATTGCTACGGTTCACTTCTCACTTACACTTGCAGTACACAGAGCAAGACTATCTCTCACAATGACAGCATTCTCATCCTCTAAACGACCGCGGTGACTGCTTATACAACATTGTAACAGGACAAATTGCCTCCCTTGAAATTAATGTTGAAGAAGCACTTAGCATTGGCAGACAGATGAAGACCAAATTCATCTCAAACCTGCCTGAAAAATTTCACACCAGTGTAAGCAGTCCTGTCAAGACCATGGAGATGATGATGAAGAAGGGAACCAAAGTCGACGTGAAGACGATCTTTCCGAGGTTGATCACACTATGCCCCAAAAAAGGCCTCCCACAAGGAAGTGTACTTGCATCACTGCTTTTTAACTTGTACACGAACGACCAACCGATCTATCTATCCAAACACCTGGGGGGTGTTTCACAAAGATTCTAAGTCTTACTTAACTCTAAGTTGGACTTAAATATTATGGAGAGCCATTTGTAGCCTTATAATGAAATACATTCAAAAGCAAAATTGAAGTATTTTAGATTTTTCATAAATTCCACATCGAGAACATGAAATCTCCCAAGATAATAGAAAATATGAATGATTTGAATCAACATTTTATGCCTTATAAAATGATTTTTACAAAATATTTGTTATGCTAACAGCTTTCCATAATTGTTAAGTCAAAGTTAGAGATAAGTTCAACTTAGGATCTTTGTGAAACACCCCCCTGGAGTTTCATCTATGCTGATGATCTCTGCATCACCACCCAGAACCAGTCTTTCGTGAAGCTGGAGGAGTCCCTCAACGATGCACTGGCCCGACTCATCCCATACTATGCGACCAACCACCTGGGAGCTAACCCTGACAAAATTCAGATATTAAAGTGCATTCTACCTCAAGAACAGGGATGCCAACCCTCGGCTAAGGATCAGCTGATATGGGAATAGCTGAAGCAACTCACAACCAAGTCTACCTAGGCGTCACACTGGATCAATCCCTTACCTACAAGAGCTAGGCTACAAGAGGACTGATGTCAGGACATTCTGGACAACAGCCCTTGCTTTGCTTCTCCTGCTGCGGAGTATGCATCACCAGTATGGAATAGGTCTGCCCATGCACCCAAGATTAAACCAACTCTAAATTCATCCTGCAGAGCTTTCACTGGTTGCCTTAAGCTAACTAAAAAGTAAAAGACCTCTACCTGCTTTGCGGTATAGCTCCATCACACATCAGAAGGTTGGTCTTGTCCCAGAAAGAAAAGGACAAACAAGAAAAAGATCCGCTCCGCCAAATCTTCCAATAACAGCCAGTGGGCAAGCGGCTGAAAGCCAGACACAGTTGCCTGAACACTGTAGAGCCCCTTGAATACCAACCCTCGCAACCAAAGGATGACCTATTGAGGTTGTTCTAACCACTTCCAGACCCCTCCACATAACCTCTCCCTCAACCCCAAGGAATCCCTCGCATCCGACTCCAGTGAGATTTGGCCTTTTTGGCTAGGCCTCAACCGTCTAAGAAGTGGTTACGGACGATGCAGAGTCCTGATGCAGAGTCCTGATGCAGTCCTAATGCAGAGGTGGAGTTTCAAGGACAAACAATACTAAGTGCTTCTTCAACATTAATTTCGAGGGAGGCAATTTGTCCAGTTACAAAGTTGTATAAGCAGTCACCGCGGTCGTTGAGAGGATGAGAATGCTGTCATTGTGAGAGATTGTCTTGCTCTGTGTACTGCAACTGCAAGTCAGGAGTGAACTGTTGCAATCCAAACAAGTCAGAAGGTGGAGGAGAAGATGAAGACATTAACAAAGACTCTCTAGACGAAGAAGAACTTGAGTGAATTCTACTTTGCAACCTTCGTTCCGCTGAGGTTAGATTAAATAGGCGAGGATTGTAACTTTGTAATTCATTACCTATGTATCTGAGTATAAGCACTGTTAGATTGCAAAGTACTAATATGTCCAGATAACAGAAACAAGAAATTCTCTTATTTTCTGTCCCCAATACCTAACTCAAAGAGGAAAAAGAACAAAAGAACAACAACCTAAATAAACTTTGCTACCATAACCATATTTCAGTCGACCCAAACCAATATCTTTCTATCTTTGATAACATACTGGTCTCTGTCATGACTGTTTATTCTGCTCTTATCACTGTCCAGCGGGAAATTTAAAATGAATACCTACCGTATTATGTCTCGACAGACAGAAATCCACAAGGCCATTAGGCAATTGCCTGATTAATTTGCTAATTATGCTAGTACAGCTAATTATTTTTTCGCTTCAACATGATTGACCTCTGAGATAAATTTTGGTTGTCATAAAAAAAATACACATTAAAATTGTCATACCAGATAAAACTAGACCTATATCAATAAATGCAAATGTACCAATTATGTTAATTAGGTTAATTATACTACATCTACATGGAACATCTTTTCATGAATCAATGTGTTGTCTTTAACAAGTGATTTACAATGTTGCATTGCACCATTTTCAGGCTTTCAAGATAAACAATGAAAATGAAGTCCATACATTGTACATATGGAAATTAGCTCATTATGCTAATTGTGCCATTAAAGACAATTGCATTACTTAAAAATAAAAAGTGGTGTCATAAATGAATTCTTTGTCATAGAAAATCCTTAAAAGAAAAAATTATCCATATTTTTAGGCTTCCTGGATTAAGATTAGCAACATATTACATATTGCACATATGCTAATTAGGCTAATATAACAAATTGTCCAAGGTTACCAAGATGGCAACCAATCTGAATTTACCTCAATACCCATCTAGAACATGAATCAACAAAAAAACCTTGTACTTAACAACTTTTCCAGGTCATGTACATCATATTTGGTACTGTCTACTGGGCTAATATGAATTCACAGCAAACTGATTTTATCTTCATAATACATGAAAATAAATCATTGATACACTATTGTCCATAAAGTTAGAATAATGTTTTTTAATTATTGTGACATGATTTATTCTTTTTAGATAAGGTTTATATCTAAAAAAACTAGATGGAACTTCGATGGACAGTCGAAAGTGATGCCTCCGTCATAGAGCAATTTTACAAACCAAAACGAAAGAAATTTTTCAAATTCAAGTTCGGTTGTAATCCATTAACAGGTTCTCAGAATATCGTGATTACAAGCTATTTTTCATATACATGTATGACCCTTTGATCTTTGACCTCATGACCCCAAATGCAAGATACATACATGTCTTGAGTTTGATGATAATCCATCCATCGGTTCTTATGATAATGCAATCACAAGCTATTTTTGCATACATAATGAGCCCCATGACCTTTAACCTTGACCTCATGACCCCAAAATCTAATCAGTTCATTGCCTCAGCAAGATACCTACATGTCCTTAGTTTCATGGTAATCTGTCCATCTGTTCTAATGATGCGATCACAAGCTATTTTTTAATACATAATGACCCCTGTGACCTTTGACCTCGTGACCCCAAAATCTAATCAGTTCATTGGCTCTGCAAGTTACATACATTATTAAAGTTTGGTAGGAATCCATCAATTGGTTCTTGAGATAACGCAATCACGAGAACGGGACGTAAGTACGGACGGACGGACAACCCGAAAACATAATGCCTCCGGCTACTTCGTAACGGAGGCATACTAATTTAATTGATCAATCTCTATGACTCTTTAGATTAATCAATCAATTTCTGAGAATATAAATACATGTACTATCCAGAATATATCATATTGTCACTATCTAGACAAAATTTATTCTAACTTAATGGACAAGTGTAAATATCTATCTAGTACATGGCAATTCCATTGACATGTTATTTACAACAATTGTTTGCTAGTATGTAAGACAGTTTTAAACAAAATTAAGAGTTCTAAAACATATTTCAGTCAGTGATTGAGACACGTTCGACTATCAGCGAAATACCAATTTTTACAGTACCGAGGAACCTCATTATAACAAGCTCTTTGGGACCAAGGAAAATTACCTTGCTATATCAGGAATCTTGTTAGATCAGGGTTTAAAAAAATATATATGTATATATACATAGAGCTGGGACCAGCAAAATCGGCTCTTTAAGACGAGGTTCAATTGTATTCCACTGAATGATCAAAGAGAAAACAGACTTTGTAACAATTAACAGACATTACACAAAATGGACGGTTTAAGGTTGAAAAAAGTGATTTGGGGTGTCAATGAATCTAGTTTAGGTATTAATAATAGTTGATCATTTAGGAGCGCTAAAAAAAAGGGTACCACAGCACTTACAACATTACAAAGAGTGAAGAAACATGAAATACATACCAGTAGCCTTATAAAAATAGATAAATCATATTAAGTTACTAGAAATATGTTTAAAGCCTCTTTTGAATAGAAGCTTATATTATCATACTACATGTATAAACATCTATACATTGTACATGGTGTAAAATAATTTGATTACGCATTTCCTTGAAAAGCTCAAATGAAGCATAACAGACACGTCACTTGTGTCCGCTTTTTATAAACCTCCATAGCTTTGCTCTAACATGTTCAAGATTTCATGAAAAGGTTTGATCACTGATGTTCAATGCTTTTATCATAATTAACTACAAAAGGATACAATCTGAGGTGATTTTGGCGTGGAATACTGAGACCTGAAGATGGGATGTCTTGACTAAAAAATTTGCCACATTTTGCCCTAAAAAAATAGTGTCTTGAAGATAATTGTGTCTGAATGTATCTCACTTTGACGGAGTAACCACTCAAAGTGAAGAGCTTGTTGAGCTCATGTTTGATTATGGCTATTGAACACATGAACATTCAGACACATACGCATACATGTTTCCTGTAATATGGAACATGATACGTAACTTACCCAATTTTACAAAAGGCAGCCTCTGTTGAAAGTTGGAACAATACTAGGAATGCTCAAAGGCACATCCACTCTGGCACTCGGCACCATCTTATCATCAGCAACTGTTATATTACAAATATTCATGCCTAGTTCAATAGAACCGTTTACTACTTAAATGGATGCGTTTCAAACAAAACTTTCTCTTGACAACTAAAATGCATTGCCTGATGCATGCCCGACATGGCAACATCTAATTACTACAGCATACCTCGGACTCAACTCCGAGTTGGGTTCCGTGCGAGCCCTATACCTGGGATTTTATGTTCTTTTCTTTGAACTCCTTAGCTGTTTACCTATAGAATGCCAGGTAAACTTTTCCTAAGTTGATTTTCTAAATTCTAGTTATACATCATTTATTTTTTCAGGTGAATGGTACACTTTAAGCCACAGCATGAAACTGATGCATCTAGTCTAAGAAGGTAACGTAATTGCAACAACACGATCCAATGCAAGCATCAAGGAAATCATTCCCAAAGGCACGATACTGTTGACAATTCCCCTTACTGCAGTTGTCCCCCGGACGGGACCTAAAGCCGTCGGCCGTCTGGTTGCTTACTAACAATCATTTATGCTTTTTTAGCAGTCAGGTAAAATAACCACCACTTAATGCGTTGTACAATATTTGCAGGTTTGCAACCTTAAATAATCAGCATCAAAGGCACTACTTGTATTGAGGATACCATCTAAGCAGTTTCAACAGTTGAAAAGGCACTATGGTATACTGTAGAGATATATTTGAGTGGTTTAACTCTGTATTCCCTGCAGAATGAAACCCTAGACACTATTTGGTGATTGTAAGACACGCACATTGATCTTTTGACAAAATCTGACAGTGGCAGTCCGCCGTTTGATCCTTTACACGGCCCAAGCGGGTGAAGATCGACTGGAGGTGCACTTAAGGCATTGCGGCACAAGGCACTTGATGTATATTGCTTCTCTCCACCCAGGTGTTTAACGGGCACCTGGTAGGATGTGAACACCATTGTTATTGGGTCAGCATTGTGTGCTCCTCTAAAAAAGGCCTCTTGCTGGAATGCTCCCCAGGGAGCGGAGTGTGTGCACACAAGGTGTACAGGAAACCCTGGATCCCCTGACCAGGGGTGGCGATGTGTCCGTTTAAATTTTTGTTTACAACCAAGGAGGATGTACCAGGCTACACAGAGCCACTGTTGTTGTTCGTGTTGCGGTTGTTGTTCGTGTTGCTGTTGTTGTTGACGTTGTCATTGTTGTCATTGTTGTCATTGTTTCAGTCCACATCTAAAGCAGCTCGAATCGTTTCCTCCAGTATGCTGAGTAGGGCCACCTTGGATGAGTAGTCTTCGGCTGAACACAGCAGCCTCTTCTTAGGCGAAACCAACAAGATAGCATGCTGGACGTCTGTTCATTGGAGAGAGAAAAGGCAGAAAAATGCTGGGTTATCACATCTAGCATACATGTACATGTATTGTAAATAAGTCTTCACAAAAAGACAATACATACAACTGTACAACATTATTTTTGCAAAGGGTATATAACAAAGAATAAGGTGAAATATAGACACTGTGTGGTGTGGTACACATATTTGCTAAGACATTTTGTATAGCATTTGGTACATTGGCCATGGCGGTATGGAATTTCTAAGTCATGGATGAGCCTCCTCCGTCATCCCTATTACAATGTTGCATCACTAAATCAAAAAACGATCCAAGTCTATAGTATATATATATATATATATATATGTCCATCTTTTAAAGTTGCTCAAGCGTGGGTATATAAAGGGCAGCACACGGACGTACACACGGGAGCGGAATACTTGTTGGCGAAGTAGTGATCGCCAAGTTGCCTACTTCGGAACGACTATATACCCACGCATGAGGCGAATCCATTTTGTTTTAAATAAAATTATAATAAACCTCCTGAAACTACATGTATTGACTCTACTAAGACATATATTTTGTCTGACAATAGAAATTGCAATTTTAAAATCTTGAAATGAAAGTGCACAGTGTTTTTTCTGTGATCTTTTATTATCTTCATATTCCTTCGTCATCACTTGTGAACGGTAGACTTACATTTAGAATCTGGCACATCCTGAACCTGCAACCTTGTCAGACTCAGAGCCACCATGAACCTGTAGAAGGTCTCTGAGCGGCGGGTGTAAGGCACATGACGGGAGCCCTCGTGGGTCACGACAAGAGCATCGTTGAACAGAAACAGGCAAAGGTCATTCACGTGCTTCATGGGCCTGCAAATGAAAATGTCAGAATAACGATGAAGTTATATTACTAATATATATTCAAATAATGTTACTTTCCTGGGATCTGGTGATGAGGTAAAACATTAACTTATTATTAAGTCTGCATACGTTATTTGTTGATATATCGGGTAAGCCTTGGGCAAGCTTTCAGGTTGTCAAGAACACTCTTTGTTTACAAAGTATGCATTAACTTTGAATATGTTATTAAACCTGCCTATTGCAACCCAAACCTTTTTTGTCTGGTTGGTCAGTTCATGGTAAATTTCCTTCACTAAACCAAATTCGAACCCTAATCATAATACAAAACAAAACCCTAAACCCTAACCCCTACCATAATCCTAACCCTAATCCTAACCATTCTTAGCTACAGCCCTGGGGCTATATTCTGAACCCTGTGTTATCTCTAATATTGTTGTATCTTTGGAGATAAGATAAAGTTGGTATCCTGAACTTTTGTAGTAATTTTTGTTGTATCTTTTCATGTATCTTTTCTCTCATCTCTTAGGCCGCGCCAGCCTCAAACTGTTGGCACTTAATCCTAACTTGCATATGCCCACAAGAGATAATATGACAAGATAAGATAATTGGTATTCCGAAAATTGTTGCATCTTTTATCTTATCTTATCTTGCATGGTATTTACAACAGGTAGGGGGTTGTTGTATCCTTTGTGGTGATATAATGGCGGCAATCTTCCTTGCCCAGAACCAACTTAGTGCCAATAGACGAGTTAGAAGAAGATTGTGTGTTGACCGGAGACATCACAGATAAGAACTTTCTAAGAAATTACATGCTAGGACATGACGGTTTTAATGCTCTCATCTCTGTGATGTTTCTTAACCACTAAGTGAAAGCATGATTTGTCTTCATGATCCATGTGCCACAGCACATATGATGACGCGCATAATAAGCGCTCAATTAACTAATTACGCCCAAGATGAGTATGCGCTGGGCCATCTTCAGTATGGCATAAAGTACTCCTATTGGTTGACCTACTTATAGTACTTATCATGCTTATATAAAATAGATCTTGACTGGTAGGGTCCATAATAGGGTGTGTCAAAGATAAGATAAAGGCGGTCCTTCAAGAGATAACATTTTCAGAATACCAACTTACAACAATATAAGTGCTGTGTTATCTCTGGAAGATACAACAAAAGATAACACAAAACTTACAACAATGTTCAGAATACCGCCCCAGGATAAAACACTATACACTAACCCAAAACCCATGCCCAATCCTAATTGCAATCTTAACCATAACCCCAACTTTCGCCAGAGCAAATTTCACCAGAGCAAATGGATCACCCACTTAATAAAAGCTAGCTCACCCTTTGGATTCACTGGTCTTGCCCTGGGTTACTGACTCCATCAGGGCAACCGTCTCTAACTGTTGGACCAGGAACCTGTTGGCCTCTAGAAGACTGGGGCAACCGACGATGCGCTTCTGAAGCCCTTTCAAAACACGCTCTCTTTCACCTCGCTGCTTGTTCTATGAGATAGGTTTTTGATAAACAATTGACGAGAAGGCAAATCAAAATTAGTACATTGTCTGTGTAAGACTACACCCTTATTTCACCTTGTTGCCTGTTCTATATGATAGGTTTTTGATAATAATAATAATAATTACATTCATAGGGTGCTGTACACATGCGTTTCTAAGCGCACAGGTGATACTGTCCAACTCAGTATAATTATTCAACATGTTCTATACCTTAAAAGCAACAAAATAAAATAAAACATTACTAATACAATACAATTGAGTTAATGGAATTAACTACTTGTGTGTGCCTCCAGTATACTATAACTGATTTTTTTTTTTTTTAATAATAATTTTTAATAAACAATTAAAGAGAAGGCAATTAAAACAAACTTAGTACATAGTCTGTTTAAGACCAGACTACTTTCCCACCTAGTTGCTTGTCCTGTCAGACTGGTTTTTGATGAACAAGAAAAGAGAAAGTGAGCAAATCAAAATAATTGTATTCTCTGTGTGACACTCAACCCTTCTTTCACCTCACACGTTGTTCTACAGTGTATATGACAATGTTATTGGTGAATAATAAAAAAGAGGGAAAGAAAATTAGCATATGAAGATTTTGTAAACGAGAATAACCTAATCTGATACAAATATAGTTGACAAAACAACAGATGAACTTTAACCGTTGTACTCCCTGTGGACCTTTCTAAAAGTAAAAGATAGCCATGCAAGTCCCGCAACAAGCTTTCCATTTTGTAACGAGTACTGCGTCTCTTTTCTTTTAATACCACGCTTCACCCCAATTTCTTATTCTTCTATTCTTCAAGTACAGTCCATACCAGACAGATAGTATTACCTGGAGCGGCAAATAAGGATATCTTTACGCCTCAACATCAAAGTAAATATCAAAGTAAGTAAGATCAGAAGCCTGAGTGATATTATCATCAAATTCATTCTACATTAATTTCAATTATTCACGGATTAAGAAATCTTGGAGGCAGATGACATTGCAAGAAGATGTGTCACAACTTGCACAAGAAAACTTTTACCTGGTCGATAAGATCTTGCAGCTGCCGGAATGTATCAATGGCCGTCATCAAGTCCTCTTTGTCCGGGTGGTCATCGGGTGTGGCATGATGAATGGCTAAGAGGAGGCGAGTGTAGTGGTGGATGTGATGGGCCACGCCTAGCAACAGCTCATCCAAAGTCATCATCTCGGAAGAGGCTGAGCTGTCGTGCTGTTTGAGGAAGGCACGAAACGAAGGCTCTTGCTCTCGACACTGGAGACAAGAAACAAATAGTATTAACATTAACAGAACTAAAGTGTTGCCCCTCAAAAATTTACCACTTATCAAAATTTCTTTACAGATATAGACCGGTAGAAGTAAAATTGCAGTTCAAGGGTTTTGGGTGCAAAATATCAATTCAATATTGTTTAAATATTGTGTTCAGAGGTTTAGATGGCAATACTTCAACCTAAATTCACAAACAAGCAGAAATATATGCCCAAATATTCAATGTTGAAATGACTGCGGCGATATCTATCCAGGCCGGATCGATATGATAATTTAGCAAATATATCAATTAGTAGGCGGCTTCCCGGCAAAATTTATATCATCACGTATTAGTCAAAACATATTCTTTCACATGATTCGTAATAAGAGCTTCCATTTCATTTTTTGAGAGGGGGAGGGGGGCGTTTCTAAAACTGGTCTATACCTTACAATGGATGGTAGGATATCCCTTGATTTTGACAATTTCTTTGGAAATACTCTTTAACAAAAAATAACAAGTGGGTCTTATTTTACCCAGGGTAGCCCTTGGAGCCCGTTTCATAAAACTTGAAATCTATAACAACTGCTAAATTTCTATGACAAATTTGCTCTCAGCCAATCAGATGCCATAATTTCAGTAGCTTATAACAGTAGCTTGTAACTTGTTATTGATATCAAGTCTTATGAAACAGGGTCAAACACTAATACTGCTCTTCCTGCAGGCCCTGCAATATTCATCCCCACAAATGTCAGGTACCCATTTACACCTGGGTGGAGAGTGGCAAATGTGGATTAGTGTCTTGCCAATGGACATCAGTGCCTGCCTGGGATTCAAACCCTCAACCCCTAAATTGTAACGCAAGTGAATGAACCACTAAACAATGACACATGTGCGAACAAAGAGTTTAAAACCTACTCTAAAGGGGTTGGAGGTTAGGGGTTAGGGTTATCAAGCGTACCTTAACTATTGTGAAGAGGATAATAGGGTTAGGGTAGGGGTGAGAGCTAAGGGTTAGGTGTTAGGGATAGGGTTAGGGGTTAGGGTTATCAAGCTTACCTTGTCTATTGTGGAGAGGACAATTGCATAGTTGTTGTGGAAGTTGGTATAGGCCTTGAGTTTCGATTGGAACTTGATAAAGCAGTCTCCTAGGCACATTTGGACACTCCAACTCTCTACTCGCCCTTTCAATTCTTCAAAAAGACCCCTGTCAAACATAAGACATGGTTTACACAGGATTTTAACAATTCATTCCTTATAATTGCAAGCATAGCAAAGTGCAAGGGGAAGTCCCTTGCACTTATCAGAATAAAACAAAATAAATGAACAGAAAGCCGTAATTAAACATCTAGAAGAGAAATTCTGATTGAGATAACAAGGTACTAGCCTCTGTTACCAGCTAAACGACTACATTGTAAGTGTGTGAAGCTGAAAAGATAATCAATGTCTTTCCCCAAGTTTGTGGTGTTTATCATCTCTTTAAACATTTTAGAATTTAAAGCACTTAATACAATAATAATAGCCTGCTTTGGATTCTATGGGCAGTGTTTTTAAGTTATCTCCTAGCAGCGTTATCACCTGAGCAGCGTTGAACCAATTTGACCCTTTGGCTCCATTAATACAGGGGCTGCTAGTATGACCATCTGTCATCAATTATCTGTTGACACCAGGGGGCATTTCACAAAACTTGTCATCAGTGGCAAATTACAGTTTTGTTATAAGCTACTGAAATCCTTGCTTCTGATTGTTTATCAGAAGACTTTTTGTTATTTGTCATTGAAACAAAGCTTTGTGAAATGGGTCCCTGAACTTGCTATTGTTCACAATTGCACAATAAATACAATAACAACAACAAAATACTCTATATTCCTCATATACTTCACCTTTAGAATGCTGGGTACAATTTGGGGAGCTTAGGGGGTTGATTTTATACATACATGTACTAGTTGTAAAACTTTTTATTTTTTGAGGTAATTGTTAATTGGCCCTTTTATATAGAGACAATGGCATAGTGAATCACATACCTTGTTACATTAAGTATATTATTTGTATCGGTGAAGATGAGACTGATATTCGTCTGTCCAATGATTGCATGGTTCGATCGAAGAGCTGCCGCCAGTCTCTCAAAGTAGACATTGTGAATGATGTTGAGTCTTCGCAGGTAAACCCGCTCTGAATCAAGGATCTCATTGGCCAGCGCTCTCCTCCGCTCCGACTGGGTCTTCCCAGGGGGGGTGGTCAACTGAAAATGCCAGGATAATCATAAGAATATTAATAATACAAAACATTTTTATAGCCCCTTTTTGTAAAGCAGGTACAAATTGCTTACAAAAACATTAAAGGTAAAGACCAGTATTGGAAACGCCCCAATTTCAAAAAATGAAATGCAAGCTCTTATTACCAATCATGTGAAAGAATATGTTTTGAATAATACATAATGATAAAAATTTTGACGGGAAACTGCCTACTAATTGATATATTTGCTAAATTAGTGTATCTCTCGCCTGTTGAGAGATACAAATGCACGTGTCGCGCACGTGTGTGTAGTCCCATATACATATTTCTGTGTACAGTGATTCTAACTTTATGAAGACTTGGCCAAATTTCTCATCATTTTGATGATTCCAGAACCTTGCAGCGGGCATTAACAGAACAGGGGCCTGTTTCATAACAATTAAGTTCTTTATTCTATGACAAATTGGCCCTAAGCCGATCAAATGCCACGATTTCAGTAGTTTATAACATTTATTGTAACTTTTTATTGATAACAAGTTTTATGAAACAAGACCTAGAAGAATATTACAGAGACAGACCGAGGATAATACTCATTTCAGAAGAGAGATTATTTGTGATTAATAATCAACAGATACATGCAGATGATCAAAACTAGGTCTGTAGTGAAATCAATGCGACTTCTAGATTCATTGAAGAAGATTCAAGCGAAGTTCCCCATTTCACTGAATGCTTGAGTTAAAGCCTATCTGCACTAGTTTGACCAAGAGGGATTAGACCTCCCTGCTAGGTCACTGACAGGTGGCTATCTCATCAAATCAGCTCTCAATTAACATAAGAAAAAGGGGACCATGGGGGACATATGATCACCACTTAGGCATTGTTTGCTACTGTATATAGAGGGCGCAAGTACATGTAGCTATAATTACATGTAGTGCAGTGCAAATATACTGAAATATACTGCATCTGATACAGAGAAATGAAGTCTGGGAGTATATAAGCCTCCTTAGAGAATTTTGAAATAATTCAGGCATTTTTCATTTCATTGTTTTTTTTTGGGGGGGGGGGGGGAGGGGGGCTGTCGACTGATAATTTATTCTTGTCCACAAATATGGAAATATGCTTCCACCAGCAATACAGTAATCAAGATAACAAAATAACAAGCACAGCTGGATGTGAAAAATGGGCACCCACAATTTGAAGAAAAAAAAAATTGTTCCTTTGATTTCAGGGGTGTTGGGGCCGATATTCACACATCTAGAGGCTAGTAAAACACAACTCACCTGCATAGATTGAAATGTCTGTTTCATAGTACTTGGTTTGGAATGTGTCCGTAAGAATGTTTTTGATTGGATGGGTTTAGAACGGGACTTAGTGGGTTTGATCAGCTCCTGCTCGCTCCCCTCATCGTACTCCTCCTCGATCTCCTCCTCAATGTCTTCTCCTATGGACAGATCATCTTGACTTTCACTTGCCTAGCGCGAAAGAAAAAAGGGAAAAGAAAAGGAAAGGATGTTTAGGTACAACGCGGGGAAGAGGGAAGCGTAGGTAGCACTAGAAGCCCCTTTTATTACTAACACTGATTGACATCCTTGCACGGATCCATGCAATAGTATACAAATAATACACAGCAGTCAGGGCATTAGTAAGAATTACCCACACAAGGTACCTTAGGAACAGTCTAGTAACACACCCAAGGCGATAGCCGAGGGTGTTTGGACTGTTTCTAATTTTACTAATGCCCAAACAAAATGAGGTGAATTATTTGTTTTATAAGATGAGGTTTTATTTGTTTTATAAAATGATGTTTTATAACATGATTTTACTAATGACCAGTCATAAGTATTTTCTTATGACCGGTTATTAGTAAAATTACTTGTTAGGCAAAATAAATGCCTGGTCACATGTACACTCTCAACCAATCAATTGATTAGGATCTGCTTCATCATCTTATCCAGTAGTTTAATACCATATTCAAACTTATGGATGTTTCTGTCCCTGGGGACCTAGTGACAAGGTATTCCATTCAGCTGTTGAACTAATGAACAAACTACAATACTTGGAATCCAGTCTGCATACATTACTTGTTGCTTTCAGGTAAGCCTCTGGCAAGTTTTCAGACTGTCAAGAACAGCAACCTTTGTTTATAAAGTATGCATAAAATGGGCATTAAGCTCACTAGTCTCCTCATATTGACTTTGAGTACACATCATAACCTATTTAAACACCTGGGTAGAGAGAAGCGGTATTGATCAAATGCCTTGCTTACGAGTTTCAAGCCAGACATCTTCTTGGACTGCCTCGTTGCTCCATCTGACACGCCATTGGTCATCCCTTGAGGCGGCACAGGTTGACCGGACACTTTCAGAAGAGTTTCTCCAAGGAAAGCTGCTGGATTAGGCTGGAAGCGGACAAGAAAAGGAGAGAAATATTAAAGGGATTGGGTATCTTTCTAAACAAAATCCTGGATTTAGCCCATGCTGCAATCATAAATTATAAACTTTTAGGTCAGTCAGGAATCCCATGATTGGAAATCGAAATTTTAAAAAAACTTTTGCACCACTAACTTATCTATTAAAGGTCTTCAGGAGACTGTGTAAGACTCACTTATTTGGTCAGGGTGCATGGCTAGTTCCCCCGAGCTTCTCTGAGTCTCTACTCTGACTGAATAGCATACACCTAGTCCATCCTATCTGATATCCTACATCACATTACCTCTAAGAATTTTTTTAGGAAACTGAGTGGGACTCATTTGTTGAAGGTACCACGGTCTGGCTAGTTTCTCAACAGTCCCTCATAGTGTAACCCTATCCTGGCCACATATCTTTGAGCTATCCTCCTAAAGATCTTGTACTACCAACTTATCCATTATAAAATGAGTTTTAAGAGACTGTGTGAGACTCACTTGATCAGGGTGTCTGGCTAGTTCCTCCAGGGCTTCTCTCAGTGCTTCCATGATCTGATCACATACGCTTAGTCCATCCTCTCCCAACTCCTGCAGAACTACATCACCTACAAATCACAGAGATAGGGGAATTAATCAAATAATAATACACTGCCATATACATTCACAGAGTCTGGTACATCTAATGACAAAATATTCAGTTTTACAAAAAAGAAATCAATCTCACAAACTTGAATGCGTTTGATATATTAGCAGACTAGCAGCTGCTATATTTTTGAAAATTTGTACGATGGCACCTTTTTTTTTACTAGGCATTCTTTCATTCATTCAATTCGATAAAATAGAAAAATTACCCTCTATGAAAAATGGTTAGGAAGCTAAAGAAATACAAAACACAAAATATAGACTCAACTTTGCACACGGATACTAAAATAAAATGAATTATTATCTATATAAGGCCTCCAGCTGGTACAATGAATCAGTGTATTCCATATCTCTAGCGCAGTACCTGGATGACTGACCAATATTATTTTTGTATTGCTCAGTCATCCGGGTACTTCAACTATTGACATCAATATCACACACAAAAATCCATATTTACAGAGGTAAGTTAAATTTTGTTATTTCGCTAGTCAATATTGGACTCGTCTCTGACTCGTTCAATATTGTCGCAGCTCGAGCAATATATTCTTGTATCACACTCAAAGCCATCCAATAAGTATCCAGATTTCAAAATTGAATAAAAAGAAGACAATGCCGATAGCAGCTGTGCAATGCCCTCTCTTTTTGTTCACATAAATAATCTTCAGCTGTTTAGTCCCACCAACCTGTTACCCTGTGGAGTAGTTGCTCTCTCCTCTGGACGAAGAATCCCCTGAGGTCTTCACTGCATCGCGTGGTTGCCTCGGCCACTCGACCAGCAAGAGCCTGCCAGGCCTGCAGGGGACCCGCTTGGAAGTAGAGGGAGTGGGGCGAAGGGTTGGGCCGCGTGTGGGCGGTGTCCAGCCATTCACCTGTGACTGTTGGACAAATGAGTCAATGTCCATTAAAGGCATCGTTTAACAATGTTAAATCTGAGATGCACGGCCCTACGTGTTATCAATGTCTATGATATGGTGTAATATTGACGCCCTAAAAAAATTGCACTTCAAAATGATCAAGAAGTGCCTCAAAAAAGTAAAAATCTTTGAGTGACTGGTTTTACCATACTCGTTTTCCCCAATAGACTGAAGTTTTATGAAAACTGTTAGGAAAAAGCAAAATTTGGTTTCAATTTACAATCATAAATATCTTGATAATCAGACAGGCGATCAGCTTGTGAAAGTCATGGGGTTCCTGACTGACCTAAAGGTTTATAATTATCATTGAAGCATGAGCTAAATCCAGGATTTTGTTTCAGAATCTGAGGCAATATTACCTAGTCACTTTAATTACAATATCTATAAGGGTGACCCGGAATGTTTTCTCAGTGTATACCCATCAGTTGAGAGCCAGAAGGATGTTCACCAAAATGCTTTAACACAATATTAACACCCTTCTATCTCTCAACACCCTTTTATCTCTTAACACACGATACGATGGCTTTGTCTATGTCTACATAGCTTCAACTACATTTAACACCTATGGAAAACAAATTTCTGTAAATACATATCAACAATGTAATCTTGAATCTTGTACGTAATAACTATTGTTTATATAGCACCTTACCAATAGGAAGTAACCCTACTTATAAGCACTTAGTCTTTCTACAATATGTAACACTCAATTTAGATGAAAGGAAATGCAAAGGAAAAAAATGTTTGCTTAGAGCAATATAATTCTCTTTTGCTTTGAACAATATTTTAAATTTCCTAAAGCATGCACAAATGACTGTATCATATATTCTTTAAAAATGTAAAAGTAGAGCATTACAAGGAACCATCAATGTTAAGAAAACAGCATGATAATAGCGATTTTAACAATTAGGACACACTGCCTTTTTCATAGAAAAAAACCTTCCTCATATAATTTTGTTCTAGGACATTATGTTTGTACAGAGGGGACTGACGTCCAGACCGTAGAAGACTTCAGCCTGAACGCTAATTGACCTCCATGAAGTGATCTCTCACACACAGCATTATCAACCATCACATTGGGTTTGAGAAGGCTGACACAAATAAGCTGGTGTGCATAACTATACCTTGTGATTAGTTACCGGATCCCTTTAACAAAAATATATGTATATTAATTTGATTTATATGGGCATAAGCTGTGTATGGGAAGGGATACTGTGAGTGACCGGAGTCACTCGAATAACAATATTACCTACAGTGTATGGTTATATGCAGTTATACAGAAACAGTTCCTTAGCAAAAGCTGCACCTGTCTTCTAGAACTCACTTCCTTTGTATCTGAGACAGTTAGATTCAACAAAGCAATTCAAAACACATATCTGTTTATCTAAAATTTGAGTTTCACAGCCTGTAGATTACCTGTTGAGCTATTTCTTATGTATATTGCTTTATATTCATCATTGCTGCACCTTGATATGTGTGTGTGTTATAAATTCCTAAATAACGTTATCAATATGCATTCTTGTATAGCGCATATATCACATGCTGATAAAATATCATGCACTTCCAAAGGACTTTGGATATCTGTGTCAGCTCTGAACAGCTATTATTATTATTATCGTTATTTTGGCGTCACCTGTGCCTGGGAGGCGAAAAGCGAACTGAATCACTGTAACCCTGGGGTCTCTCCTCCTGGTATAACTGATTGGGGGTGTGCAGGTGGACCACTACACCGGAGTTCCCACTACTGTTATACGAATAGTGCAGTGGGTTCTTAACGTGCAAAGGTGGTAACTCTCCTCTACACGGGACCTCCATTTAACGTCCTATCCGAGGGATATAGTTGAAACTAGACTGAAACTTACCATAATCAAATCGAGTGGGTGAGAGAGTGGCGGGGCTGGACAAGCGGAGACCCAGCAGAGACGATAGACGGGACATCATCTCGTGGCCTCCAGCTGGATGTGAAAAATTGTAAATAAATCAGTTCAAAATGTGTTACGTGGACAGCAAAAAAATGTTTAAAATCTAGAGAAAAATTACTACATGTACCGTAAAGTGAAATATTTAAAGAAAAATAAGGAGATAATGAAAAATTTGAAATGCTTGTGAACTTGTCATAAATAATAGTAACAATGTCTTTTTTAAAACTTAAGATGACAGATAAATTTTCCTTCGAGTCCAAACATAAACTTAGACATGCAGGCTAGTTTTTGAGTGGTGAATCGATATCCCGTGTGAATGAGCTACAAGATACGGCTGTGTGAGCTGAAGGGACAGGTGAGCTTCTGCCGGCAAAGTGCTATGTGAAGAGGCATAATTTATCAAGACTGAAAAAACTCTCTTCCCTTCAAATTAGGAACGTAGGTTAACTTCAAATAGTAGATCCTATTCTTTATTGGCATTATGTGATTTATGTTGAGATACAGAGGTTTTCGAAAACCACTATAAAGTAGCATTTTGAGGACTCAAATATCCTGTACCTGTCTTATACACAGAGATTTACGGTATTGACCGGTAAGCCGGCATGGCTAAAATCCCGACTACAATTTTGACCAATCAGATCAGATGGCTAGATTTCTAAAGAGAGGTATATAATGTAGGACATTGACAGAGTGGCAATTTTCACCGGAGCATCTTTGTAGGACCACCCTGGTGAACAGGTGGACATGTACCGGTAGGTTACTGTGAAAAGGTGACCTCACCTGTAGCCTCGAGCGGGGCAAAGAAATCCATGGATCCGCCCTCTTTGGCCGACTCGATGCACTGAGAGAAAGACTCCCAGAAGTTCTTGATGTCCGGATGTTCTATCATCTTGGCCGTGATGGCCATCTCTCTGATGATTCGCACCGAGTCCTCTCCAAGAGTGAATAAACCAATGCTCCTACAAATAATGAAAACAATGATTTTTTTTTTAATAAAAAAAACGCAGAAGGAAGTTACTCTGTATAAATTGGAATAGCCGTCTCTAAGATCCAATGTATAAAGTTTGCTGCAAGAACACATAGACACATTGATGCTCATATGGCCAACAAATGTCACATTAGCTGCTAAAACCGGTGTGTTGGCTCAGTCAGTAGAGCGTTCGCCTCACAACCAGGAGGTCGTGGGTTTGAACCCCGGCCGCATCATACCAAAAGACGTTAAAAGATGGGAGTTGCTGCTACCTTGTTTGGCGTTCAACAATAAGGGATAGAGCAACGTCGATCTGGCGCTGCTCAGTGGCTGCCGGGCTCACGATCAATTGGGCAAAAAGAATTTCCATTTTCGGTTTAACTTAATCAAATTTGGAGTGGACTTTAAAAAGATTATTATTATTATTATTATTATTATTATTATTATTAAAAGTGGCATTACAGCCAGTCAAAAATGACATTATGTAATATGTACAGAAGCTTTAATCTCTTCAAATTTGTTGATACATTGCAAATAAAAAAAAACCTATAGAGATAAGTAAATAGTATAAGCAAATCAATTCAAGTTCATAATAGAAATGAAATAGATTCAACTAAAGCACGCTGGTAACCGCAATGTTTATTATATTTTCATTTTGTTCTCTCGGCGATACCATAGTACTGTTGCTTCCAGCTAGCTAGATGGGCAATGTCACGTTACTCGTTTGTAAATTTCGCACCGCATCAAAGATTGAGTTCTCTTCTTCACTTTTGAGGTCAGTAAATAATATTTCTGTACAATTAATAGAAAAATTTGTAACCTCTTGTCACGTTTAAGACTATATTGGGGAATATAGCTTCGACCTAAACACCCCGAGTGATTTCATTCCGTTCATGCTACAGCAAACGGCATAACCTCCTGCTACGCTGGCATCAGGCCACTCCAGCAAAGCATAGAGAGTCAATGCTAATGCATATTGACCTCTAGCGCTGTACTACATGCTAATAGGCAGCAATTGCACACATGAATAATCAATACACACATTACACACAAATGCACACAATGAAGTTTGACAGTAGACTCACAATTTGAATTTTCAAATTATTCTTTCTAACATCAGTAAGGTGAAAAGATTGTATTTTACTGCTATTTAGGTGTCATCAATTGTCACTTAAGTACCGATTTTGAGTGTAATCAGTTGAGATTTGTACAGTGGTGTTTGAAATGTTGAGAATCAATAGAACAGGTTTTACTACACAGCCAGGATAGTAATGCAGCTATGTTTGACATGAATAACTTACCTGGCTTGATGTGACCCTACAGTAGCTTGTAACATCTCCAGGAGGGACTCTATGGTGCTGCCATTATACTCATACACTATGGGTAACACGTCTGGTTTGGCCGCTGAGACAAGGAGCTTGGAAAGAACAATGGAATAGAAAGGGTTTTTCAGGTTGCTTTAATAGAGAAATGTAATGGCACAAGAAAGATGTGTCCAGGGCCATGTTTCATTAAACTTGTTATCAATGACAAGTTACATTAACTGTTATAAGCTACTGAAATCGTGGTATTTGATTGGCTGAGAGCAAGTTTGTCATAGAAATTTCGCAGAAAATTTTAATAGAGAAATGAAGTGGCACAAAAGAGACGTGTCCAGGGCCTCATTTCATAAAACTTGTTATCAATAACACATTACAAGCTACTGTTATAAGCTACTGAAATCATGGCATTTGATTGGCTGAGAGCAAATTTGTCATCGAAGTTTCGCATTTGTTATTGATAACAAGTTTTATGAAACAGGGCCCTGAATGCAAAAGGCATAATGATGTTTGTTATCAGAGGTTCTTTATTGACATATCTCAATGTAAGCGTAAGTAATATTATGCCTAATTGAGATAGTACAGTCAAACCTGTCTATAGTGAAAGCCCGAGGGAAACACAAAAAGTGGTCTTTGAAGACAAGTTCCTTTAGTACATGTTTCAATGAGAAAACAATTTCAAGGGAAACAAAAAATGTGGTCTTTGTTTAGACAGGTGATCACTAAAGCAGGTTTGACTGTATACACGTATTTACCAGCTTTTAACTTAACGATGTACTTCTACTTCTGTGAGATGAAATTATAATTTTCAACCATATTCATTTTGCATTCTGGATGCATCTTCTTAACGCTTCCTAACGAACCAATCAGGAAAGGACCTGCCAAATCTTGCATTTTTTTTGTGTTTTTGGTATTGATCATCTATCAAGGATGAAAAATGTTTATGCACAAATGACTCCAATTTATGTTAGAGAAGATATATGATTCATTGCATGAAGTTACTACACATAGACAAACAAGAGTGCAAGTTAGAATCAGCAACTTTAAAAGCACCTTTTTTCTGCATTGCAGAAGACATCCTCGAAGTTTCAACAGTGAGTATTCATTTTGATTGCTTTGAAAGGAGTACTACTCGTTTTCCCAAGCCTTCTTCAGTGTCATTTTCATATAAGACATCATTTGTAGGTGTCATGGTCAAGTGGATGTGTCACCGGACTATGGATCATAAGGTCTGCGGTTCTAGTCCAGCTGCGGCACTAATGTCCTTTGACAAGATAAAATCTACATTTGCCACACTCAACCCAGATGAGGTAAATGAATACCTGGCAGGAATTAATTCCTTCAAACACTAGAGAGAAGGAAAGAAAATGCTAACGATTGAACGCTTACTTGATAAGCTGGTACTTCACTAGATATAAGCAGAATCCTGAATGGGGAATCCCCTCTGATGACCTTTGACCCTACATCATGTTTGGACGTTTCCTTGAATGCGGAGTAGTCTCCACCTCTAGACAGATCAGGTCTGTAAAAAAAAAAGGGGTCAAATAGTCGTCAAATAGCCAGAAAATAGTGACCGGTGTTTGCTTCTGCGACATATGCTCCAGGCTTTATTTTGTCAGGGGGGTGTTTCACAAAGCCTAAGATCAACGTTAAGTCGAACAGCAGGCCATTCATGCCACTGGTTGCTCTCACCATTGGTCTCTCAATGATGATTTCTAGATTTGTGACCAAAGCTATGTTGCTGGCTTACAAGTGTCCTGAATATCTTAACTTGAATGACTGAATGGACAAAAACAACATCACATACCTCCTGCACTTGCAAGCTACTTTCATTTTCATGTTCAATCAAGTCATGTTCTATTTCCATTATATTGTCAAATTTATTAACATAGGTATTCAAGTTTATGGATGTTGTTTCCAGCATGGGGACCTATAGAGACGAGTTATTCCATTGACCTGTTATTAATGAATGAACTACAATACTTGGAATCCAGTCTGCATACATTGCTTCTTGCTATGTAGGGCATGCCTTGGGCAAGCTTCCAGGTTGTCAAGAACAACCTTTGTTTAAAAAGTATGCATAAAGTTTGAATATGTTAGTAAAAGGTCTATTGACACTATGAATATGAAGGACAAAGAAAGCGGACAAAATATACAGTTCCTCAGGTAAACGAAGGAACATCCCTTTCACTGCTATTATATAAAAAGGTGACTATGCATAGTGACACCTGTTCTACACATGTTTACATAATAGCAGTGAAGGGATGTTCCTTTGTCTACCTGAGGAACTGTACATTTTGTCCGTTTTCTTTGTCAGTTATATTCATAGTGTGAGCTCCTCTCCAGACCTCACCAGCTGTGTTTATAGAACCAGTAACTTCAAGATAAGCAAATATGTCGTTAGCACTTCCCTACTCTATTGCATCTCCTCTCAGGACCTTGCTTATACAATATGGAAAGAACGTTGGTTTAAAAGAGTAGAGGAGGTTGATTGCATTGATCACTATGTGCATGCGTGTCGATACTTACGTAATACCAATTCATCAGGGGGGGATGAATGAATAGATCATCCCCCCCTGATGAATAGGTATCAGTTACGGATCGACACCCATGACTATGTGCAATCAATCACAAAAATCAATCGTATGATCAATTACCAAGTTTTGTGTTACAGGGCCTAGAACTCAAATTTATCTTACAGGCCTTTTTTAAAGGGAGACAAAAGTCATGGTCTTTTTATACAGGTGGGAACTCAATAAAAGGCAAGTTCGACTGTCAATAGACCATTACAGGGCGCGACAAACCCGCTTGCCCGACGTCCCGGGGCAACCAAATTGAGCCGTCGGGCAAGTAAATCAAATTATCACTTGCCCGATTCGGGCAAGTGATACTTTTACAGTAATTTCCTAGTGTCCAAGAACTCTACCATTCACCCGTCAACTTCTTACCCGTCGTCAAAATCCAGAAGCAAAAAAGCGATCGTTCCGATTTCGAAAAAACTTCACAGACAGCTAGCCAGCTCAGCTAGCTCAGCGCGCATGCAACAGTGACACTTCAAGCCATGAATGCCGCTCCGCCTCCACGCACGGCCGGCAGTGAGCTAGCTAGAGACAGCTAGCGCGATCGTACCAGCTGCGAGCTTATTCGCGCTCTCTCTCTCTAGCTCTGCAGGCCGCACCGACAGGCCTTTGCTATTCTCTGATTGCCGATTGGTTGAATCACGCCAAATATGACGTCATTATTCTAGGGAAATGAACACGTGCGAATCGGAATGGAATAAACAACAGGGATTTTCTAGTAAGTACAAAAAGTCAAATGTTTGATATTTATTCATAATGACTGTTAATGATTGTGAACATATTATTTAAAACTCGCTGCTCATATAAATCAGATGAATGTTTTTGTCTCGTTTTCAATTTATTACTGCGGTCTCAAGATCCGACCGAGCGAGTCATTTTGATAATAGTATCGAGACCCCCAGAATATAAGCTGTTGTTGTTTTGTTTTCATGGTTTTAGCGACGTTGTTTAGTCTAGTTTTCGCATACTTATCCGAGATTTATCGTAAAATATCTTCAATATTATTATTTAGTAAGAATTTACAAATTTTGGCATGATATTTATAGCAGTGAATGATGAAATAAAAATGTCCGTACTTTATTTAAAATAGTTGATTACCCATTATTTACATGACGTTTCTTGATGGAAGAGTTGACCCAAATTATTAACAGCTGAAAATTAGCCTACGTTTCCAAATGACAGCGGCTTGCACAGACACACATGTGATGTTGCACCATGGTACATGTGGCTACCATTAATGACATGTTTGTATCATATTTTTTACAACAGGGTCATTATGCTTTTTTACATGACTGAATATTAAAAACTTAAACCTGCTTGAACCATTCTACCTTGCCGAGATTCATGTGAATCTGATTATTTATGGAGAATCAATAAAATGCGTTTTTTAAACCTTCAACCATCCTTTGTTGACCATTTTCTTTGACATATTAGGTTATTATTCAGTACAGTTACACTGTACATGTATGTGCATTAATTTGCTATCTAAAACACTAACTTATCATTACGAGATAATAAATGCTTTAACCTCGAGTCCTTTTTCGCTTTAAAGTTTTGGGCAAGTGGAAATATTGTTTGGGCAAGTAAATTGAAAACCCACTTGCCCGACAGGGCAAGTGGTGAAAAAAATTCTTGTAGCACCCTGCATTACATGGTTAGCACATGTCCCAAATAACCCTGAATATCCACAGATCTACAAAACATGAAGAGGTCCCACTTTGTACATTTTGAAATAATCACTCCTACAGCGATGGAGGGGCTACATAAATAGCCTTTGTTTCCCCTTTTCAAAGAATACTTCCACCTGTGTATCATGGAGTGCACTGCTTGTGCGTAAATGAACAATGATTACATAACTTTCATGAGCTCTGTGCATGTCTCCGTGTATTTCACAATAGGCCATCTTCGTAGTGTAACCAAATTCAATGCACAAGTCTTTGTGAAGTGCCTCAATACAAATTATTTCATTCACCTGATAAGAATAATAGTATTTCAATAGTCAGAATACAACTGCATATATTAGGTGTTGCAAGGTAAGTCAAGCCATAATGTTTGTCCAACCTGGCAAAAGCTAATGTATGCAGTTTGGATTCTGTCTATTGAAATACTATTATTCCTATCAGGTGAATGAAATAATTTGTATTGAGGCACTTCACAAAGACTTGTGCATTAAATTTGGTTACCTTACGAAAATGGCCTATTTGGTCTGCAATGACCTTTATCTGCTCATGCTCAGACTCACTATGAACATGACGGACAAAGAAAGCAGACAAAATATACAGTTCCTCAGGTAGACAAAGGGATCCCTTCACTGCTATTATGTAAAAACGTGTAGAACAGGTAAATATGCATGTGACACCTGTTCTACACATTTTTACATAATAGCAGTGAAGGGATGTTCCTCTGTCTACCTGAGGAACTGTATATTTTGTCCGCTTTCTTTGTCCGTCGTGTTCATAGTGACTACAACTATGAACTGACTTATTACCTTCTAGAGACTGGCTGAACTTCAGGTTTTGCCCAGGCCTTGTTGATCTTGTCTGGGCTCTCACTCAGTTCTATCGCTATACAGGCTGATAATGAGGTGGCTAGACTCCTGCCATTGCCTATCGTTTCTTCTACATCCTGCAAAGAAGGATGATGAAAACAAATCGAAAACAAATTAAGCTAATACAAAAATCACATTATCCAATGGTTGTAAAGTGAACAAGTATATTCTACTGCACTTAATACAAGGTATCACATTATTACCCTGGCTATAATGAGCTGCCATAATAAGGCGCTAAAGCATCCAAGGAATTTCTTCCTACCGGATACCTATTTACTTAACCTGGATGGAGAGTGGAAAATGTAGATTAATGTCTTACCAAAGGACATTAGTGTTGCGGCGGGACTCTATTGTCATGAATTACGATGTTCTACTTCTACTTCTACGACGATACTCAGCAGGATCCATAAGTCAGGATGTATAGTGCTGAGGAATAAACTATCTAAAAACGAGGCCAACCTTGCATGACTAGCTCTTGCTATTTGTTAGCTCTATTTACTAAATGTACTGTATACTGTAAAGCTGAATTACAATGTAACTTGAATTTGGGGTAATAGTTAGATGAATGAATACACCCTTAGGAACATAGAAGACCAAAATCTGCAGCTCAATTAAGGTACCTGATTGACTCTATGCTGTTTCTTTCTATCGCCGGACTCCAGGCCATATTCAAAGTTGCGGGCAGGTTCAGTCCACGATCGCTGGTGCGCCTTGGATAGGCCAAAGGTCGGGTTGGCCGAGTCCGCCATGCTCTTGAAAGCTTTCTCAGTGTCCTGGGGTCGTGGATCAGGGTCAAGCCATGGCCCCCTCTCAGCATAGGGATCTAGGATTGAAAGAATGATAATATTAGATCAGAGATGCCAACTTCTTGACACAAAAAAAACAGACTGAGTATCCTATAAAAAAAAATCAGATTTTGGAGAGAAATATCAGATTTTCACAAAAACTCGACACTACCTCTGTTGCTTGCTCTTTCACTAAAATTTAATAAGAAAATAGTAAAGCAAAGTTTTTGTTGGGGTTGCAGGGGTTAACTTGTACATGTTTCTATGTGATTCAGCTGTTTTTATGTTGTTGTTTTTTTAAACGACCCTTTTCTTCTTTTTTTTGAAAAAAAAAGATTAAAAGATCGTATTTTAAGATCGTATTTCACTCTTATTATCATACTAAATACGATTTAATCGTACTGATTGGCATCTTTGTTAGATGCATTTATCTTCATTCCATCTTTCAATTCATAACTATAAGTTACAGATTATGATGGTGCCTACATACATTGTAGATCTCATCAAATCATTGGGGAGTTCATGAAACTTTTTTTTAAAATAAGGAATTAGTTGACACTACTGTACATTCTCTATGGAAGCCGGTATTGTATCTGCGCGTGTGCTGAACTGCGCAGTGTGGGAGGAAGGTCGCAATCTACTGTCGAACATTGTACTTGAGGTAGGGTTGATTCTTTACACAACCTTTCTTTATACAAGTTTCATATTCCTTTCCTAAAGTCTGATAAACAGGCAATTCGATACTTGAGGGGAGTGGAATGACTCACGTGGATTAAGAGGAAGTTCCTTGGTCCTGCCTGCCTTCAGTTTCCTTAAATACTCCTTCTCCGCTAGGGTTGAACCATCTCCAAGCTTGCCATACCTGTCAGACTGGAAGAAAATAGTACAAACCATTTCATGGACATCAGCCTTATGATATATCCTCTCCTAAATGCTTTACCTTCCACTAAAATCCTTTTCACATTCGGTAATTAAATCTAATATCAAAATTTCGAACCATGGAAGGATAACTCTCTTAAAAATTGCCTGTATTACTAAGAAGACAAACTTCTATATATGCAGAAGACACAGGGCTTTAAAACAAATTTAAAGGCATAGCTAGAGCATGCCTGCAAAATGGCAAGCAAACGTTCCTACAACTTAGTGCTGTTATATGTTATACTGCACTATATAGCAATAGATTTCTTATGATATTTACTGACAGTCAACCTTACTTTGCCTTTACTAAGTTCAGATTAATCTCATTAAAACATTTCAAATATTTAATACTATTGCATTCTTAGAGCCTATCTGTACTAGTTTGGCCAGGGGTATTAAACCACCCTGCAAGGTCACTGACAGGTGGTTATCTCATCAAATCAGCTCTCAAAGTCTCAATTAACATACGAAAAAGGGGATCATGGGGGACCAACAGGCACCGATTAGTTTGCTATATAGGGGGCGCAAGTAGCTATAAGTAGTGCAGTGGGGCTTTAAAGGCCAGATGATAAATATTTCAACTTCTCTAGTGACCATTTGAAAATGTCAAACATTACCATTTGTCCTCAACTAATGAATTCTCTCTGTATAGCCTTTATTAGTACACGAGCCACAAAGTTCCCACAGACAATGGGTTGAGATAAAAAAAAAAGTTATTCAATTATAAGAGTACCGGTAATGATTGACATTTGCCACCCTTTTGGAACCACTACAGGAGTAAGGGAGCATGCCCAACTCAATTGTTTGTTTGTTGTTCTTGTGGTTTTTTTTTTTTTTTTTTTTTTTTTTTGGGGGGGGGGGGGTTCTTTGTTTATTTGCTTGTCGTCAATTTTTGGGGAAATTGTATCAGCCCCTCTTTTACAAAATCCTGCATCGATCTCTCTCAACAACTCGACAGAAGATTGTACCTTTTCATTGGGCTGTGTAACATCGAGCGACCTGAAGCATTTGATGTAGTGTTTCTTCCAAGCTCCAAATTCATTCTCTCTGGGGACGTAGGGAAGGAGCCAGCCGTGTCGGAGGCACTTGTGTATCCAGAGCTCATCCTGCAATCAATCAGTCAAATAAACACACATAGGAAAGTGAAATGTTAAAGCCTGTCTGCACTAGTTTGGCCAGGAGGGATTAGTACACCCAGCGTGGTCACTGACAGGGGGTTGTCTCATCAAATTCAGCTCTCAATTAATATAAGAAAAAGAGGATTATGGGGGACCAACAGCCACCGCTTAGGCATTGTTTTCTATATAGAGGGAGCAAGTAGCTACAATTAAGAGTACGGTGGGGCTTTAAGTGGATATAAAAGCAGAAGAATGAGAGGAACAGACAGTTGGAGAAAGCTCTGATGAAATATGAAGAGTGGCAAATGTAGATCAATGTCTTGCCAAAGGACATTAGTGTCGCGGTGGGACTTGAACCGCGGACCTTGTGATCCACAGTCCAGTGACATATCCACTTGTCCACGACACCTCTACCACTGGCTGTTGTCAATTACCTGTTCGCTGACAAACTTCCAGTGCCAACAGACCATGGATGCGCGGCTGAGGCTGCGAGGGTCCAGGAACGAGAAGATGTAGAGGCAGAGGAACCGCGGCAGGATCTTGGTGAAGTCCACATGGGTCAGCGGAATTTTACTGTCAAAGAACTGCTGAATGAAGACAAGCTGGCTACGCTTACAATGCACCAGTAGGAACTGCAGGAATCGCTTCCGCTGGGAGTCGGTCCACAGGTCAAACTAGAAGAGTATAGCAGTAATTCATTATTTCAGTAATAATAATAACAACAATAATTATAATATAAGGAAAAAGAAGAAGAAGAAAAAAAAGAAGAAGAAGAAAAGGAAAAGAAGAATAAGAAAGAAGAAGAAGAAAAAAAAAGAAGAAGAAAAAAAAAGAAGAAGAAAAGGAAGAAGAAGAAGAAAAATAGATATAGATAGCTTTCACTGAAACAGTTCGATAGTCTTAAAGCCTTTGGTACAATAAATACAATGTGGCACAGAAAATGTAAACAAAATTGTGGCATATCACTCACACTGTATCACAGAGTTAAAGCCACACTCCTCCCAACACAATTTCACAAAACCGTAATTTATACATGTAAGTACAATTTCACTGACATCCTATCAAAATGACAGTGGTCCTATGCTTATGTCGGTTTCATGAAACGCTGGCACACTGATTTCTCATCTTCATCTTCAAGGAGTTCCAGAATGTATTTCTGAGCATCCAATTCTCTCAGGATCCCATGACAGTCCTCCAAAACTATATTAGTTTTAACAAGGTTTAATAATCACCGTTAAAAAATATGCACGATGTGATTATCATCTATCAATTTCCATATCCTTGCTGGATGAAAGCCTAAATTATTCCAAGTAGGTCTAGTGTCAGAACTTTAAGTGCATGTATATCTGTTAGATCCATTGGAGTCCGACCCGGCCCCCCCACTCAGTGTTATTTAGGGTACGCGTATGCTCGTTCCCTCTTTTTGAAAACACCCCCTATCTGAGGACTGGCAACATTTCCGAACCCCCCTTTCGCGGGCTTTTAGCGGGCTTTTCCTGCCTTGGAGACCCCCCTAAATACGGAAAAATGCTCAATGTACCCCCCTAAATTCAGAATAATTTCTCAGGAATCCAAAGAGATGAGAGAAAAAAAGAAAAACACCCCCTATTTAAATAAATCTCTGGGTGAAAAGTCCAATACACCCCTTTTTTTACAATTCTCGGGCCGGACTTTGTCGCACGAAAAGCACCCCTTTACTGGACATTTTGGTAACACGCATGCGGTCATTCCGACCCCGGAGTGGGGGGGCCGGGAGTCCGACTGAGCTAAAATAAAATTTGAAATACTTTTGTTAGTTTTGTGTACACTTACCCAATGAGCAGTTAAATCTCTCCTTTCCAAGTAGAGCTGAAATAAAAAGAAAAATTTAAGGAATATGTAGTTAATAATCACAACCAAAGTACATTTTACATTTTGCAGTCGTTTGCATCTGTTCCCAAAAAAATGAGCTAACCTACAAAGGTTTGGAAATCTTAATTTTGAGAGAATACACGTTATAAAAATTGTAAGTATATAGTGCAATGATACCAACTGCTTGTACATGTTGTATGATATTTGGTTTTCACATTTGTTTTCATGACCTTTTCTTTCGTTGTAGCGCACACCGGTCGAACATAGAATACAGAGATTGCGATATCTCCAGAGTTTTTTTTTCAATTAATTTCCTATAGTTGCCCCATTTTCGTAGTCTAGAATTTTGCTGTTCATTAACTTCATTTGGAGTCTATACTATTAATTTATTTAAATGAATTTGTGTAGAGTATGAGAATTCATGGTCATGGACCAATTTATTCCCAGACAACGAGGCCTAAATTCACAAAGGGGGTTTGTCGACAAACCTTGGTTTTCGTACGTCATATGACGCGCTTTTACACGTTTTTTACAAACCTGGTTTGCAAAAACACGTCAAAACGCGTCAAATGACGCACGAAAACCAAGGTTTGTCCACAAACCTCCTTTGTGAATTCGGGCCAGAGTGCCCGGACACCTGATTATTTAAGACAGCGTTTTGAAGAAGTTTTCAGGCAATATTTCATTAATCTTTTAACTTATGAATAGGTCTATGCTAGACAGTATTATAAAATAATAAAGGACGATTATTTATGATGGTCTAGACCGTTGGCATTAGTGCTATTTGATGCGAAGTTTTTGATAAATCAAATACACCCCCGGCCCATCATTAATCTCGTCATCATCATCATGTTCATAATCATTCTTCATCTTCTTCGACTTCGTCATACCGTTTGGCTTTGCCTGAGATTGGCCGATTTTCATAATTAGATCTAGGTCTAGGGTCTAGATTGGAAGAATCACCTGTTCGTTTGATGGTTTATGTAGAATAGGTGTCCATGTACTATTCTTTGTCTGCAGTTTGTTTGTCTTGAAGGTAGTTCCTGAGCGCATTGACGGTGTACTCATCTGAAGTGGCGAGACCTGAGCCGTCTTCTTCAATGAACGATCACCAGAGTGTTCTGCCCTATACTTGAGCACCCTATCAGCAGCAGGTGCTGTCCCCGACGCTCCGGCGGTCGCAACAGGTAGCGACCTGCTCAAAGGGTTGCTGCTTGTCCTCGGTCGCGGAATTAATTTTGTTGAAGAATTCGACATTTTGGCAATGTTTTAGTGATTTCCTTTCCACAAGACCGCCTCATGAGCAAGAAATCAACCAAGGTTAAACGTTCCTCGTCCAGATTAGCGCAAAGAGACGAGGCAATCGCAGTTAATTGTCACCATGGCCACACAAAGCTTCTTTACCTTAACGGTTGTAAATTGTCATATCCGAAATATATCGGCATATGTTTTGTTGTGTGTACGTACGTGTGTCACTGATCTCTACGGATTTTCCGTAGAGATCAGTGACGTGTGTACGTTTAAAATATATTCGTATCCGAAATAAACACCATTTTCGAGGGGGAGTCCCATATGGGGTATTGGGGGGGGGGGGGGGGGGGGGGGGGGGGGGGGGGGGGGGGGGGGGGGGGGTTACATAGGCCTTCATATCGCCAGCTTATTAACACTACACACATTTTTGTTATCAGTTTCAGAATATAGGAACAAAATATGCATCATTTGATGTACATACAGGGAATCTAGGTAGCATTTTAAATTTTAGTGATTTTTTTACAAGATGGCACAGCTAGGCAGGGTATAGGCTAGACCGAAAGCTTCAGTCTCTCTAATCGTCGGTTGTTCCACTGAGACTACGTCTGGCTCCACTAGACCTCGAAAGCTTCAGTCTCTCTAATCGTCGGTTGTTCCACTAGACCTCCGATTATTATGTATTGGGGAATGACAACAAATGTCAGTTTTATTAAAGAAATGACCCAAATCAGATGGTTATTGCTGTCTAGGTATAGGCCTACTATAGGGGACAAAATCTTTTATGTCAATCAAAGATAAAACGTTCAAGTCATTTTGGTGCACACATATTTCAGGAAATCAAGGTAGCAGTTTCATTCACAGAAAATAATAAGAATTTAGCAGGGGAAAAATAACTTTGCATCCTGTATCAAACCACTATCATATTAATGACGGATGGCCAACATATTTGACACTCTTTCATATTATGATAAGTAGTATACAATTTTCATACGGATGAACATTTCGTGCAACAAAAATTAATAAATCTATATTGCATTCACCTCCGAATCCCCAATTTAAATCTACCTACCCCCCCCCCCCAATACATTTTTTTAAGATGTAAAACTGAAAATTTATAAGACCCAGTGTCAGGCTAATTTAAGCTTGAAGCTTGTGGAAACTTGTCAAAAACATAGTTTTATATGGGTCTGCAGGAGAAGGGAAAAAAAAAAATCAATATTATTTTTTAGAATGATGATATGATAAAATGTGATACATGTACAGAGCATCTTTGTACTACATATCCTCCTAATATGGAAAACAGCTGAGAAATGAATCATTGAAACATTTTTGAAGAAAAGAAAGACTTAACAAGTTGGTTTTAATGATGGTATAATAGTACAAGATTGGTTTAATGATGGTATAATAGTACAAGATTGGTTTAATGATGTCAGATAAACTCAATTGAATAATGCATGATAGTACATTTGTAATAAATCAAGAGTATCAAAATTATAGATAAAAATACAGAAGATTTTTCTTGTATCTGCCTACCCAAGGTCAAGCACATCTATAGCTGGTGTTACGAATAAAAAGATGAAAACTAATGCCATTAAAAAGAGTCCCACTTAGGAGCATTTTAGACAATTTTTTCAAAAGAAATGGGGATGCGACATAAATAGCAGTTATTCATTTTAACCTGCTTATCATGGGATGCGACAAGGATGCATCATTGAAGAATGATTACATAACTTTTGTGAGCACCTACGTATTTCCCTCACTTGATATCAGGGTCTGGGGGTGTTTCACAAAGATCCTAAGTTGAACTTAACTCTTAAGTTGGACTTAAATATTATGGAGAGCCATCTGTAGCCTTAAAATAAATATATTCAAAAGCGAAAATTCAAGTATTTTAGACTTTTTTTTTTATAAATTCCACATCAAGAACATGAAATCTCCTTGATAATAGAAAATAAGAATGATTTGAATCAAAATGTTATGCCTTTTAAAATAACTTTTACAAAATATTTCATAGATGCTAATGGCTTTCCATAAGTCCAACTTAGAGATAAGTTCAACCTAGGATCTTTGTGAAACACCCCCAGGAGGTACAAATGACTTTTATCTGCTCATGCTCAGACTGAACTGACTCATTGAATTCATAGCTTCAAGTATAGCACATGTGTGGTATGTAGCAATCCCCATAAACTTTGTTTTGCTCTTGATCTAAAGGGGTCCTAAGTGGCTATACTGTGTTCAAAATATGAGCTTCAAATCTTCCTTTTATAAAGAGATATTGCAATTTATTTGAAATACACTCTCAGCTAACAATAAAATGTCCTGTTGAGTAGACTGTTTAATGCATGTACAGTGTGTATTAAGCATTCGCATAGAATTAGGCATGCATTGAAATCAAGTCCGACTCGGGATCAGAGCCCTATACACTGGGTTTTATGTTATCCCTTATTTTCTTCATACTCTTTACCAGGTAATCGTTTACCTATAAGTTGCCAGATAATGGGGAGGGGGATGCTTGGAACACTTTCAATTGGTTTCTTTCTGGATTAATTTTCACCGGTCAGAAACAGCCTCTTGTGAAAACGGGTAAAATGGATGTTTCGCTCTCTTAAATTCATAACATAATGCAGTTCTTGAAAACACTACATTGACATGTGTATACAGAAGTTATGCAAAAGAATACTTGGCAATATTTCATGGCAAAACTCACTCAAGGCAAAATTGTGAGTAACGGTACAGTCAATTTTGGATACTTTTTACACAGAGGTTTTCAGAAAATGAGAGGAATCTAAGATTCATAACATGAGTTTGAAGGCCCCCAAAATAGGAAATCATTCCTCAAAAGTAGTAATGGTTGGCAGCTATGTATGTACCCCTAATATGACTTCTACTCATACTGATATTATATGTTTACTCTGCACATTGTATGTTTTCAAGATTTTTCAGCAAATCATATATATATAATTTTAAGATTAAAAGAGCAAAACTGTTTCATTAAATAAACAAGAGAAGAGAAGAGATAGTGTTACCGTGAAATGTATAAATATGACCAATATCAGTTCTAAACTTCTAATAAACGTAAAATGACTGTGCAGTGACACATAGTTTACTCACATACTCATAATGTACAATCATAATACATGTATACCAAATCATAATCAAAATCATAATTCATCTAATTATTTATATTAAAATAATGCCTGCTTAATTTCGTTAAAAGCGACAACAAGAAAATGGTATTTTATGTAGACTCCACGATACCCTTTTAAAGCTCTTTAATTCAGTTTCATACACAATATGATTAAAAATGTGAGCAACAAATGCAGTTATCTTACAAGACATACACCGAGTTCTTTATACATGAATGTACAAAAATGCTTTTAAAGTACTCTTAAAGCATTTGAATTTGAAAGCTCATAAGTAAATATGAAAGATATACATTGTATACCCAAATAACTGCTTTTTTATTGGGGGGGGGGGGGTGGTGCATCTTGCCTCTTTGAGTAGACGTATCTTAGTTACGTAGTTTAAAAACCGTCTGCACTAGTTTGCCCACGGATTAGACCTCCCTGCAAGGTCACTGACAGAAAGTTATCTCATCGATTCAGCTCTCAATTAAAGATATTACAAAGTGTTGGTAAAATAAAGGGGATAATAGGGAACCAACAGGCACCGATTAGGCATTGTTTGCTATATAGAGGGGGAAAGTAGATCTAAGTAGTGCAGTGGGGCTTTAATCACTTGACTGGTAATGCAGAGGTTGTGGGTTCAAGCCCCAGCATGACACTTATATCCCTGGGCAAGGCATTTTAACTACATGGCTCCTCTCCACCCAGGGGCTAGTTAGGTGTACCCTTTAGATCAACGTGATTGGTTTAGCTTGTGCACGACCAAAGCCCAAGCAGCTTTCGTTTTCCCCACAGAGCTATAAAACAGTACTAGAATCCAGAAACCAGTTTTATGATAATACTCTAAAAGAAAGTTATTATTGTCATTATGATTACTTGTGCAAGAATGAGAGGGTATGAGATGTTTGATATTTATTAGAAATAAAGGAAACATTTTCTCTTACATGATCAGAATTTTAAAAAAATTGTATAAAAGGTACATACATTATATCTAAATCTCAAGGTTAATTTCAATAAGAAGCCATTCCTTTGTCAACAGCTTTTCAATTTGATGAGGTATTGTGCAAAGTTTGCTTTGTATGATTGCACAAATATCAAATTTCTTGCCCTCTGCCGTAGAGTCAGTGATCATCAACTTCTTGACCAGAAAAAGGCCAGAATCATAATTTTGTTCAAGCAATTTGAGATAATTCCTTTCCCTACAATTCATCTTTCCCCAAAATGCAGGACTATCAGCCAGTACCAATCATAACTCTATTACTATTACAACTGGGCCCTGTTTCATAAAACTTAATATCAATAACAAGCTACTGTTATAAGCTACTGAAATCATGGCATCTGATTGGCTGAGAGCAAATTTCTCACAGAAATTTGAGAGAGAGGGCCCAAGTCCACAAGAGCAAGGCATGAGATCGCAAATACCCTCCATTTTATGCACACAAAAATGATCAATATAACATATACAGTGTATTCACCACCTAATTCAGAATTCCCCTCGTGCCATTATATTATAAACTGCGGCCTTGGTGGAATATATCATCTCTCACAAAGTTCTTAATTTTTCAGTTCATACCCTTTGTTATATTCAACAGCGGAGCATGAATCATTTGGATAATATTGTGAGGCAGCTGTGGCTGTGGCTGTGGCTGAATACTCTATGTACTATGAGAGACCAATCCTGTGTGTGAACCTCCTTTAACATGTGGTGGTTGTTATTTTACCTGACTACTAAGAAAGCATAAATACTTGTAAGTAAGCAACCAGACGGCCGACAGCTTTATGCCCTCTCCGAGGGACCTGCTAATGAGGGTTAATGCCTTACCAAAAGGCACTAGCGCATCGCCTTGGTTTCGAACCTGGGTCATCGGATTACGAGACCACTGTTCTACCGACTGAGCTATCGCGCCTCCTCCTTCAAGTCTCTCTCATTATCAAGCACAGAATAATGATCATCTTTACAAAAGAAAGATTATATACATAAAAATATTGCTCCTTCTGTAACAACTCCCCCTCATACCAGCATTTCCAAGCGATTTCCTTTTGGCGCTTGATTAGAAGATCATACCGCTGTTGCAGGTTGTTGGTCTGCCATCTGGCTAGAGTTGACAAGGGAACAGGGAATGACACCCAGTAAAAACTTGATGGCAACTTTGTTGAATCCAATCCTGGCACCCTTCCTGAATCCAATCCTGTTCCCGGATGAAGACAGTGATGCTGTATCATACGATTATAATAACTTACAAAAAAAAGAATACAAGAAAAAAGGACAACCTCCGAACGCGTGAGATTGCCGACTCCTTCAGTTCGAATCGCCATTGAGGCTCTTGCTAAATTCTTTGTGCAACTGCTCTGTATCATCATCCCTTGGTGTTGCACCTTCAATGTCCACACCATCGGTCAAGGTTGTTGTCGTCCCTGCGGCAGCATCATCATCGTCGTCTTGGACCCTGATGTGGGTAATGTTTTCCGATGACTGGTTGTTGTGGAATAGACTGTATGACCTTGGACCCGCGGGAGAGTCCTTGGTGGGTCTCAGAGAGTAGAGGATGACCCCGGCGAAGATAAGGCCAAAGCCAAACAGGTAAAGCCCAGAAAACTGAAAGATGACAAAAACAGTCATGATAAGGGTTGCAGCATGAGACTGTGTATGGTTTCAACTTTGCGTATGTCGCAATATATATAGTACATTCAAATCCTACAGCTGTCACTTTTAATATAGTTTTGAAAAAAAATATTGTAGCAAATCATTAATTCATTCTGCAAATATTAGAAATGGTTATATTTATGGATATTTCAGCCGTCTCCGAACCGATTTTGATCAAACAAAGATGATTTTGACACTCAGTTTTTCAATATCTCCCCAAAAAATTATTTTGTCCAACCCCCTCTGCAACAAAACTCAACTATTCCTTTAAGGTGGAATTTCCCTTTACTGGCAGATCTAGACACTGCTCAAGGCTTTAGGAATTGTTGTCAAGTGTCAAATTCAAGTCTTACCGCGAAATGGAACACAAAGATGCCGATGATCAAGGTGTACATATCGGCGGTCAGGATGGACAGGTTGACCACTGTGGCGCTACTCCACTGGATGACCACAGGGAAGAAGGAGTAGAGACAGAACATGCAGGCTGCAAACCCAAGGAGCAGCAGGATGGCCTCGATGTTCCAGGAGAATGAAGCCAGTTCTTGGCGCTCCAGGGCTACCCTGGAATATCAGAAAATAGGCGAGAAAAGAAAACTCAGTGTTTATTAAAGCCTGTCTGCACTAGCTTGGCAAGGGAGGATTAGACCACCCAGTGTGGTCACTGACAGGTGGTTATCTCATCAACTCAGCTCTCAATTAACTTAAGGAAAAGAGGATCATGGGGGACCAACGAGCACCACTTGAGCATTGTTTTCTATACAGAGGGAGCAAGTAGCTACAAGCAGTGCAGTGGGACTTCAATCAAGTAATAGTTTCTCTCTTATTGGTTAATGACAAGATGTAGGCATTAAGAACCCACAGTAGTGGGTTCTCATGGGGAATTTGACACCGTTTGGGTGTTTACCCAATCACTTTTAGGACAGACAGGTTGTATATCATGCAATGTGCCCAAACCCATCAATGAAAGAAATTATTATCATAATTGTGGAGTACAGGATGACGTTCTGAAGCTGATGTTTGTGATGTCACAAGCATCACTTTATAGAAAGGGTTTGGATTTGGCCGCTAGAGGGCTTGGTGAATTTTGTGTGCTGCCAATTCTCCACATCATGGGAAAGTTTGTTGCCCAGAGTTGAGTATGTTTTCGTTTAATTTGTTATACAAGTTCAATGATGTAAGTAGAAATTATTGTGTTATCTTGAAGTTTAGGAGTTATATTGTCTTTTATAGCCAGCTGATAGCTTGATATGACACTAATATGAGGTGATGAAATAATGACATGAGTTCTTCATGTGAAAGATTGCACACGTGTACAGTGTGCGTTACGTGATTGTAGTGCACGGTCGTGAATATTAATTTACATGTAGTAGTAACATGAATGATATGATACTTGAGGAATGACAAAGTCAATGTCAGTGAGTCATTCTTGCATGTATTTAGTCAGATTTATAGTGAAGAAGGCATTGTTTTTTTTCGTTTAGTAAAATTACAAATGGCTATTAGGAGTGCCAGGGTACATTTAATTTGATACATGATATGTTACTTTCTAGTCAGTTTATGCAAGATGACTTATTATTGTTTATCTTTATTAAATTGCAGATTGAACCCTGCCTGTTTACAGTTCAGTGTAACTAATATACAGCGGTGCATGGTCTATATTTTTGGTTCTTGGGCATCTGGGTTGGCATGCCATATCACACGCCACAATAATGATATTTCAGTCACGCTTTACATACATATACAGTAGGAAGGCAAGCCGGAGTAAGAGTCTTTACACATATTTCAATACAATGCCATCAGTGAAAAATATCCCGGTTGGTCAACCCTTCAGGACTTGGCTAAAGTGATCACACATTGTTCTTCAAATTGGCAATAATGATATTTTCTTTCATTACTACATTGTTAAATCATATGTGTTATGGCTCTGAAACTGATAAGCATGGGCAAGAATGTTGCCAAAAACACCTGCTTTGTTTAATCACTATAAACTTACCGGTATCTGTACAAAGGATCATTAAAAAATTCTTGCATGGTCAATGTATGGTATGTCGTCAATCTATAAAGCGCATAATAGCTGAGAATCTCTAGGCGCTTTTTGTTAACAGTGCAACAAAAACAAACTTCAAATTTATGTTACAAAATGCTCAAACTGGAATTCTACAAATATTGTGATAATAATGACATTGGAAAAATCATACATTAAAATATAATTGATCAATTAATAGTGATATTATTGATCACAAGTCATATCAAGCATTCTTTAATATCATTTTTCAATGTACACCTGTAATGAATAAACATAATTCTCTCTTTATATGTGACACATTTCTAAGGAATCTCTTATACAATGGTTTCAGCTATTCAAGTGATCTTTGAATTCGATTTGGGGTATTACAGGGTACTCAAGCGCAGCTAAGCAAAGTCTATACAAATAACACAAAAGACTATGATCTACGGGACCTTTTCAGGCCAGGGTTATTTCCTTGTAATTATGCCCCATGCCTCACCCCCCACCCCCCCCCCCCCCATTCCTCTCCTTCAATATCCTCTCAATTCCATTGGCCTGACTCACTATATGAAACTCTATTCACTTCCAGGTAACAAAAGATAATACTAGTAACTAGGCATTGTGGCGTGCGCCTGTAATTCAGCTGACAATGGAAGTTACAAACTGATTCAGCCGAGGACGCAGGTTCAAACTGAGTCACGTCTTTCGAATAGTGACGTTTAAAGGTCTGTCCACAGACGTAAATGATCATATCTGATTGATAAACGTCTGTAAAAACCCAAAACATACATACATATACAATAGGAGAGTACTAGCATCTACATGTATATTTATTGTAACTCTTCTGTGACAAACATCCCACGTTTTGTAGTTTCGTTCAATAAAGTTTGATTCGAAACCCTACAAAATACGCCGGAAGCATGAGTGTAAAGAGTAAATTTTCTGCACACAATGCATCCATTTGTGTTTCACGGCTGTAGTAGGCTACAATTGATGCCAGGAATTTAAAAAAGGAAGATAATCCTTAAAATCCTTAAATTGGCAACATGTTGAGAGATTCAAAATCATTGTTTTTTATCTTATTTTGCAATTTTTTCAACTTTTTAATAACAATCTTGCCTATGTATATTGTAGGAATTTCATGGAACCTGAACAATATTTTAGTAAATTCAGATATTAGTTGAAAATGCTGTATATTCTCTATGGAAACCGGAATAAACCTTGTCTCGTCTTCACCGGTATGGCATCTATGCATGTGATGACCTGCGCAGTGCGGGAGGAAGGTTGCCTCTACTGTCTAACATCGTATCAATGGTGGTAGGGGTGAATTGTCTAAAGGGCAGGATAGAATGACTAATAGAAGACTGGTCTTTAATAGCTAGACTGCTTCAGAAATCAAACCATTTCAAATTTGAGCACAGTACTGTAAAATTACTAAGGCCAGTCTCAATTATGCGCTACAGAAGCAATTTTATTTGGGAACAGTACAAAATGGGAATATGCTTTGTTCTTTGAAAGAATAGGGTCATAAAGTTCAAGATAGGTCAATGATTGAATCACTAGCAAGATCTAAGCTTCCGAATCCCCATCAATATCATCATCACATACACAATTTATAGCCAACTATTTGATAAGATACAGCAATAAAGATTCTTCAAAGGGATTTTATGATTAGGGGTAAATAGTTTTATTGAGAGAGAACAAACTCTACAGAAGTCGTACCGGTACATGTCATGAATAAAAAAAAATCTTAAGCAATGAAAATTCAGTTTAGAAGAGGCGAAATCTGGATATGAACTTTAACTTGAATAATTCTTTCAAGGTACCATGTACCGGTATACAATTTTTTAAAATGATATAGGATAATATGATAACAGAATTCATGTATAGTAGCTCAAGCTGAAGCACATCTCTATGTACAGTATCTGAGCCAATGATAATGGAAATTTAGTTCTATCCAGGACAACAATATAAACTTATATGAGCATTTAAAAAAAAAAAATCAAATAATAGCAATAAATGAATGAAAATAACTAAAATGATCTACTCACAGCTGTATTCCAGAGACAAACGTCCCAAAGAGTCCCACCATGCCCAAGAACTCTGTCCGCGTGTACTGGCGGACCACATACTCCTGTGCTACGTTGGAGACGCCATACAGACTGGCACCGAGCAAACAAAAGATGTCTCCCAGGAGCTTGTTCGACGGCGCGCTATCTGCAAGGACATTTTATAAAGTACAAAGGAGTAATCAACAAAATTCTAATTACCAGTTTAAGGATTTTGAAATAAATGTTGATTCATTTTAAATCATCATAATCTGACATTTTCTTTGAGCTTGCTTTTCCTTTTTCCAAAAAAATCATCATCACATTAATTTTCTGAATTTCCCCTGTCCACGTGTACAATAAACACAAGACAATAGGACATAATAGGCTTATGAAAGCAACGAGGTAACTGTATCGTTCCAGAACTTGACACAGGAAAATATTCTGTAAAAGCTGTCATAAGGGTGACCTCTCTAAAAGGTCATCTTTCATGTTTCCCTCTGGAAGTATTAAATTATTTTAGGACCTGTCTTTATAGAAGTCACCTGTCTACAGTCTGGGGCCACTCAACCTTTTAGTCATTCCCTAGTTGGCCTCTATGAACAGGTGTAACTGTTCAAACCCAAATAAAATTTCCATGATTCGGTAACAAGTAGGTTATTATTAGGAGCAGGTGATTCTACATTGCTGTTGAAATGATGATCTCCAACATCTCAGAGAAACACACACAAAATAAAAAAAATAAACTTATGGGGCATTGCAATCAATTGCAAATCCCCCAAATCAAGGGTACAGTGTGTAAGTCTTGCAATTAATTGCAAATTTGCAATTGATCGCAACTCAACTTTCTTGCAACACCCATTAGTAAGAGAGAAAGAGAGAAAGAGAGAGAGAGAGAGGGGGGAGGGGGAGAATAAAAGCTAGATCTAGTTAACATAACTTTAATCTTAACAAAATCTTAGGAAATTTAGGAGACTAGTGGGGCGTTACAAGAAAGTTGAGTTGCAATCGATTGCAAATATCAGTAGCAAATTTTTCAACTTGCAATCAATGGCAACTTTCCTGCAACGCCCCATAAGAATCACCCAAACTTGCTGCTTTCATTGATCTCCTATTCACCAACTCATACCTGCTCATGCGCAAACATTAACATTTTGTATATATTTGTATCAAGTTCATATGATTGAATATCTTTCTTTTGTTCATATTTGTACGCATAGACACAATCACAAAAGAACTATGAAAAAATGGACAAGGTGTATGCCCTCACAGTGACCTCACATTGATCAAGAAAACATAAAAGAAATAGTATGCCGACATTCATGTAACAAAATTAAACAATAGCCATTAGGCCTGTCCTCATCAGCTCCAGTTCGCCAAATAACCCGCTATCTCAACTATCTCGATTGCAAATTAGCCAGGTAATTTGCATCTTCATCAGTCCGCAGTTGCAATTAGCAGGATGTTTAGCTTAGAAAATATTCTGATAAATCTTGGTCTTGTTTCCAAAATATTCTGCCATTTGGGAAATAGCGGGCTAATTTCCGCTTGTCCAAGCTAGTTTTTGATGAGCGTATCGGTCTGGTGAAGACAGACCTATTGTGGATCGAAAAAGTACATTGAACCCTGCCTTGAATGAATGAATAATTGGCTTACCACCGCTGCTGGCTCTGCCTGAAAGCACATCGGCTCCAATTAGAGCCCCCAGGCCAGCGATGCACGTTACCACGCCAACGATGTGAATGATGCGATACCGAGTGCGCAGGATGAGGAAAGAGAGCAAGATCACCACTGGGATGGTGATGCAATCCAATAGCTAGAAAAGGAACATGAGATGTATTCAGATGAAAAATGTTTTGAAAATATTCTTGTATAGTATTCATTTGTAAAACCAATTATAGTGGGGGCTGTTAGGGCTAAAAAGGGCTTGTTGCTCAGATTCTTCTAAAAGCACCAAATTTGGTCCTTACATGTACTTTCAGAAACAATTGCTATCAAGTCATTACCTATTCCTATGGTAATATGTGAGATTTCCTATTCAATTTTAAAACATACTTTCTTGTTGTTGTTTCTGTTTATTCAATACATTTTCAAGATTCTTCACAAGTCTACGGACAAATATGTAGAGTTTTCTGTAAAATGCATAAAATTAGCATTTGCATTTAATTAGGCTATAACGACAAAAATTTGCATATTAGGAAAAAACTAATTATACCATCTTGTTCCTTACGTAAATATCTACAAATATGCAAATTTTCGTGTTCATCGGACATTCAACGGCCGAGATCATAGGGGGGCCTCACAGAAGTGAAAACCCGGTGGTAGAATATTCACTGCATATATCCTTGGATTAAATCAAGCCAGATTTAGCTTAAAGATAAAGTCGAGTTCTGGTTATCCGATTGCATTGTGAAAGAAACATTGTGGAATCGATCAGAAACGGTTGATTATCTAGCATTTAAGTATTGGTTTGTACTGCAAGGTTCTGGAATCATCAATATGATAAGAAATTTGGCCCAGTCAGATGTACACAGAAAGATGTATTCCATGCCATATTTAGATTTTAGAATAGTGAGGCATTTGAAGAGCCATGCTTTTCAGAGAACATTTTTTATATGGTGTTCTTCCATACACACTTGCATATTACAATGATAACGCTCACAAATTATTTTCCATCTCTTCCCAGAACTCGACAACCTTCTCTTTAATCCCTTCATGAGTATAAGAGCCAATTAATTAAGTGGTTGATTTCACATGCATATTATCCAAGGTTTATTAATCAAAACATTGGCAAACAGAATGAATGTGAAACCCTGGTAGCACAACAGTAATTCCATAAGGGTACCTGGGAATTTAATAGATGATGCTGTAATAGACTAGTTTACTAAACATATTAAAATCTACTGATGTTTCTTTTCGGGGGACCTAGTGATGAGTTTATCAAATGGCCTGTTATTAATGAATGAACTACATGTACATTACTTGAAATCAAATCTGCATTCATTATATGTTGCTATAGATGTCGGGCAAGCCTTGAACAAAGCTTTCAGGAAGTCAAGAATCCGTGTTAAAAAAGTATGCAAACTGGTCTATTGTTTGCACTCAGTCACTGTGTTGATAATTTTCCTTCAACAGCTAATGTGATATACTGTACATGTATGAGACACTCAAACACCTAACCTACAATGTACAGGGTAAATGGACAAATGGACATTGAGGTGCCTAATTTTGAAAAATAAATCTATGATACTTCTGTATTTTGTCCCATACGTCATCAAGATCAAGATCGACAAGTACTGTAGATACCAGACGATGTTGATAGCCCTAATAGAGCTTACATGTTTACAGAGCAGAAATATATGAAAGAAGCCGGACCGGTAAGTCGTACAGGATTGCATGGTGTCTCCCTTCGATCTTATAACTCTTCTGTTTATCAAAATGTTAGCTAAAAAATTCATAAACTAATCTAGGCCTACAATGTAAGTCTTTTCTCTCTCATCCACGTACTTTGACCACTGATCTGTGATAACCAGTGTAAAATATAAGTTTCTGTTCTCAGGATCTCTTTTTTTAAGTTCATGGTGATATTAAAGTTGTTTTTTTCTTCTCAGTTTACCAGATCACTTTTGGTTCTTTCAAGCGCTAAATCGCTCACCACTCCCGTATAGTTGATTTTATGCTGGTGAAAACACATCAAAAAGTGGGTAATGTACCTGTACACTTGTGAGAGTCGTATACTGATACGCCTTCACCACCAGATAGTTTGCCTCCACGTCGACGAGCGCCACCAGGATGTACTTCCACCATCGCTTGGTGAAGATGTGGTAAAAATTCTTCTCCCTGCTCTTGCGCAGGCACAGGAGGGTGCAGTACACCAGCGCCAGGAGGAGGTAGTTGGCGAAGCTCTGGGTCGTCGGGGCATTGATTCCGTGGGTGTCGTTCAGGATCTGGCTCGTGACCCCTGTGCCACAGATGAGCAGGGACAGGACCTGACCCCCCAGGAAAACCTTCAGGAACGAACTGCAAATGAAAAGGAAAGGTAGTCATGAAGCAGCAAAAACTTTGCAACAGGTTGCAGAATACTTACCTCAAGCCTGTACCATTTTCCTTTCTCTCTACTTTTCATTTACAACTCTGTCTTTCTCTACACATCTCCCCTAATCTTTCATTATATTCTCTGATCAACTTTTCTTTCTTTCTTCTTCTTCCTTCTCTTCCTCTTTCTAGTTTCCTCTCTTTCTCTCTCTCTCTCTCTCTCTCTCTCTCTCTCTCTCTCCTCTCTTTGCAACCTTTGATGACACAGTTTTAAGTTTTTAATGTTTTTAATATTTTTAATATATTTCGATTTTGATGTAATATTGGACAGTTGTATTTTGTTTCATTATGCATGATTTATGGTTGTACGTTTTAGTCATTAAAATTTTGATCATTTATTGTGTTCTATATTGACTTTATAAATTGAACAATTTCAGCTTTCCAGCTGCAAGTTCTTTTATTGCAATAAACTGAATCAAATCAAATCAAATCAAACTTACATTCTTGACAGTGAAGAGACTGTAAGCTACAAACACGGGTATGTATAAACTGAGCATATTTCAAAGCATTAAATCAGATAAGTGATATATTTCTAAGCTTAAGTGGTGTGCCTTATATCCCAAGAAATAAATGCCCTAATTATACGGAACCTTCTTTTGACCTGCTTACCAATTGCATGTTACATAAAGTTACTCTTGTCAACTCAAAAGCTTGCCAGACATAGCAACAGCTAATGCATGCAAACCAAGGGTTATTTTATGAAACTAACTTTGGTAAATCTTTGCCCACTACCTAAGGATGTCAGAATGCTTACAACCTGTCCTGTTTCACATAACCATGATAAGCGACAAAATCATTATTTAGATATTCGGCTAAAATAGTATAGTTTTCATCACGATCCATCATCTTTTATCCTGAATTGGCGATAGATCCGATTTCCACATTTAGGTACCTCAGCGTAGTCAAAAGCTCTGGCCCGACATGGAATTTGCACGTGGATGCGATTGTGTCTCGGGCGAATCGCCTCCTTGGCTTCATAAGACTTGTTGCACATGGTGCTTGATCCTATTCTATATTTTGTCTATACAAAGCACTAGCACTCCCATTATTAGAGTATGGCATTTCGGCCTGGCACCCAACGATTTGTTCCCAGGAACACAAACTTGAACATATCCAGAGAACCGCCACGCATTTTGCACTGAAGCAATCTCGTGGAGTGATGCCATACAACAAGAGACTCCGCTTTCTTGGTTGATGTTCACTAGCTTCTCGCAGAGACCACCTTTTGTGTTCATTTGCCATGAAATGTCTATACGGTCTAGTGATTGTTCAGCTCTGCTAGAAAACATGTTTATCAACCCTTGCCGTCCCCACACTCGGTCCTTTACCCATTTTCCAGATCTGCCAACCTCTGGAGTTCAAAAAACTGTATTCTTTAATCCCAAAAGTTGTATTTTACTGACAAAAGTTGTATTCTTAAAAATAAACATGGACAATGCCTCCTACAGTTCCTACATGTACATACAGGAAGAATTTGTTTATGGATCATTGGTTGAATATGCATGATTTCGTCACGACTGGTGTGTTCGATGAACCAATGAACATCCCCAAATTGCCGATGTGAGATGCTTGTAGGCTACTTTACAGGACAGAATTGGCATTTTGCCATTGATATACTTATATATATATATCATTTATATACTTACATGTTGATACTATTACAAACATTATGTCGGATTTCAATGATTTTTCTCAAACCTGTTGGGCATACCAGCCTCCTTTACTCTTTAATTCCTCATTACTTTTATCTATAATGCTGCTTTGTATCATAATGAATATAATTTCCTTGGTAAATCTAAATGATATCCTTATGTAGCAATATGTGATACATGTATGTAATAAAATGTGTCACTTTAGTTTTAGTTTTTCAGGGGGGGGGGGGGTATAGAAACTAATTTTGATTGAATTGATTTTATTTGAGGAATTGTAACTTGATAAAGGAGATTTGATGCATTTATATACACTGTAGAAGTTGCAGTTTGTCAGTTCATTAATTATTATTTATTTCTTGTTTTCAAATGTGTTGTGGTTTATACAGTAAGTGTTATAATGATAATGCTGACAACGATATGATAAAAATAATGACTGACTTTGTCCCCGCATCTCTGGCGGAGGACTTGCTTGCTGCTCATTTTGCTATTCGCGAGATTCATTTTTTACATCAGTATTTGGAGAGACTTTTCATTGTCTATATATTTTTTTGTTGATGGGATTAATCATTTTTTTACTCCATGCAGTGAGAATAGAGCAATCTATTGGTTTTCTCATTCTGCTTCATAGTTTTGACAATTTCAACAGCAATTTTTAACCCACATCGATCGACTCGATAGCCGCTTCAATAGCCGCGAACATAAGCATCTTCGCCGTCATTCCTGGTGTCGTGCTGAATTTTGTATTATTGTCAATGTTATCATCTTCATCGTCCTGTTTGTTTTTGTCATCATCGTCATCGCGAAGTACCGGGTAACTAATTTTTTCTGTTTACGCATTCATCGCGAGCGATTTGAATTTCTTCGAGCATCATCTTCGAACTGATTGTTTTGTCATCATGGACATTGTGCATCGAGGCATTGACCGCCTGATCATCAACATCATCACTGAAATCATCCAGTGACTACTTCATCACCATCATCACCAACACCATCATCAACAAAAACATCCCCTTAATCATTATTATCGCCGACATCATCGCCGTCATCATTATTATCGACATCATCAGAGTCATCATCATTACTGACATCGTAATGACTTCATCATCAGAGTCATCATCATTACTGATATCGTAATTGTTACGATATACGATATCCGATATATCCGGTATCCGTGGTAGTTCAATAAACATGGTCACCATCATCACAAACCTGACTGCCGACTCGTCTATTATCATGAGTATCTACCAAATCTAAGACCCTCGAACTCATCATGGTGGCAGCTGCTGGGATCTTCGAAATCAAGTTTGATTTTTGAAGACACAATTGATCCAGTTCACGACAGTTGGGAAGTATAATTAGCAAAATTATCGTCGATTAGCGATTTGTCACGTCGCACTTTTTCGTATGCACTGTACGTGCACCGTACATATATACAGCACAGTGTACCGAGACACTGATGCTACTGCATAATCCCGATGAACTCGTACGTGAATGGTGATGTGTGTATGAGCATATAAAGGTTCATAAAGCCTGCTCAGAATAGCCTAATCAAGTTATAACTGTGCTCAATCACTGACACAGGGGTCTGCATAATAACTAAACTAGTAAAGTTTAAATCTAAAATTAAACTAAATCAGAGGTGTGAACATTAAACCTGTTTTCAGATAATATTAACAATAATATCTGGTGTGTGAGGAATTGTCACTGTCAGACATTGAGTGAGAGTGACCAACATTTTCATTGCATGAGACACTTAATGACATCCACACAGGTGCGAGAGTGTACACAGGTATACGTGTACGAACCTTATCAACACCAGCCGGTTAGGACCTGTTCACACTAAGATAAACAACACAAAGATTTACACTCAGTCATATAATCTGTCGTAACCAATACGCACACGTGACATATACAATGAGTACTAAGTATCCAGAGATGAAATGGGAGGTACCAGACCTACCCGAAGAATTCAAGCTATTCAAGCAGAGAATGGAGCTTGTGTTGGCAGATCAAGAAATAACTGAAAACAAAAAAAAGGCTATAAAAATCAAAATCGCTGTAGGCAACGAAGGTTTGCGCAGAATCAATGCGTCTGGGCTATCAGAGGCCGACCAAGAAAAACCACAAGAGCTGTGGAAATTATTTGAGAAACAAATAAAGGTAAACATTAATTTTCGGGTCCATCGTCTCGAGCTGATGCGATATCGGCAGAGACAAGATGAGAGCATTGACGCATTCGTTACTCGATGTAGAGACAAAGCCAACACATGCGACTTTGAGGATTCTGAACTTGCCGAGCGGATAATGGAGGTAGTCATCACCTCAACACCAAGTCTAGAATTCCAGAAATTCCTATTGGACCAGCCTAAAGGATATCTAATCGAAGCAATTCTTGTAGAGGGCCGAAAATACGAGGCAGTTGCGGCGAGCAGAAAATGCCTAGAAACGCTTGAGCCGGCTAAAGAAAGCATAGATTCATTCAAGCGGAACCAGGGACGAAAGACGTGTGGAAACTGTGGACGTATCCACAAACCTCGTCAGTGCCCTGCGTACCACGATGTGTGTCGTGCCTGTGACACAAAGGGCCATTGGGCCAAGTTCTGTAGAAAGGCTAAGAACGATCGAAGTCGAAAACCAGATCGTAGATCAGATGACCATAAATCTGATGACCGTCAACCGAAACACGGTAACCAATCACGATCAAAATCAAAGGGTCGAAAGTATAAACCGATAAGTGAAATGGACACTGAACATGATACTAGCACAGATCATGAACATCAACAATCAGCAGGTCCATCAAACTTCGAACATTTTGACACCATACACACGATCGGAACACACACAGTGATCAACTCAAAGGGTACAGTAGCTTTTGCAAACATTGACATCATATGCCCACAGAAATCAGGTCAGCATTACCTATATCTGAAGATAGACTCTGGGGCAAGCGCTAATACTATCACAGTACGCACAGCCAAACAAATATATGGTGACAAGTGGAGGCAAGTAGTGAAACGTACACCAGTAAAGCTAGTAGCATATGGCGAAATATCAATACCATGCGTTGGTACACTAGACATAAAGTGTAGATACAAGAGTCCAGAATGGTATACACATACATTCTACGTAGCAGACGTGAATGGACCAGCTATCTTAGGGTTGTTAGGTTGCACAGATCTCGGGATTATCACAATCCATACAATGCACAAGGACACACCTACACATACACCTATCACAAGTGTTAGTGACCTCAAACAAACATACCCAGATCAGTTTGATGCCATAGGAAGCTTTAGCGGGAAAGCAATGCTGCATCTGAAAGATGATGCAGAGCCAACCATAGATGCACCTAGAAAGTGCAGTGTCCATCTGAAGGACAAGATCAAAGCCGAACTAGATAACATGGAGAAGCAAGGAGTCATCAGAAAGATAGAAAACCACACAGATTGGTGTAGCTCGATGACCACCGTTGTGAAGAAAGATGGATCCATACGGATATGTCTTGACCCCAGAAGGTTGAACGATGCCTTGAAAAGGTGTCCACACAAAATTCCAACCTTGGAAGAAATCCAACCAATCTTCGCAGGAGCTCAATTCTTCTCCAAGCTAGACGCAAAGGCTGGATACTGGTCAGTACACCTAGCAGAGGAATGCCAAGACCTGACCACCTTCAGAACACCATTTGGAAGATATTGTTTCCAAAGATTACCCTTCGGCTTATGCACAAGCCAAGACATCTTCCAGCAACACATGGATAGGATCGTCCAGAATGTGCCTGGCTGCGTATGTATCGCAGACGACATTGCCATTGTCGGGAAAACAGAGGAGGAACACGACAAGAATCTCCACTTACTCATGGAGACAGCGAAACAGGAAGGACTCGTGTTCAACAGCTCCAAGTGTACTATCAAGAAGGAAGCTATCAGCTACTTTGGATCCATGTACACAAGATCTGGAATCTTCCCAGATCCAAGCAAGGTTGAAGCTATCAACACAATGCCTTCACCCAAGGACAAGGAAGATGTTCAGAGATGCCTAGGATTATTCACATACCTAGCACCATACATTCCTAATCTATCAGAGAAGTCAGCACCACTTCGTGAACTCCTTCACAAGGAAAATCCATTCGTCTGGGACGAGGATCACGAACATGCCTTAAACAGCCTGAAAAGCGCAGTCTCATCGGGTGCATGCCTGCAGTTCTTTGACCCAAAGAAAGAGACGACCGTTGAGGTAGATGCATCAATGAAAGGGCTGGGAGCATGCCTGCTCCAAGATGGCAAACCCGTAGCTTTTGCATCCAAAAGTCTCTCCAATGCACAGTCCAACTACTCGAACATAGAGAGGGAAACCTTAGCCCTAGTGTTTGGTATCGTCCGATTCCATACATACCTATTCGGGAAGGAATTCACTGTGATAACAGATCACAGGCCTTTGGAGACAATTTGGAAGAAACCTCTAAGAAGCGCACCACCTCGTCTACAGAGACTATTGATCAAGGTACAAGGATACAGATGCCAAGTCAAGTACCGACCTGGGAAAGAAATGATTCTTTCAGATACCTTGAGCCGTCTTCCTAACCCCAAGGAAGCACGCGATGTTCCACTAGACATCAGAGTGGAATCAATCTGCTCCGAAGTAGAAGACACTCATCAAATCGACTTGATCTTCTTCGGACAACACAAGAGAACAGAACTCCAGAGGGAAACATCCAATGACCCTGTTCTTAGGTCATTGTGGCAGACAGTCACTCAGGGTTGGCCTGAAACTCTTCAGGAGCTGCCGACATCCCTCAGGGAATTCTGGTCTTACAGAGATGAGATTGGAGTATCTCAAGGAGTACTCTTCAAAGGAAGCAGAGTCATCATACCGAAGACACTTCGAGAAGATATCCTCAGACAACTTCATCTTGGACACATGGGAATCGAGAGCACGAGACGACTAGCTCGTGAGACAGTGTTCTGGCCACACATCAACAAGGACATTGAACAGCTCGTAAAGCAATGTGCTGCATGCCAGGAACACCAGGCAAGGCAACAGAAAGAGCCGTTGCTTCCCCATGATGTACCTTCAGCACCTTGGACTAGACTAGGAACAGATTTGTTCATGCTAAACAGACAAGACTATTTACTCGTCACTGACTATTACTCCAAGTATCCGATAGTCTACAAGCTGACTGACACATCAAGTGCTGCAGTAGCCAACGTGATGAGTGGAATCTTCAGTCTATTTGGTCCACCAGAGGAGATCGTATCCGACAACGGTCCACAATTTGTCGGGAAGCACTTCAAGGACATGTGCCGGAAGTGGTCGATCACCCATACAACCTCTTCACCTCACTATCCAAGATCCAACGGACTAGCTGAGAGAATGGTTCGTACCGTCAAGAATCTGTTGAAAAAGTGTTCACAGACTGGCCAAGACAGTCAACTGGCTATGTCACACCTAAGAGCAACACCCGTTGACAGTCACATGAGATCACCTGCAGAGATGTTGTTTGGAAGACCCATCAGAACAACACTGCCAAGTCATCATCTTTCAAGAGAATCTACCACCACTGATCATCTCTTGAATCGACAGAGTAAGATGAAAGAAACGCACGATCGACATGCGGGTCCAGATCTTCCACCACTCCACGTAGGACAACCAGTCAGAGTCCTACATCCCAAAGATCATACTTGGATACCAGCCAAAGTATCCAAAGTCTGCGACGAGCCTAGGTCGTATGAAGTATCAACACCTAACGGAGGAATCCTGAGACGAAACCGATCTCACCTGAGGGAGATTCCATCGTCAACCAACCCTACTCCAAAGCGTGTTAGGTTCGACGAAGACGACACTTCATCTACTCAAGCAGAAACACCACAACAGAATGGCAACAACCATCAGCCAACACCAGAAACTCAGAACATTCAATCTAAAGGACCAACATCAAACTCGCAAACCACAACAAGATATGGACGCAACATCCGTACACCAGCGAGATACATGTTTGAAGATTGAAATTGAACTCTTAAATTTCTTCAAAGAAGAGAGAAGATAAAGAAGAACACAGAAGACGCTTAGTTTAATGTAGTCTAAGAAGTTTATTGTTCATATGTATGTATAATCATTGTACAGTAGTTTTGGTATGACAAGCATAATGCTTATAAGTCTAAACAGATGCTAGCCCAAACATGTTTCGTTTGGAAATTCATTTTATAAAGGAATCAAGTTATATCAAAACTATGTTCAATCTTGCAGATCAACTGTGAAGTTGAAAGTGGAATAATATAATTATATAGACAGTTAAATACTCATTCTTTAATACAATACAAAAGAAACGTATTGAAAACAAATCAAGATTTTATGTTATATAACCTGATTGGAAAAAGTTTATTAGGAAGCAAATAACCAAAACTTGCATACTACCAAAAGTATTGTTATCAAAGCAATATGTCATTAATCATCGATCAGTGATGTTCACTGATTCCCAATTTTTCCAGAGGAAGGGGGATGTTACGATATACGATATCCGATATATCCGGTATCCGTGGTAGTTCAATAAACATGGTCACCATCATCACAAACCTGACTGCCGACTCGTCTATTATCATGAGTATCTACCAAATCTAAGACCCTCGAACTCATCAGTAATGACTTCATCATCAGAGTCATCATCATTACTGACATCGTAATGACTTCATCATCCAAGTCATCATCATTACTGACATCGTATTGACTTCATCATCATCAACATCGTAATTTTTGACATAGCCCTGGATGCTAAGTTGCTAACTTGGTTTAATGTAATAATTTTGAACGCTTTGCTGAATTATTTGAGGATCCTTTCTGCGCTCGTTTTTGCAGATTGATAATTGTTGTTTTTGTATGATTGTTTATTTGATCTTCTTCTTCTTCTTTCTTCTTTGGTGCAGTCTGCTTCCTTCAATCTTGAAGATTCTTGCAGAACTTAAGTGTACAGTGTGTGTCATAAGGATGGCCAGCAATTTATTAACACACACTAGACTTCCCTAAGGAGATGTTCTACACACAATCAACCACGTGCAATTAGATCTACAATCTACACCATGGCCATGTTAATGTCTGGTGTCTACACAAGCAGCCGACAAAGCAACACAAGTACACACGCTGGCCATTCATTTAATACACAATTGCAAATCCCCTAAAACGTGCGAAGCAGTTCCCACGCTGCGCTGACTTTTAAAATTAAAACCCATAACAAGACTTCTGATCATTATCCAACAATGTTTAACTTAATTTCCGTAGATCTACTTACAGTGTATACAGAGGTGCAAATATTTTCTTTGTTTTAGTCCAACAACTGGAAGGAATTTCTTCCGTAGTACTGACGTACGGGACGTCGTTGCCGAAAGCCATGATGTATGTCGCAGTCTAATCCGGTCTGATCTGATCGGCGGCGCAGCGGCGTTCTTGTACTTGTTGTGTGCACATCATGGTGCACATGTATTGTACGTTCTGTGAGCCGCGTTAATTTTTTTTTTTCATGCGAGCCCAGGGAATTGTTCATTAATCCCAAAGGGTGTGCTGGGGATGAGTCTAAATGTGGTTACACTTCGGAGCCACTGTCACGATTTTTTATAAATGATTTAGATTTTTATGGCATAATCGGGCCGAAAATTTCGCAACCACTCAATAAGCAGGGGGGGGGGGATAAGAGGACATATAGTCTATATATCTTTTTTGGGTCCCCAAAAAATCGCAACGACACAGCCAACCGCTGAATAAGCGCGGGGGGAGAGGGGGGAGGGGGGGGGGGGGGTAAGAGCACATTTTTAAAAATTATTTTTGTTTTGCTCCCGAAAAATTTAAAATCGCGCTGGTCGCGAATTCGCTCAGTTGGGGGAGGGGGGCATTTTTTTGGCCGGGGGGACACGTGTCACCTGTGCCCCCCCCCCCCCCCGCCCCTGCTCATATCCCCCTTCCTCTGTCTTCGTATCTACATAGATATTTCTGCTTTTATTTTCACGTTCGCTTTTATTTTTTCCATAACGGGCCTTTTAGTCTCTGGCACTAAACTGATGATAGAAATGATAATCAGTACAAGAAGAAATGGAAGAAGGAGAAGAAGAAAAAGAGGAGGAGAAAGAAGAGGAAAATAATGATGAATTTGTAGCATTTCTATAACGTACAAAACATAAGTATATACAAAATCAAAAAGTATGAACCGGCAGAAGAATACAAATTTCAATCATATAACACTCTTCACTTCTCTTCTCTGACTGAGCTAGAGACCCTAGCTAGAGACCTGAGCTAGAGATAGAGCTTTTTTTTTTATGGGGGGGGGGGTGCAGAAAGAAAATAACAGGCCCGGAAAATCATGTCATTTCAGCAACATATTTCGTAAATCACTGGTATCAAACCACGTTTGAATTTTGAACTGCTCCCCCCCCCCCCCCCCCATCAGTACGCCATTGGTGATCTCTTTACTCCTCCAATACCCAAAGCTTTGTGTCTCTCTTTGAGTCCGATATCTCGGCAAATTAACAAACAGTTTGGCGAGATCGACTATTTGTTAACATTTAGTGTTGTGGCGTGCGCCTGTAATCCAGCTAAAATTGGAAGTTACAAACTGGTTCAGCCGAAGACGCAGGTTCGAAACTGAGTCACGTCTTTCGGATGGTGACGTTAAAGGTCGGTCCCAGACGTAAATAATCATATCTGATTGATACACATCTGTAAAACGCAATTACACACACACACACGTGATGATTTTTTTTCTTTCTAATTAACATAAATGGTGTACCTTTCTGCTATTTTTCTTTATTTGTTGGTTCATTTGTATCTGGAATCTGACTATTATATTCATATATTTAACCTGTTTTGTTTATTATTCTGTTAATTGCATATTATGTAGCCCATTTGTTTACTATCATTTATTTAAATAATTAATTTGTGTATGCCTCTCCTTTTCGACGGGTCATGTTAAAAAACATTGTTGTTGTTGCTTAAAGTAAGCAATATGGGACCGAAGCCTCCCCGGAGGATTTGGGTACTTTATATACCAATTAAAGGACACTAGCGCAAGAGTAGGCCTATATATAATATTTTACCCCGGAACATGAGAGTAATTTTGATAGTTTCATTCTTTTAATTAAATATAAGGCGCCGGAACTGGGGGGGGGGGGGCAGGGGGCACTTGCCCCCCCCCCCCAACCCAAAAAGTGAGGGAGACGCATCCCCCCCCCCCCCAAGGCAGTAAAGGAGTAAAGATGGTTTGTATTTTTAACCCAAAAGAACATAACATTAATAAAAACCTGAATTAAATCACATAACAAATTCAGCTCAGAGAAAAGGAAAGGTAACAGGAATTAAATTTCCTAAACATTCCGCATGCCGCCTTTATTATTGATGATGGGGGGGGGGGGCTATTTCTTATTCGATACCAGTAATTTACAAATGTTGCTGAAATGACATGATTTTCCCTAATTTCTCAATTTTTTTTATAAGTCATACCTGTTTATGCGTTTGTTTGAAAATTAGAAACTCCCAAATGTACAGTCGGGCGAAAAAATATGCTTATTTAGAAGCCTTCATGTCAGGGCCTGCAGAATGGCTGGGCTCGGGGCTCGAGCCCCCCTTACTTTTTGAAAAAGTATGTTACAGAGAAAATGTCACGAATTCAATGAGGTATCGAAATATGCTCATCTGACCGTAATTAAACGCCTAAAAATCCAGAGCTTATGGGGCCCGCCCCCTGGACCCCACCAAAGTCCTTAAGGCGGGCCCCTGGATGCTCATCTGACCGTAATTAAATATCTAAAACCTCTGAGCTTCGGGTAGCTCTGCCCCCTGCATGGACCACATCAATGACCTTAAAGAGTGCCCCTGGATGAACCGTAATTAAATACCTAAAGCCCCTGAGCTTCCGGGGGCGCTGCCCCCTGGACTCCCCGCTAATTAGTGACCTGCCCGGTGTCATGACCGTTATTTAATGCCTAAAAACACAGGGGCTCGGCCCATAACACCTGCTGGGGCCGCGCAGTGCCAAAGTCACTGAAAGCTAGGTCGTTGCCTCGATCTGCAAGGGTGTCTATGGCATGTTATATTAACATTATTTTTTGTTTAAAGCTTATCTGCCGTAGTTTACAGGAGGGGTTAGACTGCCCTGCACGGTCACAGGACAGGTGGTTTACCTCATCAACTCAGCTCTCAGTTAACATAAGAAAAAGAGGATCCGATGGGGGACCAATTGTACGTGGTCACCGATTATGTATTGTTTGTTGTATAGAGGGCGCAAGTAGCTACAAGAAGTGCAGTGGGCCTTTAAAGTAGATGATTATTTATATACTTTATATACTCATTTATGTTAACTTAATATAAATGTATATGGAAATAGGCCTACTATCCAAAATTAGGAATTGAAGTGTACGTTATACAAAATGTAGGGGTTATACCGAACCCCCAGTTACCAACTAAGCCTATTTGAATCACCCGCGACTCACAATGACTTCTCCATGGACTTAATTCACTTTGCATCCATAATTTGTTGATATGTCGGGCCAGCCTCTGCCAAATACTCAAGAGAAACTTTGCAGTCACATTAAATGTAGAAAGTTTGCGGAATTGACAATAATTACTACAGAGCTAGACTCATAACGAACGTGTTCGTTGAAATTCATCCAGAAATCCCTGGGTCTTCATGCTAAAAAAAACGCGACCCGGAAGTACATTGTCGTCATTTTTAAAGGGTACACAACACAATTACAAGCGAGCTTTTGGTTACAGTAGAACGACATTTTATAAAGCCGGTTGAGATAGAACCGATAATTCTTAGTTTTTCAACATATGCTGTTTTCACATACAAATTGTAACAGCAATGCAGCTATGACAGCCCCGGCAGAAGAATTAGCAGGACTACCCCCAGAAGTCATTTGGGAATATCAATTTCGGTTGATTTTAGTCGGAGATTCGACGGTGGGAAAGAGTTCACTGCTCCGCCGTTTCTGTGATGGGAAGTTCGTGGAGGTGTCCGATCCCACAGTGGGAGTGGACTTCTACGCAAGACTTATTGAGGTAGCGCCGGGGCGGCGAGTCAAGCTGCAGCTGTGGGATACCGCTGGCCAAGAAAGATTCAGGTAAGTGAGGTAGCCAGTGAGTATGACGGGGGTTGGGTGTCCGGACGGTTAGCAAAAATAAAGCCATCACTTGTCTTTTGCCTTCAGATTTACTGAAATGTAGACTCCGACTAGGTCTACGTCTAGATCAGTGCATCAAATTAGAAATTAGTCGAATAACACAGATTAACACGTTAATCAGTGATAATTAACTACTAATATTTACCATCTATAAATCATCTAACTGACTTAGACTAGATCTAGTTCTAAGTCACTAACATTAAATGATTAACAAGTAGGCCTAGAGTAAAGGAGCCCGTAATCGGCCAGCTCCCGTTTTCGGCCGATTGGTTGGATACAAGGTAAAATCAATCTAAAATACATCGCATAATAGCGTAACACATATCCCACACATAACATACCATGCCAGTGTCACTGAAGAACCACATTTGCAATGAAAAATATATCCTAAAATATCACATTTTAGCGAAGTAATCGCCGGTCCTGCTACCCGAATCTGAAAAATCAAGTATCTTACGCATGTCTGTAAGAAATATGGGTACCATAAAATGAGCTTTATTTCAAGTATTTTTCAGATTTAGAGCCCGATTTTGTGCTAGTCGCAAGCTCAAAAGTATCTCATCGCATGTATTAAATCAATGCAGCCGCACACCGCGACGCACACATGATATCTCTGTCTAATTCAGATTCCAACTTCCGATCACCGCTGTGCCTGTCTTCGGCCAGGCGAGCACCAGGGAGCTCAGGCGTGGGATACCTGCTCCGCCCGCTTGTGCTGTACATCAGCGCGGAAACGCATGGCGCGCGCGAGCGCTTCCTATTGACTTTGTACATGCGGCCGTAAACTGAAACGCTCGGCCGATAACCGGCTCCAAAACAGTGAAAATTGAAATGAATATTGTCATGGCAATTCGTGATTTTTTTCTGGGATTCTTTTTTTGTTTAAATAATAATAATATTTGCTTCATGATTTGAACAAGAAATGATAATAAATAGGAAGTAAAGAGTCCTAAAAATAGGATTTTGTCTTAAGTGGCCGAAAACGGGCTCCTTTACTCTATGAAGTATTGAAGTAACACCATCCTAATTGGGCTTGAATTATGATTTCTGAAATGTTGCAAGTCAAACTCTTCAAGATGCTGCTTTAATTTTAAATCAACGGTCCGGATACAGAAGAACCTGTCGGCTAACCAGACACGCACTGACCAGTAAACATGCTACATGTAGGTCTACTAGTAGTAGAGTCTAGATTGTAGCATTTGTAATTGTACTATTATAGTACGGTAGTTTAAAACTGGATGTCTAGATCTAGGTCTAGATCACTCTTGTTCTTGAACCAGTCTGTTGTAAAAATGTATGAAGATTATAGATAAATGATAATGTAATTTCTCTCATCACTGTTTGTCTCCCATTTTCCAGGTCGATAACCACGTCTTATTACAGGAACTCGGTTGGCGTGATGCTCGTCTATGACATTTCAAACAGACAGAGTTTCGAGAATTTGCAGGAATGGCTGATCGAGGCCCAGGAAAATGTAATCTATCCCCACAGCACCACGTACATGGTGGTGGGTCACAAATCAGACTTGGGAGAGGACACCAGGGAGGTCCTCAAAGAAGAAGGGGAACGCTTTGCCCAGGCCTACGGGATGAGGTTCATTGAAACGTCCGCCAAGGCCTGCACCAACGTGGAGGCAGCATTCTCCGTCATGGCGAAAGAGATCTATGTCAAGTTGAAAGACGGTGACCTGCGCATCATGGAAGGCTGGGACGGCATCAAGGGTGGGTTTACGGCGCCGCGGGAAACGCTACGGTTAGAAGAACCTGAAGAGAAGCCTAGGATATGCTGCTAAGAAACTTCATGCTTTATGCTGGTTTCAAATTCTTAGTAGAACCATTAGTAATAAGATATGTTTCATTTTTAAAATTATGCACACACACATTACAAAGAGCAGGTGGTGTCAACCATTTGCTACGAAATCTAGATCAATGTATCTCATATTACAGATTGCATCCTGATTCCTGATTCATGTTCTGAATTGAAAGGTTTTTAGATGCACTAGTTAGGATAATGTTCCATTATCCATGAACATTTTCAATAAAATGTTATGATAAGTTGTGTTAGAAGATATTCACATTATGTGACTAAGACGCTGACATTTTTAAAGATTATCTCTAATGCCTCTGAAATAGGCCTGTATTTTTGGTGTAAAGTCGTTCAGGCATTTTAATGTGAATAGGTAGACGAGCTTATCAATTTGGTTTCTTAAATCTAGGCATCTGCAAATGGTTAACACTACCTGGGAGAAAGAGCAAGATTATTTATGATCTTTATTTTAACTTGAGCTACCGGTAATAATATGTTTTACTTTTCCTCTAATCATGAACGTGTCAAATTCTGTTTGTTGATCAATTCAACTTAAATTTGAGATTACAACTCTTTCAGGAGAAATGTTACACTGCAGTATATATTTGAGTGTTCTATTTATGTGAAGAAATATGCATTTGTTTGTTAATAGCATTGAAATTACTTTTCGCTATGATATAAGTCAAGTACAAAAAAAGATAGATGATCTTTTTCTAGAAAAAAATATATACTCCCCCTCCAGACACAAGATTTATGATAAAAATTAACAAGAAAACATTCCAAAGATGTGTCTTTTGTATTGATAAACGTTATTGAATGAATTGAAGTTCTAAAAGTTCTATTTTACAATATTCTTAGTCAAAATATTAGATATATTTCGGTTTTCAAATTCAGAGAAAGAAACGTTTGTGGATCATCTTAAATGGCAAACTTACTTATTAGGTCAACTAAAAGGACTGTTTGTACAGAGTTAATGAGGTGAGATGAAAGTACAGTGTACAAAAGTACATTATAGAAAGTACATTATTGCTATCTTTCTTCATTCTCCAATAATACAAAAATGGCTCGGTACTCCCGTAGCCATTTACTCATATTTCTTCATAGTTTTCATAAATTTTAATTCATGAAAATAAATAAGAACTCTTCAATGTCTAGAAATCACAACTTTGATGCAAGGATAATGTTTGACATATATTCATGGCAATTATAATCTTCAATGCATGTAACATGTAAGTTATGTCAGTGCTTTGCATCATGACTCATCTAGTGTGTAGCACTTTTTTTTTAAAATCCGCATTATGGTGACGGGGTTTTTAATAACTAACATTTTTTTGGTGTGTGTACATTTACGTGTACACCATGCCGTTTCGAATGATCTTTCTTCCATGTAACTTTCCTTTTTGTATATTTCCTTTATCCATACTTTTCACACACACAAATCAAGAGTATGCCATTTTGCCAGACATACTTACAGTACATGTACATGTATTGTACATTCTGTATGTGTATTTTTGTTTAAAGCCTAATAATGATTAAAAATAAACCTTGTAAAAAGAAAGATAGATTTAATTTTGTGATGAATAATTTTCTGCATTGTACTTATGTATTTTTTGTTTATTACAAGTTATATTGTATGTTAACATTTTAAAGCATGTATTTGTACATGTATGTGCTTATTATTAATGTAGTGGTATTATTATGATGCATTAGAGGAAAGCATTAAATCATTAGAACTTAATCATTGGAAAGAAATACATTAATGACATTTAAATGTAGGTGATATTGGTATTATACAATAATTTATGAAAATTGTGCAATACATACGTGAACCATCCTTAGGAGAGTTGTAATAGTGCTACGTAAACTATGTATTTATGCCTTTGTGGCGTAGTGTCATAAATATCTTATGTTTTTTGCATGTTCATGTACCCTTATGGCCTTTTAATTGATAACAATCACATGTGAGCATGTGTTATTGTGTGTACGGTAGATTCAGATTTACATGTTGATGTATTGCATACAGGGCAGGGGGGCGTTGCACAAAGCCTTTTTTCAATGACAAATAACAAAAATTAGTGACAAATCTGCTGATAACCAATCAGAAGCAAGGATTTCAGCAGCTTATAACACAAATTGTCATTTGCCACTGATGACAAGTTTTGTGAAACGCCCCCCAGGGCCGGATACTCAATTTCCAATGTAACCAACTGCCACTGGCTATTTTTGAAAATCAAACTTGTGTGAATTGTCACGTGCTAGCTGATGCATTGGCCGTGTTAACCATGACCCATATGGACCGGCGGCTAGTTATTTGAGCACATCTTATTGTATTTTTGTTCATGTTTATAAACACGGATTACTACACTCGTAGTTGTACCCAAATGTTTCATGCAGATTCACTATACAGTATTGCAGAAATTGTTTTCAATTTGTACTGAAATTGGGCTGTTATGGATTTTTTTTTTTAATGTCAACTTATGCGAGTACATTTTAGTGTTTATAAGCTACATGTAGGTAAATTTAAAAAACCTTTCTACATGTACGGTGTACCTCTGTAACTGTGCAGCATCTCAACTAAACAAAAAAAAAGAAAAAAAGTTAGAGCTGTAAATTCATCTATAGATATAGGATGAATCCCTTTAGATTTTTGGGAACTTAGCTCACTAGATATACGGTAGCCAGAAAGCTTCAATTTTCCTCAGAAAATCATGTCAGTATGTACCACAATGTTGTCATGTAGTAACCAGGCATTCAATTTGCGTAGCAGGTCACGAGTCCCCTAAATTAAGCTACAGGTTTAGCATTTTGCCCATTTGAAAGAAAAGAGGGGGATTACTCATTTGTGTGAGCTGTAACCTTTCAGCGAAGATTCTTCATATTTTATGCGCCATAAACAAAAAAGAGTTGTATCTGCATTCTGCAGCAATCATAAACAGTATACAAATATTGACTGCTTTAAGGGGCATGGTTACAACTATTGCCCAAGGTGATCTCAAAACTGTTCTGTGATCGGAGATTAAGTCTCCAGATCACAGAGGAGCTATAGTTTCAACTGAGATCTAAAAATAGGCAGTCAATATTTGTTATATACATCACATCACATTTATTACAAAAAATAATCGCTTGATGTCCAAAAAATATCCATTTGCTTACAAGTATATGGAAAACTAATGAGGGATAGTTCTACACTGACTGTATGCCTTTACATGTACATTGTAGTCAATGAAAAAGTATTTTAATGTAATGGATTTACAGTTTTACACATGCATGTAAGTTATTATTTGTACATGTATTATAAGTTGCAGTATATTTCTTTACAGGTACATGTATTTAATTTCATGTTAATAGCATTGTTTCTACCTCCCATAAACTGCTTGTTATCAACATCAACACTGCATCCATCAAATGCTGTAAAACAACTAGAGATACAAAAATCCCACATTTGCTCTTTTTGTTACCTTTGCTGCCAAAGTGTATATGATATCTTTTGTTGTTATTATTGGCATTCTGCTGCAGATATTTATTAGGTAGAAGCTAGAAAGGATTGAGCATTATGAATTATTCATCTCTATTCCCATTTGAAGGTCTAATTTGTTTGTTTTTAAATCATTTTTTAAAGCTCAAGTTGGTAGTATAGACTCTTCATTTTTTTTTTTTTACTGAGGCTGAAATATTGCATATGATATTCTGGATTATGTAGTAATAGGGTAGTGTAAAATATCAATAATTTTTTGACAATCTTGATTCAATTGAATTGTACATATGCACTAATTATGCACAGATGCTACATATTACAAGGAACTCCAGTGTGTGGAAAAAACCCTTGCCCATCCACTGTGTCGCATGCTACACAGTAACACTGTTATTCTTGTTTTCCTTTTCTAGTTAAAATGTAACACTTATATATCTGTATGCAATGTATCTTAATTTTAGTTGTCTACTAACCAGATGTATGAAGCATATTGTCTTGTAAGATGTTACTTGAAGGGTGTTTATTCGCATAAATTATTTATGTATCGTTCTTTGAGAGCCAGAAGACAGAAGAATGTTGACCCATGTATAATTTTACATCAGGCCTGTCTTCATCAGCTCGAGTTTGCCAAATAATCCGCTATTTTAATTATCCCGATCGCAAATTAGCCAGTTAATTTGCACCTTCATCAGCCTGCAGTTGCAATTAGCGGGATATTTGGTCAAGAAGATATCCTGAGAAATATTGGTCTTGTTTAAAAAATATCCTGCTATTTGGGAAATAGCGGGTTAATTTGCACCCGTCCGAGCTAGTTTGTGATTTGTGTATCAGTCTCATGAAGACACAATTTCGAGCTTCAGGATAATATCCCGAGTCTGACGATAGCTGGTTATTTGGCAAACTCAAGCTGATGAAGACAGGCCTAACGACATAAAAGGAAATCCATCCTCAATAGCAAACAACGCTAAAAGAAAGCAGAGAAGTAGACTGGTGAAAGTTTGAAGGAAATGGGACAAAAAGGAAGAAAGTGATGAATATTTAAAATTTGTAATCATTATACTTCACATTGGCTGAATAGGTAATGTCACCAGGATGTTGTTTTTCTTCAAAACATGTTGACTCAGGAGGGTATTTTCTGCTAAAAATATACCAGCCATAATTTATATTCAGTAGTGCCCCAAGGAAGAAGGTACTTGAAAGAAAAAACAGAAATTGATGATAGTTTTATATACAACGATCGGGAGAGTAGTCCAACGGTCACAATCCAATGACAAAATTAGCAATTTGAAATTTGCTTGGCTGTATAGAGGTGTCATATTTCAAACATTTATATTTTCCTAATTGTTGTTTTGAGTTGCCCTTTAACACCCTTTTAGCTCTCAACAGATGATGTATATTTAATGCCTTCCTGGCTCTCAGTGTACATGTGTATTATCAAATCATCCAAGGAGCATAGAGATACCTCCTTGAATGAACTACCGGTATCTGTCTTGCATGGAACATGTGTGAATTCAAATTTATGAACCCTGCAAAGCTTCCTTGTGTTCTCATGCCCTTTTTACGTCAGTTTCATGGATGTACATAGATTTTTTTTTTTAACAGATGACACATTTTAATGTATTGTTCTAAAGAGAAATATTCTAAACTTGATGCTGCTAGCATAGGGGGAAGTAGACTATTATCTAGTTAAAGCGACAAAATTAATGTGTATGATATTTTGATGGTAATGGTTGATATTGTGAGGTGATCCAATTCTTCCCGAATGTGTCACCAGTGCATGCTCCTGAAATGATGTCAATGTCTCTAAATAGGATGAATATGAATTTTGAAAGAAAATATGTACGAGTAAGTTTTATGTCTGATCATGTAGTAGAGGGGAACTATCATTATGATGAGGCTGCTTAGACAACCCCCCCCCCCCCCAAAAAAAGAAGAAAATTGCCTGTTTTTTTTTAATTCTCTATTTCTCTCTTTTTTTTTATTGGACTAATTTTGGTCAAGGTTTATGGGAAATAATTGTGCTTCTGATGGTCCAATGAAGGTCAAGCATCAACCTACTTAACCCAAATAAAAATCATGAGCTGCAACTGAATGCATGAACAAAACCTATTTCATGATAAAAAAATTATTTTGTGATGAAATTTTTTATTCTCTGTGCCACAGACTGCATTGGCAAGGATGAAAATGATACTTTATAGAAAAGAAGAAAAAGGGAAGTTGGCGCCATTTAAATCAGTTAATCAGTCAAATTGCTTCATCTGCATTTAAGAATGCAGGCCGGGGTACAGTATGAAGTATGTGATGATAATTACCATTTTCAAACAGGAATTCCCATGTGTATAATTCATGTATCAAGCACTATGACTCTTTATGTACTTAATAATATCTCAAATTCATGACACCGTTTGAAAATCAAGTTTCATTATTTTGTTATGTGGCGCATGGTCAAATATTGTGAAGGCTCTCGCATGGCACAGTCTGTATATGAGGCTACTCTGAATGTGGACATCAGCCTTTTTCATGGGTTTGTTAGGCATTGCACTTTTCTTCAATTTATTTACAAACACACTGAAGTTGAGAAATGCGTTATTTGTTCTCTCTTGTCATTTTGGGAATCGATTCCTTAATATTTAAACCTGTGAACAGAAACAAGATGAAAATATATATTGTTTTTTCATTGCTTCATTTTGTTGTTGTGGCATTATTATTCATGCCTTTATTCCCCCTACATACATGTTTTTGCCCTGTTACTGCAACTTAATTTGATTGATGTGTATATTAACATCTTGGTGTGCAGTATATATTATGACAATGTCAAAGTAAACTGTGAGCAAAACCAAACTTGTCTACTTGTTTTCTTTTGTCTGTGATGAATCTCTTTTTAATGTGTTTAAAAGCATGATATTAGGAGGAAATGATTTATTTCTTTTCTGTACTTCTGCGAGCATGATGTTGTAAGGAGAAGTACAGAGTTCACATACCAGTAATAACTCAAGTAGGTAGGCCTATACAGTGGAGAACGTTTTGGTTGAAACAATGGGTATTTAATTCTTATCATATTGAGATAACAAACTCCCATACAACTATTTGACCTGTAGTAAATAACTAAGAGAGTTAAGAAGCTTAAATCTAGTTTAATTAAAATAGGAGGTTACAAGCATTGTTGTTGCAGTGTTCTAAAATGAAATAGGTCTTGGTCATGGTCATCCATCCCCTGTTCTCCCCAAATATTGTGAAACATGGAAATTCCACCGTAATTCTACAATATATATATATATATATATATGCCTGTATTGTTATGAATCTCCCCCCCCCCCCTTTCCCTTTCTCTCTCTCTCTCTCCGGCACTCTACCTACCTATCTACCAATTTATCTGTGTATCTATCTTTCCCTCTCCCTCTCTCTCTCTTTCTCTTTCCCTCTCTCTCTTTCTTTCCCCTGTCTCTCTCTCTCTCTCTCCCTTACACTCAAACATGTAGGCTACATTCAGCTCTGACCATGAGTCATGCACCCCTTCCCACCTTACATCAGTAACATTGAAAATAAAACCAATCATTAATCATCAATTCCACTGCAGTCGTATAATTATGTTTATAATTTTGTGAATTTTCTATTCTCATCCTATAACAGGACAGTCATCAGCTGCTATTTGATATTCGTCCTTCAGCTTTAGCCATGGTGGCAATTAGGAAATCCATGGGGCATGCACCCCCCCCCCCCCCCCAACCCAACCCAACCCAGAAACTAATCAATGTCCATTCATTATAATTGTACATTATGTTGAGGGGAATCCGATTTTAAAAGGCCCAATCGAGATCGAGGTCTCGTCCAAAGTTCCGATACAACTACAAGAAAAGCCCCCAAAACAAGGATAGAAAATCTGAAATGCAATCACCTTAATTGTGCCTCTTTTTCTATGAGATTACACGGTGCTGAAATCAAACGGCACTATAATTGCAGGCCTTCTACAGCATCTTTCCCCATGCCTCAAAGCTGTTTTACAAAGCTGTGGATCGCAATAAGTCTTGATTAGATTACTGCATGGTGTGTCTAGTAAGTACATGCTCAATCGCGGCTTCATTGTCTCAGAGATGCTTTATATTGTAGGCCTACCTTTAATTTGATTCTAACATATTACACATGCCCCGGTGGGTTGAATGCTGTATGCAATCTATATTTATTTGGATGCCTTCTTTGCTAAAAGTCTAAAAAGAGGATGGAGTTGCGGTCGTCGATATGATATAATAGAGGATCTCTAATCCCTATTCTGTATCTTTCCTCTAATCCTCTCTCTCTCTCTCTCTCTCTCTCTCTCAGTATTGTAAGAGGCCACCAACTCTACTGGATAGAAAAGAGAGAGGGGTGGATATTCTTATGCTGATCATTCAATGGGCAAATTATATATAAACAAGAAATAAAAAGAAAGTAGAACATTAATAACATGTCAAAACTATAACAAATATAATGTTTTTGAAGTCACATTATCAATGGAGTAAAATTCTGTATCTTCTATAATTATAGAACTCTGTAAAATGGGTGTTCTCACATTAGTACCCACTTTGATCATTTCATTGGACAGATTTTTTGTTGTATATAACGACAATTTGGTAAACTGCGCGGGCAGTGCTTGAGGTGAAGTTGGACAGTCAGGGAGATATGGGACAAACTTTTCAAAAATGCTTTTTAAAAATCACAAATTTTACAGGTGATCGTCATAAAATAAGTAGCTGAGATAATGTATCAGTTGAAAAATTAGACTCTTACATTTTGAAAAATTTATTTACCTGAACCATGCCTAAAGTTATTAATACTAAAAAGTATAATTGTGTTTATCGATTCTAAATGGTCAAAATTCACGTTCCTAACATCGTAGGCCAACACAAAAATGTAACTATATAACTCTAACTAACCTACCTAACTCTAACGTGTCCAATTTCACCCCAAAAAAAAGGGGGGGGGGACAAAATAAATATATTAAACAAATAAAATATTTATTACTTTTACAGATTTTATCACTTTTAAAAATATTTTAGCCAACTATTGGGTCCGTCAGACATCCAAACTATAGCTGTATGCAGAGTTTTAGAACAACTAAGTGGTACATTTTATAAAAACATTTGGCAGCGAACGCCCAAAAAAGTGGCGGGGGGGGGGGGGGGGGGGGTGGAGTCGTCAAAAAAGTGATAATTAAACCTACAAGCAAAATGTGTGATAGCTGTCGATGTATTTGTGGACATATAGGTAGTTAAGACCTTTTATTGGATTTTAGCAAATTTATAAAAGGTTAATTACTGTTTAAATGGGGTGTCCCCACTTTTTCCGCATCCCGGTTTACCCCGTTTTCCCCGACACGACCAGAAATTGTGAAAGGTATATATTCATAAGGAATACCCCACCCCCCCCCCCTCTCCCTATATACCCACCCCCACACACATGCGCTCTTGTGATACACGTACACTCTAAAAATTAAAAATAAAGGTAAAATATTTACCCAAATTTGAGTAAATTGAAGGAACATGCATAATTCTTTTTTAAATATAGGGAAACATTTGATAAATGTGCCCCAAAGTGGACAAATTTCATACCAATATTGGGTAATAAGTCATCCAACAAAGATGAATTTTCCATGTTACCCACCGTTGGCTTGAAGAATATTCCAGGTCGAGGATCGTTGGGGGAGGGAGGGGGTGGGGGCTAATTGTTTCCTCGCATTGTTTATTATAATTAAATAATCTGAGACACGAAAAAGGGGCAATGGTTATTACTTTTCAGGTGCCTTTTTGAGATGGATAAGTGGCTAGGTTGAAATCGTTGTCGAGGTCACAATAATTTTATTCGACAGATTTGTTTTGCCATGAAAATAATAATAACAATAATAATGATAATAATAATGACAATGTCTTGTTTGCCAAAGGTAACTTTATCAGTAATTATAATTTCCCCTTAATAGCTCGCTCTGCATGCAATGTTAAATCATTTTCCGGCTTTATTATATAGCCAATTAAGCTACATATGTAGTCAATGAATCTCTAATTCCTATCGGGCCGGGTACTGTACAACTAGGAGAAATCAGTGTCAAAAGTAAATTAATATCTTGCTATATAAAGCTTGACTTACTTGACTTAAGCCGTCCACACCATCACTGGGATGTATGATGGCTTCTGTTTCACTATGGCTTGCCACACCTTCCTGTCTTCTGTTAACCTTGTAGCTTTAGTCAGGGAGTCAACTTGTCTGTTTTTGCAGTCCGCCTTGATGCAGTCTGTCCATCTCTTAGCTGGTCTTCCCCTTGGGCGTTTGCCATGTATATTTCCATTGAGAAGGATGTGGGGGTATCTTTTTGAATTCATTCGGTTGATATGTCCAAAGTATCTCAGTCTTTTTGTGGCAACCCTGTCGATGATAGTTTCTTCCATATTCAGTTGTGTTCGTATGTGTGTGTTCCTTAGCCTGTCAAATCTGGTCACACCCATGATTCTCCTGAGGCATGCCATCTCAAAAGTGTGAAGTCTATTTTCATCTACCTTCTTTAATGTCCATGTTTCTGCACCATATAACAGAATAGACAACACCAGGACTTTGTACAGATCTACCTTTGTTGAGCAGCGTATATCTTGTGATGTCCAGATTTTCTTGAGTGCTTGGAATGCTCCTATTGCCTTTCCAATGCGGTGCTTTACCTCTTCCGAGCAGGATCCTGTCTGGCTTATTGTTCCTCCCAGGTACGTGAACTTATCTACTTGTTTTAGCTGTTCTCCTCCAACGTTTATATTCAATAGTTGAGGCTGTTTGCTTATGGCTTGTACTTCTGTTTTGGTAATGTTTATTTTCAGTCCAAAGTTTGAGCTGCTCTGATGTACTAGGTCAACTATTGTTTGGAGGTCTCTGTCATTGTCAGCTATAAGGACTATGTCATCCGCAAATCTTAGGTTGTTGATTAGCTGTCCCTGTACTCTTACGCCGATCTTGGTGTCATGTATAGCGTAAAGCATCACAGCTTCGAGTAAGATGTTAAAAAGTTGTGGGGACAGGGCACATCCTTGGCGTACCCCAACTGTGGTTTTAAACCAGTCGGTCAATTCACCATTCACTCTGACTGCACTGCTTGATTGTTGGTAGAGTGCTTGAAGTAGGTGTATGTATTTTGATGAATATCCAAAGAAGTTCATTGCTTTCCACAGCCCTTCCTGCCAGACTGAGTCAAATGCCTTTTCGTAATCGATGAAGCAGCATAGGAGACTTTGATTTCTTTCAAGGCGCTTTTCCATTATCTGTCTGAGGGTGAACAGTTGATCCATAGTGGAACGTCCTGGTCGGAATCCAGCTTGTGCTTCGGACAGCACTTCTTCTGTTTTCTTCATGATCCTTCGCTGGAGGATGATACTGAATACTTTCCCTGCATGGCTTAGCAGGCTAATACCCCTGTAGTTTCCACAGTTGAGTTTGTCTTTTTTCTTGTAGATTGGTGTTATTATGGCTTTTCCCCAGTCAGCCGGAAAACTTTCTTCCCGCCATATTATGTTGCACAATTTGTGAAGTATGGTGATTCCTGTTGGCCCAGTAGCTTTGAGTTCCTCTCCTGTGATGCTGTCAAATCCAGGTGCTTTCTCTTCTGCGAGTTTTCGTACAGCAAATTCTACTTCATCTCGCAGAATGTCTGGAACCGGTTCGAGGCTGGCCATCTGAGGTATGTTAGTAGCTTCTCCATTTGTTTGGTTCTGGTGATTGTACAGTTCCTCAAAGCTTTCTTTCCATCTCTCTTTAACATCTTTCATCTCGGTAAGGATTTCTCCATCTTTGCTTTTCACTGCCTGCATTCTGATGCTAGATTTCTTAGTGATTTGTTTGATTGTTGTGTAGACTGCCTTGGATTTGGTAGCCTGACGTGAGGTTTCCACTTTTTTGCATAGATCTTGTATCCATTTGTCTTTGCAGCCTTTTGTTTTCCTTCGTATTTCTCTGTTAAGGAAGTTGTATCTCGGTCTTTTGTTTGGGTCTCTTTGTTTGTCTTGTTTCGCTTCCTTTCTCTCATCACTCAGTCGGAGGACTTCCTCACTTATCCAGGGTTCTTGTTGTTTGGATTTTTTAAGTCCCAATACTTTCTGTGAGGTTTCATTAATGGCTGTTTTTACTTCTTTCCATAGGTTTTCCACATCTGTGTCATCTTCCCCCAGCAGAGGGCCAAACTTTCCTCCTATTTCAATTTCATAATCTGTCCTGGTTTTGGGGTCTTTGAGTCTAAAGACATCATACCGCTTCAGGTACTGCGGTCTAGGTTTTGCTTTGAGCTTGAGGCGTAGGTTGGTTATAATTAACTGATGGTCTGTTCCTACATCAGCACTTGGAAAGCTTCTTGCATTACTAATTGAGTTTTTCCAATTTTTGTTGATCATAATAAAATCAATTTTATTATGGGTGTTTTGGTCTGGTGATTCCCACGTCCACTGGCGGCTTCCTTTGCTTTGTTTGTATAGCGTGTTAGTGATGATCAGGTCGTTTGCTGCACAGAAATTAAGAAGTTTTTCTCCCCTGGGATTGGCCTCCCCAAGTCCATATTGACCTATAACCTGGTTCCATTGCTTGGAGTCTGATCCTACCTTCGCATTTAAGTCGCCCATTACTATAAGAATGTCTTTTCTTGGAGCTTTCTCTATCGTTGCTTGTAGTAGGTTGTAGAATTCCTCAATTTCCTCTTCACTGTTGGCTGTGTTTGGAGCGTAGACCTGTATTATGGTCAATGATCCTGTTTGTATTTCAAATCTTGCTGATATAATTCTTGGTGAGATGGGGTTGTAACCAAGAAGTGCATTTTGGGCGGTTTTGTTAAGAATCAATGCAACTCCTTCTCTATGAATTTTATCTTTCCCCGAGCATAGGATTCTGTGTCCATCATGGGTGAAGTCTCCCATGTCTGTCCAGTGGGTTTCTGCAATGCCGATGATTTCCCAGCGAAATCCTTTTAGTTGATGTAGTAGTATGTCTAAGCTTCCAGCTTGGAGCAGTGTACGCACATTCCATGTGCCAATTCCAATCTGTTTTTTTGTTGTTAGTAGTGGTGCTTTCTTTGTCGGTGGTTCTTCAGTAGCAACTCCCCCGTTAGGCTTTCGAGCTGTTGCGTCATAATTCACTGCTTCTTGCAGGACCACGGGCTGAGTTGGCAGGTTAGTAGAGGCAGGGGCTTTAACCCTGGTGCTGTTTGTGTGTACTTCCATTGTGAAACAGTTTCGCTCATGTTGTAAGCTAGGTGGACGAGACACTCCTCTCCTAGCCACCCTGGTCTGTTTGTCCCTGTTGTACGAGTCAACAGGTTAACAGTCCCCACCACGAGAAGGTTGACCAGGACGATTACCCGTACTCTCACAAGTCGGTCATACCCCTCACGTTTTGCTTGTTACAGCAGTTGTTACCGGGGATGTCTCCTCCTTGTATGGTCTACCAAATTTGTTACAAAATGGTAAGAGAGTATAGGCTTTTTTAGGGGGACCTAAGATATTAATTTGTATACTTAGGGTATACCAGATTGCGAAACGATCCGCCACAGCAAATTGAAATTTCTCAGTCAGAAATTTAAGACATAGAAAGATCCCTCGTCGATCTCATATAGGGATGTGGTCGCTAATTAATTGTAAACAACCAACAATTAAAATATGACAAACAAAACTAGATAAGACCAACAAATTATGATTGCAGGGCCCTCAGGGAGAACAGTATGAATACTGATGAGGCTACCCTGGGTAAACAAGACATATTATTATTTTTATTATTATTAACTATATAACCAACTTCTAAACTAATTAAAGGCCTACTTAGCTAGCTAGCTAACTAGCCAATTACTTACTGACTGATTGACTAAAGCAGGCGCGCTTGAGATATCGCCGTTTATCTCTGGACAAAATTCAGACACAAAGCAATAAACATGAAGAGCGACATCTTATAACTCAATGTCACAAAGTAGTTAGTAAATTAGTAAACACAAAACGTAATGTTTACAATGGAAAGTGCGTTCACCTTAATAACTTACGTGCCGCCGCTGATCATCACTGATCTCTAGTTCTACGGAAAAGATTCCGTAGAGATCAGTGCTGATCATCGACGCTTCCTAATCCTGGCCTGAACAGTTCGAAATGTTTCTTCATCATATTCATAGTTATTTATATTTTTATAACAATGGCTGTCGACGGCCTGGCGATTCAAACTATTTGGATGAACGTAGCTGCATTTTGTTCCCTGAGTGATCTTGGAAGATTACAGTCAACATGCAAATATCTCAACGCGATCCTTTCATGCAATTCAGTTTGGTACGTATCATCGCATGACAGTGTTTATCAATTGAGGGATACATGCGCTGATATAGTAGGCTGTTCCGAAGCTGTCTGGGGTCGGCAGCCCCAGCGTATCCGATATCTGATCCAACCTTAACTAGCATTAGCATTGACTCTCTATGCTTTGCTGGAGTGAACTAGACCTAGATCTAGACTTTTTAAAGTCTATATATCCGAACTGGAAAATGAAATGGATGAATTATATATCAACGGAAAGCTTACAATACTATCAATTATATATAGACCCTATGCCATTTTAGTGTCTGTCACTGCCAGAGGAGTACTACTAGAACTACCATCAGTATCAGCTCTCTGAAAACTCAAAATCCAAAGGCAAAGCTCTGAAAATCGGAAGCTATCGACTTGATCAATGACATCATCTTATGAGGAGTAGCCTACGCATATTTCCAATGACTTTGAATTCGTTAAGCAATGCTCATCATCTCAGCTATATAGGTGAACCGATGGGGTCCACATGTTATATCGTCACTGTAACTTAGAAGTTAGAGTCTAGGAAAATTTGACCCCTGTTGACCCATTATTTGGAAAATGAGGTTTTAATTTGCTTTTGTGCGTTAATGAAAGGGTAAATACTTTTTATTCCTTTATATTTGTGTAGGGATTTATTTTGAACTTAAAACTCCCCTTCGTATCCATGATTGATGACTATTCATATATGTAAATTATACTTTAAGCTTGACTGCATCTGGTGAACATTGGAACCAATCAGATACTGTAGATGAAAGGATGGTGGATGAAAATGTGAATGAGGGATGACCTACATCGTAGTATGAAAGGAATGAATCATGGAAGTGAATAGAGGGGAGTAAGAATTTCAAAATAAAAACCTACATGAACAAACTAGTCGTCCTCTCACAAATAAAATGCCCTCATTTTATAATAAGGCATTTTCTTTTCTTTGATTACCTGAACACATTAAACATTAAATATCTAACAAAAATACAAAATGATATATCTTAACCCTTTCCTTTTGTAAATAGACAAAGTCAATATCAATTTATATTTTCTTTTTTCTTTTAAAGAAACTAAATCCTACTACCTGCAAGCATAACAGTGTAAAATTTCACAAAACAAATGAATTTCACTTTGTATATGAATAAATTATGACTTACATGTACATATGATTCAAATGTACAGTGTATTAAGCATAACATATAAGCTGAAATATCTGTCAATACACAAGATTTTATATATCTGAATTCTCTTCACATTTAATCTGTTTTCACTTTTATCACGAGGAAACAATCAGGTTCTAATTTAAATTTGTGCATTAATGAAATGGTAAAAACTCTTTATTCCTTTATATTTGTATTCTACATTCATTCAGGTTTCCATTTCTATCAAGTTGTATTTTCATCGGATATGGTCCATCTCTGTAAATTTAGCCTGATTTTTTTCTCCTGAATTATTATTTTATCGTCAACAGGAAGATTCAGTGGAAAAAGTTGTATAGATTATTTGACCTGGAGGAGAAGTACAGGGACCGTGTTGATTCCTCGGCTCTTGTACCCTTCTTGTACCAGAACCTCTGCTTTCGTCTCCTGTCATGTCTCAGACGCAGGGAATGTTCACAGCAATGGTTCGTCATGAACCAACAGGATGAAGTCGAATCCTTCAACATTGCTCAGAACCTCACATCATTTTCGTTCTTTGATTCAACTCAGCTGTGGCGCAGGGCCGAGTCCTCGCGGCACATCCGTTTGCGCTCGGCGTTGTCTACGGTAGTTCCTCTTCGCAGACTGAAGGCGTGTGATGCAAGGTTCCTGGATGCTGCAACAGATCACATGCTGCTTGGTGGCATAGCTCAGAAAGATGACAGTTTTGCTGAACTCTGGCCTTTCCTGGAGTCTGAGAAGAAGGCCTTCTACAACCACCGCATTGCGATGCTAATGAGGAAGGGGCGGAAGGGGAGAGAGAAATGCTTCTCACAGGTCTCAGGGTTAGAGTGTGGCATGCCGCTACAGTTCTGCTCTCTGAACCTTCTGGGAAGCGGATGGAAAGTGCGGAGGAGGGTTGTGCAAGCCTTTGAGGACACCACCAAAGGCACCAATGCTGCCATCAAGATCGGTGGAATCAAGAACTCTGAGCTGAGGTGTAGCCTGCAGGAGTTACTCCGTCCAGGATTGATCAGAGACTTCTCTCAAGAAGCGGAGCCGATCTGTCTCCGAACCCCCATCAATATGATTCCAAAAGACCTGGAAATAGTCAAGGACCTCTTCTTTCGTGTCCTGGGATACACTTGGTAAGTTGATGATATCTTATGCAATATAACAAATATTACTTGATGACTGAAAACTGATTTTGGAAGGTCACTTCCTATCTATTCACTACACACATAATAAATGATAGTCTTGACAAAAATAATACCAGATGCTTGAGATCTGGTAGCCCCTTTGGAACAGGTTACTTAACTATTCATGAGATACTACCAGCTTTCCACTCAGTCACCATTCTGCACACTTGCTTAATCAAGAATAAAAGTAGATGTAGCGTGGACTACATGTATATTTCTATTGGTATTGGGACCGTTTTAAAAATATTTTGTGCATGCCTCGCTCTGTTTCAAACTTTCAATTTAGTCTCTTTGCCACACAAGCATACACAATTGTGGTGTGAATTGATGACTCAAAATAAACATCAGTGTGTTATTTCATAATCAAGGACACAAATTTTTGTAAAAATACATGTATATCATAGATAAGATCTGGAAATGTACTGCATAACTAAGGACTCACTTTTTCCCATGCAAATAGAGCACCTAAATAGAAGTACCCCAAGACCGAGGATTTCCTCATTTTGTAAATGGAAGTGAAAGTGAAGGTACATTTCTTATCAGTCAGTGTCCTTGGTACCCACACGCACTGAATCCATAAGAAACATGGATGTATTACAAACTATATATCCTATCTGTCTCTCCTAGCATCTTACCGTTCAACGTAGCATCCCATGTCAGCGACAACGCTAGAGCAGAGACATGCCTCATTATAGAGAGCTACGTCCATCACACTGTCATCACACCCATTGTCGATGGCATCCTGTGCTCAGACCTGGTGAGATGCAAACCCATCGGCTTTGCTCATGTCCTGGATTATCTGGTTCTAAGTTTGGTAGTGAAGAACCCAAACCTCAGTAAGGTAGGTGGAAGAAGAACAGTCTTTAACATGCTTCTGCAGTCTGGAAAGACCACATTTTATGGCTTTCCTCAAACAATGTTAGGATTCACACATCAATGAACATCCTGTACTCAGCCCTGGTGAGGTGCAAACCCATTGGCCCGAATTCACAAAGGAGGTTTGTCAACAAACCTAGGTTTATGTGCTTATATGTGTTTCAGACCAAGGTTCAGACAAACCTTGGTCTGAAACACGTCAAAACACGTCATGTGATGCACATAAACCTAGGTTGTTTTTACAAACCTCCTTTGTGAATTTGGGCCATTGGCTTGGCTCATTGTCTTGGATTATCTTAGTCTAGTGGTGAAGAACCCAAGAGCCATCCTGGTAGGCTAAAGTACAGGGTAACCTGCTATGGCAACAACATCTACAGAAAGACTACGTCTATGTAAATATCACCTTTATGAAGAAAAACATATTTTGCTTCCCTTTAACAGTTTTTTATTATTGAAACAACTATTAAAAGAACCTGTGCATAAAGACCACCTTAACCCATAAATCAGCTGCCTACTGGTATTTATTGCCTCAGTTGAGTGGTTTTACATTGTATCTACTATTCGCTCTAAATGTTATTTTTCATTCATTTGTTTATTTATATATTCATATATTTTTTTTATTCATTTACAGTCAAACCTGCTTTAGTGACCACCTGTCTACAAAGACCACATTTTTTGTCTCCCTTGAAAATGGTTATCATTGAAACATGTACTAAAGGAACCTGTTTACAAAGACCACTTTTTGTGTTTCCCAGGGAGGGGGGGGGGGGGGGGGGGGGGGAGGGGGAGGGGGGTTTCAAGAAACCGAAATTGCCTTGCCTGTGTCCCTCTCCTACTGCATTTCACACTTTACTTTGGTAGTTTTACCAATGAATTTTATCATACTTCTAATCAGTGTATATCCAGTTCAAGCACTCATTTTACTTTAACAGTATCACATAGTGTACTGTGTGTCTTTAACAGAAATATGTTCTACTCTGCAAATTATTTGATATCCTCATTTGTAATTGTGAGGGTAAAATTATAATAAAGATCAACCATATTGTTAGGCCAGTGTATTAGTGTATTTTTATTTTCCCAGAACCCCAATGACATGCCAAGTAGTTCATCTGTTAGCATCTCTATGAATTCACTTATGATCTTGCGATGTTAGACGCACCTCTGGCAAGCTGTTAATAATTTTGATGAACTAGTCTTATTCCTTTTCTTCCCATCCCCATTCTTAGATCAGAGCACCATCCCTCATGCTGAACACGAATCCTGAACGCATGACCCTTGCCCTTTCACCTGCTCGTGACCTGATGGCTGCCGTCCGTCCAGAAAACCCTTCAGAGTATGCCTACAATTCACAGCTTGGTGTTTTGCAGTCAGGTACTGCACTTCAGCTCAAAGAAAGGTAAGAATTTTGAGGGTTCAGTAACACAAAGATGTAACTCCATATTTTGCCAAAATGAGTATTTGATATCAAAAAGTTCAGAAAAATGTGGGCTTTCCAGGAAACACAAAGACTAAACTCCACCCAACACCCCATTGAAGTCAATGGCTAGTGAAACATAGACTTTAAACTTTAAAGCTTTCTAAATCTGCACATACTGATGACCGTGTATAACCAAAAATGTGATATATGTGATATATCAATGGTACTTTTACTTCATATGTATCGTAGTTCAGTAATTTTTTGCAATTTTATTTCTCTTCTGAAGCATCCTATGCGTCTTCCAAGGAATCGACTCGTGTAAGCGCTCAGAGTTCCTAGTCCTTCTAGCAACCGAGTACATGTACAAGTGCCTTGACCTTGTTTCCATGGTAACCGAACTCCTCAGCCAGTTTGACCTTCTCAACGTGCGGCGGTTGGTGAGTCGCATCTTCTTCGTCGGGGAGAACACGCGGATCGGTAGCTTCCGGGAGAGGTTCGAGAGGGACCTGCGGGTGAGTCTCGACCGGTTGGGGGCGGTGTTCGGAGGAGAGTTTGCCAGGCAGCAGCGATGGCCGATACACTGCGTACACGCAGAGGTGGAGGACAGACCGAACTGTCTGTTCTCCGATACCTTCACCACCATGGACTATATCTTTCAAGGCCCTGATTTCTTCTGAATCTCCCTTTATTTCTTTTTTAATTATTTATTCGGTACTTTCAAGAAATATAACAATAAAACAATATAATCATGGTGATTACAAAATTAGAATGACAAAAATTATACAAATACAACTGTTTGTAGCAATATTCTAAGTGCAAAAGATGGCGGCCAGGGAAAAACAGAGCAAACTTAATTACTGTAACCGTAATGGTCTCTTCGCCAAACCAACTGATGCACTCAGATCGTGCCTCCTCCCCAATGAACACCCTATACAAAGGGTAGTTATGAGGATATGCAATTGACAACCATGAACAATAATTTCCAAATCACAATTTCTTCAGGATCTTCCTTTCAATGCACCCATTTGAGGCTTGCCTCTAAGGAACATGCATGTCTACATCCTATATAAAGAAAAGTCAGCAGAATCTGCAGTTTTACAAAATAGCACATATCTTTCAGGACCCTAACTTCTTTTAGGTCTCAAGGAACATGGATGTTTTGTCCTATCCAGCTGATAGTAGGGCTAATGTACAATTTACCGTCATCAATATATTCAAGGCCCTAATTTCTTTTGAATCTCTCTTTCAGTTCATTCATTTGAGCTTTGTTCCATAGGAACATGGAACATTTTTATATTTTCTAAAATCCAAAGGATAGTTGAATAATTCAATTTACCTTCATGGGCTATATCTTTTAAGGTCCTAAACCTTTCCCAGCATTCATTCACCCATTCATCCACCCTTCCTTCCATCCATCTGTTGGTATCATATCCTTAATACCAGAATTACATACTAGTTATATTTAAGAGGCTATAAATAACAAGATGTTACACAAAGGTTATGTGCTTAAAGAGAGAGCTCTCAAGGCTCTTCATTTACTGCATGTATTTCACTTTTACAATTTTGCCACAAGGTAGCGCCATTTCACTATCAACCTCGGGACATATTAACTAATTTCATTACACCTTTCAGAAGCATGTCATTATATAAACTAAAATAATACCAACAATGTTGCTCAGAATTAAGCTGTACTGAAACGTTTGAGAATCTTATATAAACTTTCAAAACCTGTTCTTTGTATTGTAAATATGTATGTGTGTATTCCTAAAAACCAGCTCACACGTTTCGGATATAATAACAAGTGATCCAATTATCACTTAGGTATAAAACTACTGAAGCAACTTCAACAAACATATATTTACAACTTAATATACACAGCAACTCCACAGATGAACTTCCTTAATGCTTACTTACTAACTGTTCTTTGTTTTTATCGTTCATGAGTTCAGTTGAGTTTGTAATATTTTAGATATGCTGGCTGTTTTGTCTGCCGCTGACTTCTGCGGAATGGTTCTAAGTTCTGCCCTGAGTTATCGCTATTTGATGTCGTGTTTGGTGATGAATCGGTAGGGGTTGGAGATGTATCCTGAGGATCGTCTGTTACGGAAGATTGTTGATCCACAGCCAAGTCGCTATTATCGTTGAACTGTTCATTCGATTTTCGATGTTCAGTTTTGATGAGTACGACCGAATACCGACTTTCTTGAGTACAATGGCACTTTCCCAGGCCCTGGCATCCTTTTTCGGCTTGACTCTTACGGTATCCCCAACTATGAGTTCAAGCAGATCTTTGGCACTCCGGTTATAGTATTGTGCCTGCTTTTTGTGATTCTTCTCTTTTCGTTCATCAATGTCTGTTTGCAGCTATACAGGGGTCCATTGTCAGCTAGGACCGTTTCCGGGATTCGCCAAATTCCTCTGCAATCTAGTTATCACAGCTAGCGCATCCTTCTTCCCAGTCCCAGTAATCCGAAAAATAGTCCACTGTACATAGATAGTCATGGCCATCTAGCGCAAAAATGTCACATCCATTTTCTGCCATTGACGCGTTGGTAATTCATGGTGTATGAGGGTTTCCTTTCTTTGTGATGAAGCATATATGTTGCATGCTTCACACCGCGATAAGTAGTCTTTCATGTCGGATGTCATATTCGGCCAAAAGACACACTCCCTCGCTCTTTGTAGTGTGTTCTCGAGGCCTGTGTGACTGGCATGTAGTTTCTTGCGAATTTCACCTCTCATGTCCGCGAGGATGACACATCTCAGTACTTTGAACATGATACCGTTCGCGCTTGTTCGTGACGAATGCTGAAGAACGGTTTTGCCTCTGACGTACAAGCCTGGCTAGTGCTCGGCCATCCTGAAGCAATATAGTCCATCACTGCTTTCAGGGCTGTATTGCGCGCGGTAGATTGGCAGATCTCTTGTTGCGATATCTGAGATACGGGAATTGCATCAATAAGGTGAATACGCTCGACCTCTTCTTCAATGCCTGATCTTTGAGGTCACTAGTTTTATTTCTGAATAACTTGTTTTAATCGATTTAAAGATATTGGGTATTGTCGTAGTACGTGATGAGACAGTGAAGGAAGCCCAAGAGACGTTTGTTAGTGTAACTGGTGCTTTATTTAAAAAACGTTGATTCTCGGTGTCTACACACAGAAATGAAATGTCTACAGCAAATAACCCACTGAAGCCCCCAACTACAGTCCGGCATCCTCAAGGGAAGAAGGAAGACACCATGCAGCCATTAATCTACTCAACAACACAAATTGCAAGTCCTCTTGCCCTCATAACTGAAGACTGCCAAACAGTTGAACTAAAACATTCACCAAAAGTAACTGCAAGTTTCTCTAGCACAGGCACAGCCAAAACATGCACTCTACCCTTGAACGTGACAAAATGTGCTTCAATACAAACATGTGTGTTAAGACATTAACGTGGGCGGTGTATTACAAAATCAATTACCCATCCGCGAAACCATGTGTAACATGTGTAGTGAACTAATTTGCATAATCCACCTGATCTTGATAGCAACTTCCACACAATCCTCAATTGGTACTTCATTGTCACGAACACCTCTTGGTACGCTCGAAAAAGGAAGACCAGGCTAGATTTCCGCTTTGTTGTATAAACCCAACAATATGCCAGTTGAGTAAATTTATTCAACCCGTAAGTAGAATAAAAATAAACATCCTCAGTATACATCACGCAAAATATATATGTATGCATTTACTCTGTTCATGTATAATTAAAAGCGTTAAATTGCAAATAATTGGCGGATGCTGATCTGGGCCCCTGAATCTAGGAGCACATTTCCTTCTCTCTTTAGCTGGTCTGTTCCAGTAAACCTTGCCCTAATGATGAGTAGCATGGCTTCCGTCCCCCTTACATGGGCTACTCCCACTGCATTGTTGTCCATACTGGGGTGTAAAAGCGGATGATGGAAGAACTTGCACGGTTGCCCTTTGTATGTCTCTGGACACCGTCTCCTTTTCTTACAAGTAGCCATCTGATGCTCTGTACCAGCTTGCTTTAAACAGCTATAACAAGCTCGGCTGCTCTTTACCAACTCCAATCTCTCTGCTGTAGACTTATCAAGGAAAGTCTTGCATTGATCAGTCCAGTGCCCATCCTTACTCTTGCAGATCCAGCAGCGATAATCTTGCTGTCTTTCCTCAATTGTTGTGACCTGATTAACAGCGGATCTGGACTTGGAGGTTGAATCATTCCTCACTGGAGCAGATGATCCTTGAGGATTCTCTCCTCCCTGCATAAGACTTTCTCCTTGGCCACTCCTCCCAAATGATCAACTAAGGATGGGCCTTGGCAGCATCTTTCAGCTGGTAGTGCCGACAATAACTATCAAAGTTTTCCAGCCACCCCTGCAGAGACAGATCACCAGCAACCTGTGGAGAACCCTTAAACGTGCCCACCTTAACTGGTGGTGGCGGCGCCTTCTGTACATTAAGTCCTTGCAGAACACTGATTAGTGTCTCTAATATCTGCATCACTGATACGGCCATCGTTACAAAGGCTGTAAAGGTACTAGTGGGACAAAACAGATAAGTTACAAGTTACTCTACCAAAAGTACATAATAATAATAATACAAAACAAACAAAATACAATGATAAACAATTACATATTAGACATAACAAAAATTACAAATAAACCTGCAAATTGCAATACATATGAAATATACATCAATATGAACAGAGTAAGTTAATCATCAAAAGTAATTTTCAATAAATGTGTTATGACGATGTCTCCTACTTCGAGGTTTCGATGTTTGTGGACCCACTTCTGGCGGCTCTGCAGCTCTTGGAGGTACTCTCTTCTCCACCTAGCCCACAACTCGTTGGCTGCTTACTGTACTTGCCTCCACCACTTGCGAGAATAGAGGTCCTCGCGCTGGAAGGCTCCTGGCGGAGGAAGTACCACCTTGCATTGATGATAGCCTCTACTTCTGTCAGAAATGTCCGAAAGGTTTTGTCGTCCAGATGGCTACCAACCGTTTGCACAAGGAGTTCTAGAGCTTGACGTATAGTCTGGATTTGCCTTTTCCAGACACCGCCCACGTGAGATACATGAGGTACATTCATCTTGAAGGGTATCCAATCGCATCTGTTCTGAAGAAGGTAGTCTTGCACTTGAGACTGGTCCAGTTCAGCTAAGGCCCGTCTCAGCTTGGTGCGGGCGCCTATGAAGGTTGTTCCCTGGTCAGATCGCAGCTGTCTCACTACTCCTCGTCTATTCATAAATCGCCGCAAGGCATTTATGAAACTGGACCCAGTCAGACTGTGGGCCGTCTCTAGATGCACACTCCTCGATGCCATGCAAGTGAAAAGGACTTGGGGTTGTCTTACTCTTTGTTGACTACTGCTCCTGCGTAGTGTTTGTTCTGGTGTGCTTGCTGGTGTGTAATCGGTGTTGGTGAGTGGTTACAGTTGGTTGTCCGCTGTCTTCTAATCACTCTGGAGCTTGGTCATTCGCGTTTGGAGTGTGCGGATAGCTTACGCAAGTGGCGTCGATTCCTTTGGAATTCGCGCCCACTGTCCGTCATGATCCTGTACAATCGTATGTCAACTTTCTCGGTCACTTCCTCTTTGTCCCACTTATCCCTTTGACGCGACAGTTGTAGGCGTACGTGATCACCTACTTGTAAGTCTGGGAGAACTCTTGTGTGGCAGTTAAAGTAAAGGGCTTGTTTCTCCTGTTTCTGCTTTTATCACTCACGTACATCCTACACCAGTTGAGGTTGCAAGAGTTCATTCGCAATGGGTATGTTTGTTTGCATTCGTCACCCAAACATCCTTTGTGCTGGAGAGCTGTTTATGTCCGCGGCAAGGGTGGTAGGATGGACGAGTAGACTCGGTTGTCTACTTCAAAGTAGTCTGAGAAATGGTTGACAGTACACAGGTAATCCTGCCCACTGACTGCAATCACAGCCAACCTTCTGCCATGGGTGGCTCAGTATAGGATGGTTGATCAGGGGCTCTTTCGGTTGTGCGATGGCATAGGTGTTGCATGCATTGCAACAGGATATATAGTCCTTCAAGTCTGCAGATATTCCCGGCCAATAGACGCATTATCTCGCCCACGACAAAGTGCTTTTGATGCCAATGCCCATTGTGTGCTGTATGCAGTCTCTTCCTTACGCTCGGAGGCATTGATCATGGAATCATACAACGAAGTCCCTTAAGTACGATGCTGTCGTCGAAATGTCAGTCCATGTCTGATCGTTTGATACTGTCTCTCTTTGTTACATATAGTCAGCAGGGTCGTCTTGTCCTAATTGATATCTTATCACCATCTTGTACGGTTGCATGGCATGTCGCGATATTTGCTGAAGAAATTGGGGAGTCATTTAGTGATTTGAGCAGTAATACTGTTTCGGCTGGTACTGGAACTGATGTTGGCTTGTCGGGTAATGGCAGTCAGCTTAGTGCGTCAGCAATAGCGTGCGCCTTTGTCGGCGTAAAGCGCAATGTATACTCTTATCTCGCAAGAGTTAATGACCATTATTGTATTCTACCGATGCTTGTACGGGTGTGGGTCGATCCTCATTGAAAAGGTCTAGCAAGGGCTTATGGTCAGTGACCAACGTTTGAAGGCCATAGATTTAAGCATGGAAATGCGAGACTCCAAAAACACATGCTAGTCCTTTTTCAATCTGCGAATACTTCTCAGCTTTTGCGAGAGTACGCAAGGCGAACGCGATTGGCTGCTCAGATCCTTCTTCGAATCGGTGTGCGATGACGGCAATTGCAAAGCATCACATGACACTATGATCTCTCTTTGTGAATCATAAAGACTAACGATGAGACTAGTAGCTCATTCGACTTTTCAAATACTCTCTGCTAGGCAGAACCCCACTTCCACTTCATATCTTTGCGAAGTAATGCGTACAAGGGCACAAGCGTCGTCGACACATTCGGTAGAAACTTTTCATAGTTTGCAAGTAATCCCAATAAGCTCTCAAGTCTGGAGCATTGCCATTGTTGATTGCTTTCACCCGTTTCCTTCTTTTCAAACGTAAGCCGTTGACAGCGTTGCTAAATGATCGTGATCATTCTTGCCTGTAATAAGGATGTCATCCAGATACACTGTAACATGTGGTATCCCTTGTAGCAGCACCTCCATTACATGCTGAAAAATTGCAGGGGCAGATGACACTTTGATCTGATGTACATGATTCTCTGTATGGAGTTAGGAATTGATTCAAGTTCTTTCCTCGGCTGTTTGACGTCGTACTTTGCCTCCTCAAGACTACATTGCAGATCATGGATGTCGCCGTTCTGTTTCTCAATCAGAGTCTTCATCTCATGTATTTTGGCATCAACTGCCTTCATTACCAGGGCATTCATGGATCATGGATGTCGCCGTTCTGTTTCTCAATCAGAGTCTTCATCTCATGTATTTTGGCATCAACTGCCTTCATTACCAGGGCATTGACAGGAGACAAGAAATCGTTGTCCTTCAGTAAGTCCTTTATTACCACCTTCCTCTTGTTCCTGGCCACTGTTGAGTTGGGTATTTAGGTGATATCAGCAGTTAAGTCCAAGTAGATTATTTCTTTGAAAGTCGAATGGTAAATGGAATCTCAACAATGGTACACCTGATCAATTGAAAACACTTTTATACTAAAGAAAAGTCACTGGCACTGTATAGTCTATACTGTATAAAGCTGAGGAAGAGTATATTTATATATAACATAACACCAAAACAGGCAGATTTTGACAGGAGCACTGCAGAAAGGTGGCTGTCTTTCAAATATCCTTCGCAGGTGTTGTAAACGTTGTTCAGCTTGTGGCTTGTTTCAAACACAGCACATTCCAGCCTGTTTTTGCAATCCTTTGAAAAATGTGAAGACTTCTTCAGGCATGAGTAGCAAAGTCCCTGGGACTTGCAAAATTGCAGATATTCTCTGTACGGTTTGCCTCCAAGTCTCCTATGTTTGTCTTGCAGTAAAGACAGTACTGCTCTGGTTTGACTGACCTCACTGTCATGTTGTCTGGCTGGTTAACATTTGCAAAAAGCCACACCTTTCATCTATTGGCTTTGCATTTGTAGGGATGGGGTCTGCCTTCTTTTGAGGCCCTTTAATATTCCTGTATACAGGATTTGAGAGTACTCGAGCCTCCTTCGCCACAAAGGATACTGCGTCAGCAAACTGAGTGGACAGGCCTTTGACGCCACTTTTCCTATAGGCAGTACGGCAACTTGGACACTACCATCCTGATATTGTTGGAACTATTTATCTTGTGGCATTGTTCTAGATCTCTTGCTGTGTTAAGCAACTCTTTAAGGCACAAAGAGAAGCTGGTCAGTTTTCCTACCTCATCAGCCTTTATATCCGGCCAGTCCTCTACTTTTTCTATTATGGCGTCTGTGATGCGGTATTTATTCCTGAAGGCCTGCTCCAGCATTTCTGTCGCTTTTACGTATGCTGCCTCAGCATTCACATTACACATGCAGCTGCGCACCATGGCGTTCGCCTCACCTCTTGTGTACTGTTCAAGGTACATAGTACAGCCTGTTTTGGGATTGGTGGTCTTTTCTTCAACGCTATGTTGGAAGGTTCTCAGGAAGTCATTATACTCCAGCGGATTGCCATTGCCTATGTGGTAGGGACGATCTACTGCTCCAAACTGGGCAAACATATTCTGCGGATGACATGCAGAGGGCAACAGCTGTAGTTTGTACAGTGGGGTCATCGCCATAGTGTGAAGTTGCTAGCTTCCCAATGATGGCATTTCGAGATTCTACTTTGCCTTTTGTCTTCTCGATGTGTTTCTTAAAGGATAAAGTGTGATCGATTTTTACACATACACTAGATGCTCACACTGGTTTAGCTGTACATTGTTCCACTTTAGCTGCCTTCAGTTCTCTCTTTGCCTCCCTGTTCTTCAAGTGGAAGACACATACCTGAGTCTTGGATGGGTTTGTCCGTAGGTAGTTTGCTCTGTAGTTTTCCGAAAGGCTTGCGAGCGCTGTGTTGAGATGGAGTTCAACAGCTTCGAAGGTACTATGCTGGGCTGTGATGCAGGTGTCATCTGCATAGATGAAGTTTCGAGTGTTGTCAGTTGAAGGGATGTCAGCAGACCGTTTTTCTGTTTCCGCCATCTGGTCTTTTGCCCATCAAGTTCGACAAAGAAGCGTCATTTGTGATGTCATGAAGTTTTGTCTGTGGCCTTTGGTGATTGACAGTGTCATAAGCCGCTCTACCGGCACATATAACACTCCACCGGCACCTTTGTCAAATCGTTCTGCTGCCTTACTACCTCATTCTGTTGCATTAAGTATGCAGCGAGATAAAAAAAAAAAAATAAAAAAAAGGGGGGGGGGGTAATAATTACGCATTTATTCAAACAAGCTGAACTCTAGCTCATATAAACTTCCAAACATATTCACGAATTACGGTTATTCAGAATAAATAGTTTAGTCTATTTCTATAGCGAAAGACTGACGTTTGTTACATGACACTACACACTTCAATTCCAGCACACAACAATGTAAGTACACAAGTTTAGTTAGTCTATTTCTATAGCGGAAGACTACCGCTTATATTCAAATTAGACTAACCTACATAGTAATTATACAAACTAACCTTCCAGCGAATAGGTGCGAGAGCCGTCAGCGATGTCGGACTCAAATTTAGTCGAAAAACGAAAGTCGAAAAAACGATGGTACTTGGTAGATCATAGATGACGTCGGTGATAATAGTATAGTTAAACAATGAATGATGAACGAAAGCCAAAGGTCGGCGATGTCGATCGGATGCGGAGTCCACGTTCGGTGATGGGGAGACGTGGAATATAAATTTCGAGTTGACGGTGCTCAAAGACGGAACGAAGGTCGATAATGTCAATATCCAATTCATATTATTGGAGTTCACAACAAACTTCATAGTTCAAAGTGGTTATGGTGGCGGACGAGTGATGAGGATCCCAACAAACAAAGGATCGAATGTCAAAATCCAACTTGACTTGAGTTCGTAAAAACTGTAATCCAAGATGGCGGATATCAGAAGCAGCACCAAACTTGGTTTCCAGCCCAAAACAGCTAAATCGGTTTAAACCAGTCAGCGAATCGAGTCGAATTGTAAGTCTGTAGATCAATTTTAATTAATGCCTAATCGAGGCAAAACTACGAAGTACGAAATGCCATTGAATATAGAAGGGTGCCAATTCGAGGAGGACCAAAATACGTAGGTCCTCTCGGCACCGGAATCTAGTCGCCACTGATTCAAAAATTGCGGGACAAATTCAAAAGAGAGTCGGCTCCGGCGCACCGGCCGCTCTGAATAAACTTTAAACCCATAGGCGCCGGAAGTGGGGGGGGGGGGGGGCAGGGGGGGCAGTTGCCCCCCCCCCAGTCAAAAAAGTGGGGGGGCAAAACGCATTTTTGCCCCCCCAAAACGCCCCCCCCCCCTCCAAAAAAACAAAAACAAACAGTAAAGGAGTAAACATGGTTTGTATTTTTAATCCAAAAGAACGTAACAATAATAAAAACCTAAATTAAATCACATATACAATCATCTGTATACAATTCCATTCAAAGAAAAAGGAAAGTTCACAGGAATTAAATTTCATAAACATTGCGCATGCCACCTATACGGTATTTATCAATGGAGATCTCTATAATAGCGATACGCGCATATCGTGGACATATTGTGCGAGAATGGGAAAGCGTGTCCGTTTTTTTTGTTATAGGGGTGAGAAGACATGAGCCACTGAACGCTGGCGTACTGATGGGGGGGGGGGGGGTGATGTATTTCTTATTCGAAACAAGTGATTTACAAATGTTGATGTTGTGACATGATTTTCCGGCATTTTTTCTCCATTTTTCTTGTAAGTCATACCTTTTTATGCGTTTGTTGGAAAATAAGAAATTCCCAAATTACAGTCAGGCGAAATACGCTTATTTAGAAGCCTTTATGTCATGGTCTGCAAAGTGGCTGAGCTCGACCTCCCCCCCCCCCCCCCCCCCCCCCCCTCCTTTTTGAAAAAGTATGTTAAAGAGAAAAAGAAAGAAGACGGAGAAGAAAAAAAGTGACCTGCCAATGTCACAAATAAGGTATAAAAAATGCTCATCTGACCGTAATTAAATGCTTAAAACCCCAGAGCTTACGGGGGCTCTGCCCCCGGACCCCACCAAGGGACCTAAGGCGGGCCCCTGGATGCTCATCTGACCGTAATTAAATACCTAAAACCCCCGAGCTTCCAGGGCTCTGCCCCCTGGACCCCAACAAGGGCTCTAAGGCGGGCCCCTGGATGCTCATCTGACCGTAATTAAATACCTAAAACCCCTGAGCTTCCGGAAGCTCTGCCCCCTGGAACCCCACCAAGAACCCTAGGGCGGGCCCCTGGATGCCCATCTGACCGTTATTAAATACCTCAAACCCCTGAGCTTCCGGGGCTTTGCCCCTGGACCTCACCAAGGGCCCTAAGGCGGCCCCCTGGATGCTCATCTGACCTTAATTAAATACCTAAAACCCCTGAGCTTCAGGGGGCTCTGCCCCCTGGACCCCACCAAGGGCCCTAAGGCGGGCCCCTGGATGCTCATGTGACCGTTATTAAATACCTCAAACCCCTGAGCTTCCCGGGCTTTGCCCCCTGGGCCCCACCAGGGGCCCTAAGGCGGCCCCTGGATGCTCATCTGACCTTAATTAAATACCTAAAACCCCTGAGCTTCCGGGGGCTCTGCCCCCTGGACCCCACCAAGGGCCCTAAGGCGGGCCCCTGGATGCTCATCTGACCGTAATTAAATACCTAAAACCCCTGAGCTTCCGGGGGCTCTGCCCCCTGGACCACACCAAGGGCCCTAAGACGGCCCCTGGATGCTCATCTGACCGTAGTTAAATATTAAACCTCTGAGCTTCTGGGGGCTCCCCCCCCCCCTTGGAACACGTCAATTGCCTTACAGAGGGCCCCTGGATGCTCATCTAACCGTAATTAAATACCTAAAACCCCTGAGCTTCCGGGGGCTCAGCCCCTTGACCCCCTGCCGAGGCTCATGCCCTGGACCCCACGCCAATTTACGATCTACCTGATCCACTTTGAAAAACGTTCCGCGGGACCTGCATGTAACGTGTAAGACTGGTGGTGATGCAGATTTTTCGTCTCCCCCCCCCCCCCTTCCGAACAATTTTTCTCATTACGTCACTGCCCCTGGAATGTGAGCCCCCTGGAATGTTTGCCCCCCCCCCCCCCCCCCCCAATCCCAAACTGCTTCCGGCGCGCCTGTTTAAACCAATCAGGTTGCTACGTATTCCACCTATCGCGAGCTTCTCGTAACCGGCGGATCAAATGAATGGCAATAGTGGTGAGATTGTGCTAATTAATAAAATACCATTATCAAGTTAAGCTCGAAGACAAAATCCTATAAAAAATACCCTACGTTATACAATCAATCTAAGTATACTACTTACATACTAAAAAGATGGCACCAATTCTCAATTATTTACAATGTCAAAACAGCATTTTACTATCGTACTATAAAACGATTCTGACACAAATTACATAGGTGGACGGCGCTATTAAATTCCCCCAAATGCTAAGCGGGGAAAATTGTTCTAGCGCCCACTAATGTTGAAACTTTCCAAACTACTGTAGCCTATCTACTGTGTTTGAAACGATCTTTTGATTTTCAGAAGATCAAGATGGATTACAACGGTACCGACCAAGACCTACCAAGTCTCATGCCTATAGCTGGTCCCTTATATTTTGTTTTGCATAGTAGAAAAGTAACTGTTCATTGTACATTGTGTACTTTTTGTAAACACTACATGTAGGCCTACTTTATATAAATGATATCAATTTCCATACCCCTATACTAAATGCTAGTCCGTTTTGTGCTGTGTAAAGATTCAATCAGTTAAATTTGGCTATTACAAGAAGTGGGTTATTGATGTAGACAAAATGCTCATGTACCCTTTCAGTTCATTTTCTGTATGTCATTACCAATACCAAAAAAAGTCAGTGAGTCACTCAATAGTGTCTGACAGTGAAGTCTAGAAAGTAAACGGGTTTCCTTGCACAATTTGAATATTAGCTAGGACACTGCTAACGTTGTCACAGATATGACATATTACGTTTCATATTCATAATTCCTGCAAATTTCTAGAATTTGATGTTGGCTGCAAATGGGACATAGTACCTTTAATGAAGAAACTGAACTTAATAAAAAAGAAGAAATATTTTGTAAGTTTTATATTCTTTATGTCGGTTTACGTAAGTTTTTGCGTACAATGCATTATTTTATTTATTTATTTTATCTGTCAATACAGTTCAAAAGAAAGATCATGCGGATGATAGGTTGCTTGCCCTTCAACAGGGCTCAACATTAACGTTTTTGGAAGGAGATCCTGATTGAACTGTATTTAATTTGTATGCATGAGCCCTACAATTGAAGAGTTTAATTCCCAAAGGAGCTAAATCCATATTTGTAACTTCAGCGAAAAAGGGATTTGTTTACCAGATTGTGTACAGGCGTCTATTGAAAAGTGGTATTAGAAGGTGTATTTTTTAAATAATTACTCCCAAAATTTAGGTAAATATTTTTGTTGAAAAACAGGTACTTAAGTGAACAATGTTCTGATATCAATAACTCAATTTTCATCAAAATTGGATTTAGCTCCTTTTGGAATTAAACTTCGGAATCTTGAGGGTCCAGACTTATATTTTGGGCACCCATGTGTCCCGGGCACCTGTTTAATAGTGTCGAGTCCTGCTTTCTTTGGTGCAGTAATAGCTAGTATGTAGAGTTTTGAATGGAAAACAAAAGTACTTCCCTTTCACGGTTGAAGTCATGTTTGTAGCGTTCAAACATGACACATTTATGTGCAATAATGAATTGATTTTTTTTCGAGTTGTCCAATTTAAGGCAACTACTTAAACGAAGTTTAATGGTAATGGACTGTTAAAGAAATACCTTTTTAAAAATAATTTTGTTCATAAGTTACACACTGTATGAGAAAACAAAAATGTGGTCTATATATTGACAGGTGATCTTTCTAAACAACTGGTTGTCAATGATGGTTCTCTGTCGTATTAAGTATATACTTTAAATTATACCGTCAGCAGTATTAGTTGTGTAATAAAATCATGATCAAATCAAATATCAAGTTTTTTTATGTATGTGAAGTGCCCATGCATGTGGGAGCTTGTGATTTGAATACATAATAAAGGAATGTTTTCAAACCGTTTTGTGAAGAATACAGATATTCATTTTACAGTGTTTTGCCAGGGCAATAGTTATTATAAACAGTAGTTGGAGTGGTGTAGAGCTGTTAAGAGTGTTAGTTGAAAGGAAAATCAACTAAGTTTCAACAAGACAAGCAAGAACAAAAAATACATCTAGGTAAGCTAAAAACAAATTTAAAAATCTGATAAACAGAAAGTTATGTTTTTTAAAAATGTTGAAAAGGGAGAGAGCGACAACGAGAGAGGAGAAAGAGGGGGGAGGGGATGAAAGAGAGAGAGAGAGAGAGGAGGGGATGGGGGTTGGTGGCTACAGAACAATTACAACAAAATGAAGTCGACCTATCCTCTCCTGTTGGTTTCCACGCAGAACACTTGTCTGCGAACAAAAATCGTAGTCACTTCATCTTCAAGCCTTTAATAGTATATATGCTGCCATCTTGTGTCATAATTTGTTTCGAGAATTGTTCTTTTACCATTTCAGAGTAGTAATAGGTAGAATAGTATGGTAAAATAGAGAGTACATGTAGGCCTATACGGCAGAAAAGGCTAACAAATGTCAAGAATAGAAATTAAACAATTACTATAATTTGTGTGGTCGGTTCCAGATGGGGCTGGGGAAGCCGTCCGTAATAGAAAAAAATTCAATATCTCTTTTTCAATCATTAGTTTTCTAAATATTACTTTTTTTTGTTTTGTTCATTCTATTATAACACTCATTCACGCTCGCCCCTCACACTAAAAACATGAAATACGTTTAATACATCGGAACCTTTTCAAGACAAACTTGAGGACATGCTATGTTTTGTTTGTATTGTATATATATTAACGGCGATATGTGCACCATACTCTCTAAAAAAATCGAGTGATCACGGACGTCACTCCTCTGGAGAGCGAAAATGTAGTGAAAATAGAGTGAACATTCACTCTTTTCTTCTTAGAGAGCACTCTAAAATCAATCGATTTTCACTCCTAAACAAGTGATCACGGACGTCACTCCCAAGAAAGTGAAAATAGTGTGAAAATTCACTCCTTTTTTTAAGAGAGTACGGGGGGGGGGGGGGGGGGGTAGTGAGCATCATTTTTGGGGGGGTATATGACCCCGAAAATGTGAAAATCGAGCCTACCAATATCTCGCTCAGTGGGGGGGGGGGGGGGGGGGGAGGGGGGAGTGGGGGGGAGTATGCATCATTTATTTTTTGTATTTGACCCGAAAACTTTTTTTAATAAATTTTTTATTAAAAAATAATAATAAAAAAAAGCCAGGGGGGCCGGGCCCGTCGGGCCCCCCGTGGATCCGCGCCTGTGTATATATACATGCACTCGGTGATTTCGAATCATATAACATTTCACGCTAAACAACTCCACAAACATGGACACTTACACCCCCGAAATAGTGAAACAAACACACAATAACCAACAAAAGTCAACACATACATACATACATTGAAAGCCTTTTAAGAAAACACTAAGGACATTCCTGTTTTGTTTTTAGTGTATTTTTAATTGCAATATGTGCACCACGTGCTCTAATAATATCTTTCTTCTATTTCATAGAAATCCAAATATTAAGAACACCACAAACTCGCTGTGCATGAACACTAAGGGGGACATGTATACATTACACTTATATTCACATGGAAGTAATATACCAAAATGGAGAATGTTACGAGATGAGAGAATCCGTGATTTCTTTGATAAATAAATTATCCAACTTCGACACTGATATTGAATATCTTTCGCGCGATGTCTTCATGGGTTTACCGTAAACCACGGATTCTCTCTCTTTCCAACATCTACCACGTTAATACAAATACAAAAACGCACATCTCGCATTGAATAAATTACTAAAAGTACAATAACTAGTGAGACTCATCTAAGTACTCCAACATAATATATCTTTTCTTTCTGAATACAATCGACAATGAAAGTGTTAGGAATGCTTTACATAGAAAGTGCACGTATAGAAATAGAGACCAGGGTTTATACTGTAGCACAGAATTGTGTTACAAAACAGTGGACGTGCGAAAGCAAAATAGAAATACGACGGAAAAGTAAGAGAATTAGTCATGATAAAATGGTATGATAAATATTCTCGGTTGATATTCATAGAAAAGTATTTTAGTCCATGTTTAAACTTCGACGATGTGGTATAAGGTTGTACAATGATTTATAGAACGCCAAGTGTCAACTTCTTAACCCAGTAAAATTTTCCTTCATTCGAAATTCTAAATCATTCCACCAGACGATTAAACAAGAATCATTTCAGAATGAAGAATATAATGCAAAAATAAATAAATCATGAAATGACTAAATTAATTTCGCCTATTGAGTTTGTCACAGAATTACAGTACACATGAATTGTAGGTAAATTAGAGCATGTTTAGTTTTATCCACTTTTATGATACATTTCTAAGTTTTAGCGTGTATCAGTGTACACTTTTCAGCTGCTTTGAAACACTGCCGTTGGCATTTTATGAACCGATTGGAACCTTTTACAATTGTGTGATATTTAAAGTTGGTGTGACTAATTCATCTTTAATCTGTTCTCAAAAGAAATACATCAGAATAATGAAAATGCCAGTTACCTGAAACATTTTACAAATAATACTACATTCGGGACATGGGTTCGTGTTCTAACATGGTGTCTAAATGTGTATGGTTTGGTTGAGTATTTTGTTTTCTGCCATCCAAAACGACGTACCAACCTTAATACTTTCTTAATTTACTTATCAAGCTGCTGGTTCCTGTATATACCATTACTACGCTGTTGGGCCAGATGCCATTACAGAATAAAAGGTAAGTACTCTGTTTTCAAGGTGAAAAGAACACATTAAAATAGGGAAAATTTAGAAAACAAGAAAATAGGGGAAAAAGAGGATAAAGGAATAATAATACAGTACGAATTTAACGAGAATGGATTATGGAAGGTAAAATAATATCTATGAATATTGTAAAAAAAAATATAATGTGCTGCCAATTGCAGGTAGAATAAAGTCCTGAATTTTTCCGCATCAACGTAATTCCCCTCGAAAAAGTTGTTCTATATTATGTCTATCTATCCCAGATAAAACACTGTAGATATTTGAAACCAGTTGTGTACAAACAATTCTCATTTACAACTATTTGATTACAAAATGATATATCATGAACACAGTGCACATCATTATTGTGATAAAATTGATTTGGATAACACGAAGGGACTTGCACAAAGTAGATAACATGGAATACTGTATTAGAATATATCATAATTATAAAAATATTTGTTTCATTTGTAGACATTTGCATAATGAATACGTAGAGATAAAATTTGGATAAATAATGATTCATGAAAAGGTGTGTAAAACGATATACTTTGAAAGATTGTTATACGGATAGTAATGCCCAGCTAACTGTAATGTTTTCTGAAAGGATTTGTGGGTATATTTTCAAATTTAGAGGTATAATATCATATTTCGTGCCCTGATATTCAAACAATTTAGACATGTGTAGTGTATAAATTAAAAATTGCTTGTGAAATTGCTATCGTAGAGGTGTCGTGTTATAGTGGTTAATAATCAACGTGTGCAATCATCTAAATAAATTCTACTTCTCGTGCTCGTCATCTACTTGTATATATATTTAATTTGTATATAGGCCTAAAAGGAAACATAGAAGAGATAGATTTTCTCCCAGCAAAGACATGGTTATTTCAAAGACTGTCGATAATTAGAGTTAATGCCCAATTTCATATAACAGCTGCTAATATATTACCACCAATACAATAACACCTTAAATTCTAACGAAATCTAAAATGAAACGATTCATAACTAGATGTTTTCATTTCTAATTTCCATGTGATCAAGATATCATTCGTGCATGATCAGGACAACATGATTACTAATACAGGAAATGGTTAACATTCATTTTTTTTCCCCCAAAGAATAACTTTATCAGATTGTCGTATTACGTATAAGGATTCCGTTTCTTAGAATCTTCTTAGTGGTTATTCAAAATAGCTTGTATGCTGTGTGAATACTATTTACGACTTGAAATCTGAAAATAAATCATATATAGCTCAACTTTTAAAGTTCATAAAAATCATCATACTGGAAAAGAAACACTAAGACACTTGGTCAAAATGTGTTGAGCATGTTCATGCATCAAATTAAGAGCAAGGTTTATTCATGGAGATAACAGATAGATATCTCCATGGTTTATTGGTCTTATGCCAGGCGTTGCATTTTCCAGTCACTTGTAGCCCTCATATTTTTCTCATGTGAGGTAGTTTTGAAGAGAAATCGGGACACACGAATAAGCTTTTACCCATAGATGTATTGTACATGAAATTTAGAAATAGAATCAAACATAGGTACACGGAAATTTTGACAATAAATTAATTGATCGATGCTTGAAATGCTTCCCTCGATTTCTTAAATACTAGAACTATAAATTTCTTGTATTCATGTCTCACGTGATGACATAATGTTGCTTCCCGCCTTTCCGGTGTTGATGTTTGATGGTGCAGTCGACGAACGCCTTTCACTTTGGGGAGAATACGCATTCGCCCGTTGACACGGGGTGTTGAACTGTATGCATAGCAGCGATCAAGCTCACGATGACTCTCGCTTTAAAATAAAAACCTTCTCCAAGACTAGAGTTTAATGACGGGCAGTACACCCTTACATTCTCTCTTTGAGCCACTCACGGACTTCGTCGGTCATCAGCTGTTCGGGATGTTCCATCTGGTCCATGATGTCGGAACCAACGAAGGCGACTTTGTCGTCGTGGATGATAAAGACGCGATCGGGGAATGCGTCGAATCGAGACGTGAATGAATTGTCCATGGTATCCACGACGACACGCACTCGACTGGTGTCGGAAACGTCTTCACTCAAACATCCGTGGTAAGCTTTGTCCAGCGCCACAAGATCCCTGAATTAAAACAAATGACAGAATATAAAAAGGGAATTAATTATCTTTTCTCGTAAACCTGCAAACAGAATTCAAATTTACCCGAATGTAATTTCATGCTTTTACAGAAATAGACAAAACATTTTAAACAATATTTGTTAATAATTTCGATTTCAATTTCATTTATTTCCACAGATTCATAAAAAGACAATATAGATTACAATAAAAATACAAAAGTATTAAAACAAAAGATGAACCTGCCGAGGGGGTGATACAAAACACAGAGGTTTATCAGAGATCATACATTTTACACTAAAAGTGTTGTTAATAACTGCTGGTTTTTACTTTCTACCTTACAAAATTATGAAAGTATGAAAGACATCAACTATTCCAATTGTTAAATCTATTAATAGCCCATTTTTTCCTAATGTTTCACGAAAATCATCAACAAATAAATGAATGACAATGACTGCTAGCATGGTTGGTTTTTATTACAATCCTTACATCTGGAACATTGCATGCATGGTGAAAAATAATGACTTTTGATGACGATGACATGAAATTGAATGCACGAACTTACTTTGCAGCGTTGATTCTGTCATGAATAGAAGTGTGTCTCGAGTTCCTACTCATCTTGCTTCCCATACCAAACTCCCCCTTGGCATGTGCTTCCTCCAAGTAAACCACTAAGAACTCGGCCTGCGTTCGGTAGGTCTCCAACAAGGTTGAGAGAGCCCCGCCTATTAAACAGGCCTGTCAATGTTACCGAAAATAAAACACAAGACAACAATTAATATTCAGTTGATTTGCAATTACATGATACATCAGTACCAAAGGTAGAAATATTGAATAATTTCTACCAATATTGCATTATGCTTTTATGTTTATGCCAATATTTTAGAAGCTGTTTCTAACGGACCACCCGAAGTGAAATATTCTACCGTTTTTGGAGTTGGCGTAACGTTCCCTCATTTCCTAGTTTTCTTGTCCATCTCTTTGTTAAACATTCATGTAAAGGTCTTTTTGTTCTTCAAAAGGCTTTATTTTTCTATCCACATTTCTACGTCTTTCTTTCTGTTTACGACGTGCCGATTTGCTACGGTGATGTTATATAGAAAAGTGCTGTTAGGTGCAAATTTACAAAAAAAAGTATATATTGACAAATGTATTTTTAAAAAGTAGTGTCGATCCAAAGACAAATGGCCCTTGACTACTGCCTCGATAAACTCTCAATTGACAATTATCCATAGGAAAATTAACACCAATGCATCTACCACCTGGACAATAACCCACTAAGACAACTTCTCATCTAGGGCATCTTGACAACCACAGACTTTAATTTTTCAGGGGGTGTAATTGCCAAAGTGGTGTATTTGGGTGGTAGTTTTCCGGGTCGCAAATTTCTTAGGAGTATATCTCCAGGGTGGAGTTTGTCCATGGGTGGTACCTCTGGGGATAGTCATCAGCAAAGGCATTTTGTAACAGGACTGTCCTCATCAGCTCGAGATTGCCAACTATCCCGCTATTTGAACTATCCCGATCGCTAATTATCCAGTTAATTTGCGTCTTCATCAGCCCGTAGTTGAAACTAGCGGAATATTTGGTCGAGATAATCACCCCAAGATATCTTGGGCTAGTTTGCAAAATATCCCGCTATTTGTCCGGTATGTCCTCACCAGTCCGAAGACTCGCACTATATCTCGAGCTAATTTCTCGAGCTCGAGTTTCAAGTTTCAAAGTCAAGTCTCGAGCTGCATGATGAAGATGCGATTTGTGACTTCGGGATTATTTCAAAAATCAGAAATAGCGAGCTACTTGGCAATCTCGAGCTGATGAAGACAGGCCAATACTGTTAACCAATCTTGAGGACGTACCTGAAGCGGAGGTCAGGAGGACGACGCGGCGAAGACGACCAGGGGGAGGTTCTTGTTGACATGGAGGTCGTCGAGCGACACTGCTTCTTCAGAGCACGTTTTCATGATGATGTTAGGAACTGCATCACCTCTTCTTACCACCAGATCGGGCCGCTTCGAAAAGACAGGACCAACGAACGACAGTTCATTGAGGACCTAGAGTCCAGAAAGAATGAGGGGTCGTGTCAGGTACAGAGTTAGAGTAGGGACTTTTAGATTTACACGACGAGAGCGTGGACTGCCGCGTGTGACATTGTGTTAAGGCACTGGGCCGTGCCCGGCAGTGCCTTAAAAGGATGTCACACGTGGCGGTCCTCGTTCCCGTCGTGTAAATCTAAAAGTCCCTACTCTCTTTAAAAAAAAAGAGTGAATTTTCACTCTATTTTCACTTTCTTGGGAGTGACGTCCGTGATCACTTGTTTAGGAGTGAAAATCGATTGATTTTAGAGTGCTCTCTAAGAAGAAAAGAGTGAATGTTCACTCTATTTTCACTACTTTTTCACTCTCCAGAGGAGTGACGTCCGTGATCACTCGATTTTTTTTTAGAGAGTAGTGATGGACAAAATGCGCTTTTGTTATTATCAACAGATTGAATGATTGAAGTAAACTTGGCTATGGCAAGAATATAATATTTGCTTAGTAGTTAAAAGTAGTACTTATGAATAACCACTGTAAGTCACAGGAGTTGAAGTGCAGACGTAATCTCAAATGACTTACTTTTCTTCCTGAAATGAGTTTATGCCCCCCCCCCCCCCCCCGGAAAGCAATACAGGGCTCTCCTTAAAGAGTTATATGGATCACAGTAATTTGAAATGTTTTGCCCCTTCTTAGACTAAGGTCTGGATATATGACACTGATGACACGTTACAGATGAGTGACTTACCTCAGGTTCATCTTGGTAACAGATGAAGATCAATTGCAAAATAGGAGGAAGTTTCCCGGTTGCGATCAGCTGCGTAAGGTGGCCCATGCCAATTTCATTTAAGAATTTGAATTCCATCTCCAGTTTGCATTGCTACAAGAAAAGAAAGAGAGAAAGGGGAAAGGGTAAAACATCATTCACACCGCTGGAACCGACTATAAACCGACCGATTCTTCGTCATTCGAGGTAATGTATTTTTGGTTTGGTCTGGAGTCGGTTTCATTGGTGTGACATAGTTATATTACCTCGGTCACACCGCTGTACCGATTCCGCACCGACTCCAAACCGACCGAACGGCATTCGGTGTAATGCAAATTGTTGTTCGGTCTGTTGTCAATCAGGGACCCGTTTCACAAAGCCCCTTTTCAATGGCAAATTACTAAAAATCAGTGATAAATCGCCTGATAACCAATCAGAAGCAAGGATTTCAGTAGCTTATAACAAAAACTGTCATTTGTCACTGATGACAAGTTTTATGAAACGCCCCCCTGGTGTTTGTCTGGTTAAGTTTGACGGAGGTAAAAGCATTTTATAATTTCATTTAGAATGTCAAGAATCAGACTTTTTAAACGAGACAGAATTTATTGAATGTTATTTTTTGCATGCACTCGGGTACCTATGATAAAAGTCTAGAGGTCTTTTCTTTTGTGAGTGTAGCCTTATGTCTCTGTACCTGTTTCTGCCTTTCACAATTGTTTATTCATGTTTCTTAACCCTGGGTTCTATAAGACCCAGGATTACGTTTGGTATTTCACATTCACACGCCTATTTCCCGATTCTAGTAAAGTAAATCCAGATTACATTGGAAGAAGAAAAGACGAAGGAGAAGAAGAAAAAAAGATGGACACTGAATTTTAAATTTGTCGGGACGTTTGCACTGGGTATGACCTCCCATATAATCATGATAATTTAACAAATTTTCCTGTCACATTTTCTTCTCTTGATGTCTCATGATCTGGATCCAGGGGGAGGGGGCACAATGCACGCGCCCCTCCATTTTTCATCAGCGGAGTTAACTAGATCGATGCTACATTGTTGGGTTGAGGACCTACACCATTCATAGTTGTTCCCTATTTTTAAGCTAATTTAAGAATACACACATATATAGATTTGAAATGGCGGAGGCGCCCCCTCCCCCCACTGTTTCAAAACCAGGAAAAGCACCTGTTAACCCCATCTAGTCTGATATGACGATACTCACCATCATCTTGAACATGATGTTCCCGTCTGTTGAGTCCATTTTCTGGTCGCACAGGTCCTGTATCTCATCTGAATTGAATACGGACTTCATATGCCTCACGATACGAACTGCATTCTCCGTACTGCCCATCAGTTTGGGAAACTTTGGTGGCATCTTCCCGTTCATAGGGGGTGCACCATTGGGCTTGGTCATCCCATGGGGGTGCATACCATTCGGTGGGACCCTCCCGTTGGATGTCATGTTACCATTAAGGTTACCATTCGATGGCATTTGTCCATCCACATGGTCCAACCCTGTCCCGTTTGGCCCGTGTCCATTCTGCATGGGAGGATGCCCTCCCATCATCTTCTTCATCTTCCGCATCATCTCCATCTTCTCCACCATCATGGCCACCACGTTGGGGTCCATGAGGGGTACCTGGTTGTCCCAGTCCAGCTTGGTCTTCTCCCCGATTAAGGGATCATTGTCCTTGTTGAACATCACGTCGTGCCTGTCGTTTCCATTCAGATTGATCAACTCGTTTCGGATCCCATTGTTGGGTGGGACCTTTGCCGTCTTGATGGCATTGGAAGAATTGTTATTGGTGATGTTGATTGGTTTCCTATTACGTTGGTGCGGAGGGCAATTTTCAAGACCCTGGGAGTTGATAGAGACGGATGCGCCCGCCGGGGAACTGCAGTTCGCTCCCATCCTTGATTTCTTTTTCGAATTCTCACTAAGTGTGAACTATGAGCATTATCATGTTGGCCTGTAAGTAAACGAACAGTGAAAAAAAAAATTAATGGAGTTTATATCAAGTACAAAGGGCGAGAATCACTACCATGGTCTTCGTCACGTGACAGTATTCATGAGAGGAAAAAAAATCACGAGATTATATTAACATGATTGAGAAAACGAAATCATCCACATAAACAACCTTTTTATTATCAGAATGTAATGCAACTGTGAAACAGAGATAAAGATAAGGAACTGACAATACTACGTTATATGTTGAAATTGTAAAGAAATTATTCAATTAAACAGGGTGTACTCTATAGGTAAATGGCGCATCGATTTAATATAGCTATCCAATGACATGATGATGAACTGAAGTAATTTTTTTGTAAGATAAGAGATCACTTTTGTCAAATCTAAGGCTCCATTTGATTGCAGAAGGGTACACTTTTAGCTTGGGTGATCCCATAAAGATTTAAATGTCACGTTTATGGATGTGGTTGAATTGGATGATGTTACTAGTCCGGTCATTGCCCGAGCATTTGAACCGCGTGAGATTTGAAAACATTTTTTATTTTTTATTTTTTATTTTAGGACTTTCATTTAGAGACGGTCGTTGTACCTCCACAAGACATAGCAACCTCGTAGAAGATTTGGAAAAATAATGCAATTAAGACCCGACAGACTTTGCGATTCCACGCTGTTCCGACCCTGAAATGAAATAAATGCTTTTCTGGATAGATCTTCTTCCCTTCTCAATCCCGAATCCCAAGTTCAGACTACCTTCAAATCCTTTCCATCCGTTGCTCCACGCTAACGCCTGCCTAATTCATTTCATTTATTTTTTATTTCCAAACATTATGTTGATATCATGAAGGGCCTGGTTGATAATCAGTTTAAACAAACTTACAATATATAAATATACAAAATTCTTTTGATCATAAAGAAGTTACGTAAACACTTACGTAAAAGTTTCAATGTTAAAAATGTACAAGGAATTGCATATTAATTCGATATTGTTACAATAAACAAACATGTAAACAGTAATTTTGGGGGGTTATTAGGCCGACATGGAAGCCAATGGCAGCATATTTAAGGCCCCTGGAGAAAAAGCGAACTTTCTCGCACACACGTACACACGCCAACACGAACACGAATCACGTATGATTAACAAGAAGTTTGGGGTTTAAAGATATACATACTTTTCAGTTGAGTTTGATTGAGAGGGGAAGGGAATTCAATATTTTCGGTCCGCTAAAATGAAAATATGTTCTAGGCCTTGGTAAATGAAATGATCCAGATTGCCTTGTACTAAGGTAATTGAGAAAGTGTCGGTTCCTATAATAGCAAACACAATCTATGCAAGTTCTTAGACTATAGAGGACAGCGCCTTGTATATCCTTTGGAAAAGGCGCTATATATATATATATATATATATATATATATATATATATATATATATATAAATCTAATCATCATAATTATTATTATCATTACAATTATTACTGTTGTTATCATTATTATCATTATTGTTATTATTAATAATATTATCATTATCATTATTATCAAATTAGTGGTACTTTCATACCCACAGTTTACACATTTACTTTTACACCTCCACCCCTTTTAATAACCAACACCAGACGATCAGACATTAAAAATGTCGACTTTCGATAACGTTATTGTGTATTTCCATCTTTTGGTGATAACCCCTTTGTGTGCAGTTCATAAACACACCCCCGGAAGTATCAATATTGACACGAATACCATCACAAGACAGCTAAACGTCAGAGATTTTTTTAGACTCTGCTCCTTCAAAAATGACATCGGAACTGCATGATCCTCTCGAATACCATTGCACTTTATCCATTGAATATTGATCAACACATCATGTTTCTTGATGTATTTATCTTATCTTCAATCTTGGAACTGAGCCAGGTGAAGAAAACTGATCATTAAGCAAAAAGTCACATGAGTCATGACGTCCTGGTGTCCTTGGCCTTGATGTATATAGTTAGAGTTTGGAAAATATTGACACCATTTTATGGATGTTTAACTCCAAAGTGAAAACTGATAGGCGTTGACCAGATGAGAACTTCTTATGACAGGTAAAGGAGCAAGTACATGATTGTATTATGTAAAATTCAGGGGGTCACCGGTTTTATAAATTCCTAATTGAAGAACTTGGTGATTAAGGATAAATGAGTCTTGCAAGCGCAGGAGGCCATTAACAATTTGGTCTAAAAAAAGTGACAATCACTTTTCCTCTTACATGTTCCGCACCTTGATATTTTCATGCAAAAGAGACTGAATAGCAATTGGTGAAACATTGAGATAAGCAACAGATAAGGTAGGCTTTACTAGACCATTCTGAGCATATTTTTCTTAAATTGTAGAATAAACCCATTTCTTCTACTCCTTTTTATTGGAAGCATGTACGTACACCCACACACGCTCCCAGACAATCTTGGATTATCCCACGCCACGCTGCCGCATTGTAATGCATGTCGAATTAACTTGATAAAACCGGTTTCTAAAGTAGGCCCGATATCTCCCCAAAATGGAGAGAGAAGTGATAAACAGTGTTCAACGGTTAATGACCTCGAAATGTTCAAATATGGGGGGCGGGGTTAAATGATATACATTCATGGATTATTGAACACACAGATTATAACTTCGCAGAACTTTATTGATCAATCTCTAAGACTCTTCGGATTGGTCAATAAAGCTCCATCTATTAAGAATAAATCATACTGTCAAAATCCTTTCATGAAAAGAGGTAAAGAAAAATCAATCTAAATTTACATAGCCTATTATAAAATCGTTAATTTTGTGTGTGACATCCCGTTTATAAATGACTTACACCATGGACCTACTATGCTTACTTTTTTATCATTTCTCTCTCCATTTTGGGGGAGGTATTTCGGGCCTACCTTAGAAACCGGTTTCATCAAGTTATTTCCAAATGGGCGCTATTTGTTAATATGTGATATAAAATAAAAGCAAAAATGTAGTAGTTTAAGTTGTTGAACGGACCATGGACTCTAGAGTTCATGGTACTCGGTATGATACATTGGACAGTATGTGACGTATCCTAAATAAAGGTATTTACACAGACATACATCGATATGTAGACATTCAACATACGGTCTGAATAAATGAATAAGCAAATACTCGTATAAAATGATATCTTATATTCAAAATGTATATATGAACAAGATTTTAAAAAACTTGTTGTTTAAGCGTCTACCAGCCATAAATCAAGTAGGGGGGGGGGGAGGATGAGTTCACTCTTTAATCTCAATCTTCCAATTAACATATTTAATTATCATGAACACTTTTGAAGCAAATTCAAAACAAAAGGTTTATTAAACAACATGGTTCGCAGCAAAAAGCTGAATTGCACATGTATTTACAAGATAAATATTAACATTAAAATTCTAAGTACATGGCAATATATACAATTTATACAAATTATTTAATCATGATTTTCGAGACATAAATTACAGACACCAAGAAGTAAGAGCGTTGGTACATGTTCCAATATGATCCGAAACGCTCTTTTCTGTAAACGTTCTAATGTTATTATCTGTTCACGAGTAAGGCTTGAATTTTTTTGAAACGGTACACAGTACACTCTTTAAAGGTGCATGGTTGACTACTAAAACGTGGTTAAAAACGACCAGGACGTGGTCATTTTTTGACCACGTTTTGGTAGTCAACCATGCACCTTTAAAAACGACCACGACGTGGTCATTTTTTGACCACGTATTTTTAAGAGTGTTATAGTATAGGACCTTTTTTAAATATCCCAAATAGATGTTTATAAGATTATGTAAGGGTAACTGGTTAAACGTCTCAGGATGCACAGTTGCCTATTACATCTCGTTAGACTATCTGTAATGTATATGTTCCACTTGAGGTCTGATCGAACAATCGCTTCTCATATAAGCATGTATAAGCATGTTGAAATTAAGTTAAGGCCATATTGTGTACTGTAAGAAAATTGGGTTGGTCGATTTGTTTATAAAAGCATATATTCATAGCAAAGTATTTGGCTGCATTCAAGTTCATGTTATTATTTAACGACCATTGTACAAGCTCATCCAACGAATGCTGAATGTTGGAGGCCTGAGACAACATGCGACTTTCCACTAAGGTAAGATCGTCAACAGTGTGGGAAATTATTAAGTTTGCAAACATCATCAATCTTGATAAGGTATGAAAACGGACCTAGCTAGGTTCCTTGAGGACCTCCAGCATAAATCATTTCCTGTCAGTGAATTCACCTTTGTATTTGACACACTGTTTTCTACATTCAGGGAAGCTAACTATCTAAGATATAACACAAGGTCTGACATCTAACTCGATTAACTTGCGAATCAAAATGTTGTGGTCTATTCTATCAAAAAGCTTTAGGAAATCCGTTATAACTACCGTAGACATGAATCGGGGTTGTCAGTACAATACAAAAAACTGTACACACTATAGCTACAACAGAAAATGAGGATAAGGGAAAGAAACATATATTTCGCCCAAGCATCTCAGGCATAGCAAATATTATACGGTGCGACGGATATGTGACAATAATATAGTCCATGTGGGAAGACTTGAGAGAACATTGGATTTTTGAAATTTTATAATAATAATGATAATACCTTTCGATTTATTTAGCGCATAATAATAAACACTTAATTCTCTATGCGCTTATACAGCACTTTTGAAAAGCAAAAATAACAATCTTACCTTAGTATTTCAAAATGTCAAGAAGCTACATTGCCGGAGTGTCATTCAGCATAACGTGAAATCCAGGATTGAGATGGAAAGTTATTGTTCTTCGGGAAAGTATACAGATGAACTTCAGTGAAAGACAATGGGTATGGAACCGATACGGCCGGTGACTACCCAGAATCAACTCGCTATCTTTAAGGGCAGCAACAGCTTTCAGAATTGGTACAAATCCAAACAGCACAGTCGCCGATTAAAACGAATTTCTCTCTAGTTTAGAGAATTAATGTCTCAGCTACGAGCATTCATACCAATATATACCCTCGGAACGCCTGAATCACCTGTGCCCAGGGGCTTCTACTAGACAATATTCGTGTATTGTGGGCTGAGAGGCACGTGTACCAAGTATGAGCATGATCGTCGGTGACGAACGGACACGCCCACTTTTTAGAGAATCCGTCTCATTGGTCAATTGTTGGCACCCTCGTTTGCAGACTTTTCCATTATGTCGAGAGGGTGGTCTAGATAAAGAGAGAGGGTAAGAGGGTTGTTCAAAACTAGTTTGTTGAGCCGTTCATGGTAAATAAATACGTCAGATCGATGCATTCTTCACTGTATCATACAACAGATCCATTATTTCCTTAATGTTGAACATTTTCATTTCATTATTCTTCACACGCAATTGACCATCATTTTGCAAGCTACGTTACGACAAACTTGCGACAAAAATGAGAATGCAGTCAGGAAATAAAGAAGTCGTTGAATTCAAAAGTTAATCATGTAATGATTTTCATTGTCTAATCTTTTCCTAATTAGAGACGTGCTAGAAAGTAATACGTTGTGAATGATGCAATAAAGAGATAAAGAGATAATATGTTGGGTGGTAATGAATAATACCGAAGAAACGTCTCAAAATCTCTGTGTATGAAGTAAGGTATACATATAGATTGGCCTCTGATTTACAGGTAGGAATAAAATACTACCAAATTATTCCAAGTGTGAGGGTTATTCGATAGTTTTTAAACAAGGGTCGTCGTCGTCGCCTTATTTCTATCCTTATTATTTTTGGGGAGGGGGAGCACCTGAATCTAGATAATAACCTGAGATATATATATATATATATATATATATATATATATACATAGAAAGAAATACAATTAAACGTTTTTTTTATAATGACAACCTCCCTATAAAGGCCATCTATATACAGACCATTAAACAGTATTTTGTCTCCCTAGAGAAAGAAATGTGTGTTGTAGAACCTATTTAGAAAAGCCATCCGTCTAGCGGACAACTGCTCCTAGGATATTGACTCCAGACAACTACCCCTATGGCAATTATACCCGGACAAGTGCCCTCGAACTTCTAATACCCCCCCCCCACACACACACACACACACACACACACAGTGCAGTTGTCCGAGGGATAATTTAAACAAACTTAAAGGTACTATGTCCCATTTGCAGGCCCAAAAAATGAAAAAGTTAAATTCCAATTGCATTTGAAAGATAATACTAATTTAGAACTTCCCTAAAAAAGGTGGGGCTTGAAAATGTCTTCAAGTGGGAAAATAACGATTATTAGTGTCAAATCGACTTTAGGGCTATAGAGCCCAAAAGTAATAGTCTTGATTTTCAGACAATATTGTACCGAATGGTCATACGTTTTATGCTGCGCAAAGATTCAATCAGTTTAATCTAGGCCATCACAAGAAGTGGGTTATTGATGTAGACTAATGCTCATGTACCCTTTACAACTCTTTTCATTTATGTTATTACCAAAGAAGAAAAAAAGCCAGTCAGTCACTCAATAGTGTCTGACAGTGAAGTCTAGCAAGTAAATGGGTTTCCTTGCATAATTTGAATATGAGGACACTGCTAACGTATACATTTCACAGATAGGACATACATGACATATTCATAATTCCTGCAAAGTTCTACAGAATTTGAGGTTGGCTGCAAAAGGGACATAGTACCTTTAAGGGGGATAGTTTTTCAATGAAAATTGTCCTAAGGGGATAGTTGTCCGAGGCCCAGCGTTCGTCGTTCGGAAACGTCCTGCAATCCACATTTTATATTGCCTAAGATTCACAGTACAGCTTAAGATTTTCCTCTCACAATCCACCACAAAATGTAATTAAACGAAAATGTGAGAAATTTTCAGCATTTCAGTTATGAGTGATGTTTACCTCTTGCTTTCTATGCTGCTAACAGTCTATGCCGAATCAGACTAAAAAGTTCTAACGCACTTGCTTTACTTTGTGCGCCGTGGTTTTCCTGGTTATTTTTGCATGAAAAGAGAAGAGGAGAACAATTTGTAGGCGTGGATTAGCTGGCATATAGTATCGTCGCCACTCTTCAATTTCTGGCTTCGGAAAAAATATCTTTAATTCAATACAGCGTTTGAACTTTAATAAAATTGCTGTTGTCTAATTGGAGGCATAATTATGCGTCAACGTGGTTTTAGTGGTGCATTTCGTATTTAGCTCGCTGTTATGATGTCTCTAAAAATAGGACTCAGATGAAATTGTGGTGAATGATTAAGTTATAAATAGTGCAGGAGCGATTTGTTAAGTGCACTGTTATGGGGCTGGGCTGGGTTCTCTTACAAAACTCTGTGAAAAATGAAAGCCAGTGGCAGATCCAGGGCGATCTTGACGGTGTGGAAGGGGAGTGTGCCCCAATGGCCCGAATTCACAAAGCAAGGTTTGAGCTCAGACCAAGGTTTGAGCTCAAACCTCCTTTTGTTTCGCCAAACCTCCTTTTGTTCTTTACAAACCAGGTTTGAAAAAAAACGCGTAAAACGCGTCATATGACGTACGAAAACCAAGGTTTGTCGACAAACCTCCTTTGAAAATTCGGGCCAATGTGTTTCAAAAGGGGGAGGTTATCCAATTGTGAGTTGATGCTTACAGTGGCTCCAAACAGGTGATATTATTAATGGTGTGTGTGTGTGTGTGTGTGTGTTTGTAGGGGGGGGGGCACTGTCCCCTTCATCGATCCGCTACCGTTTCTGTGCTTATCCTCCATTATGTGTACGGGCACACGTTCGCAGGGGGTGATGTTTCTCGTCCGAATATCAACTTTCCAGTTTTTTTATTTCGCGAGTGATAAGACAATTCTAGTTTTGTCATAATCATTTTTTTTTTCATGGGGCCCGGCTGTGTTTCTGCCGATCCCCAGGCCCGTCCCTTCTATCCCGTATTGTACGCCTTGTTGCCTTATGTCATCTTCTTTATGTAACGCTAATCTTGAGATCTGGTACGTGAAACGTATTTTGATTATTTTTAATCATATTCGATAAAAACCACAACTTCCATTTGCACATGGTGTCGGGCCTACTTGCCCGGATTTCCTTATCTTTCTATGCTCATTACTCAGCTACTATACATTTTCTACCAAAGTTGTTTGCCACATATCATTTATTTGTAACCTTGAACATTCAGTTTAAGTTTCGTTGGATTCTGTGAGAATTTATCTTCAATATTTACCAGAATTCAAGTTTATCTTTAAGAACGCCAACTGTGATTCGTGTCATCATTTTTTTAAACCAGATTCATGGCTACATGGAGCACAGGGGTACGTGCCCCAAATCGAATGGTGAAGAAGAAATAAAAAGAATGGTAACAAATTAAAACAACAATATGAAAGAGGAAATGGGAAAATGACGGGAAAAGGGGCCCCATGCTCATCCTAATCAGAGACCACGTAAATTATGATTTCATTTTCCAAGACCGTTGCCCCCCCCCCCCCCCCCCCAAAAAAAAAAAAAAAAAATAAATAATAATAATAATAATAAATAAATTTAAAAAAAAATAAAATAAAAAAATAAATAAATAAATAAAACAAAATTAAAAAATGAGAGTGCCCTTTCAATGGCTGGACTAATGCCATTTAACTCGCCAGGCCCAAATAGGGCAATTATCGGCAAAGATGTCCAAGGATGTAAGAACGAGCATGGATCGAACCTGGAACCTTTCGTATGAGAGTCAAGAAACTTTACTACTACACCACGGTGCTCCCAGAAAAAATAACTTTAGACACAACACTCGTTAATTATTGTTGTTGCTATTCTTGTTGTTGTTGTTGTTATTGTTTTTGCTGCTGTTGTTATTGTTGTTGTTGTATTGGGTTTTGACATGACAAAAGACAGGGAGGATGGAGGGTAAGGGGGGGGGGTGGTGATAAAGTTTCGATTGGTATAAATAGTCAAGTTATGATTACGTAATTATGTCGAACATAATCGATTGTCATTACAACAAACCACTACAAAGCACACCCCACGAAATCGTACATGACCTGAAAATATGAAAACATGTGTGCTTTTACAACAGAAATAAACTTTGCTAACAACATCCAAATTCGATGACATTCTACCAGAAATGATGTCACTATAATTAGGTTATCGATATGACCCCTTATTTTGCAAATTAATCACACACACTGAATAAGAAACTTGTAGTGAGGATAAACAAATTAATACATTATCAAGGTAGACATGGAAGAAGCGGTTTGGTGCAAATATTTGTTGAGCGAATGAAAATGAAATGTTTAAGGCTTGATTGAGTTTCACTGAATAATTGGGTAACTGCTCTTATAATAATAATAATAATAATAATACATGAGATTTATATAGCGCCATTATCCATTTTGATTAAATGCTCAAGGCGCTTCAAAATATAAGGGAACACATTACATCATGACAAAGAATCGTGTACATTTACATAAGAAAGAAAATGCAAAAATGAAAGAATGAAAGAATGAATGTCTGTCTTCAAAACGCAAAATTAAACAAATGGGATTTAAGGTTGCTCTTAAAAGATGTTGAAGAGTCGGAGTTCTTCAGCTCCTGTGGAAGTGAATTCCACAGGGCTGGTCCGGCATGAGCAAAAGCTCGTTCCCCCCAAGATTTCTTTGAAAGCGGTATGTGTAGAAGACCAGAGTTGGAAGATCGGAGGGTACGTGTGGGTTGGTAGAGGTGAACTAAAGACTGGTTGTATTCAGGAGCTGTTCTGTTCATGATTTGATGAACTAAAAGGAGGATTTTGAAAATTATACGTTCTTTTACAGGCAACCAATGGAGATTTTGTAAGATAGGTGTAATGTGACTATGTTTGCTTGACAGAGAAATGATGCGTGCAGCTGCGTTTTGTAGTTTTTGTAACTGTGCAATTTGAGAATTTGGTAAATTATAGAGTAAACTGTTGCTGAAATCCAAACGTGAAGAAATAAGTGAGTGAACAAGTTTCTCTGTTGCCGAACGAGTCAGATATTTCCGTATGAAGCCAATATTGCGCAATTGATAGCGAACTGATCTGGAAATGCTTGTGATTTGTTTAGACATAGACATTTGAGAATCAAGAATGACGCCAAGAT